ATGCGTTTACTGTCATTTTGCCGCGGTACTCGTATTTAACTGATTTACCCAGCCGTGTCAAAACCGCGTGTCGCCACAATGCCGGGCTTCATAGGGCCTCATCTACATTGTTGATTGTCTACAGACAATCCTGGTGTGCTTGCACAACACGTTGGCAAGCACGTACAGACACCGGGTGTTGTCCTGCGCGTAGCCTCGCCTCTTGTGTATTTTTTGTATTTCAAGGATTACCCAGAGGATCTAGGCCTGTCGAGGGGACCTCCTACTCAGAATATTTTCATAATTCGGGAAAGAGTATAGGTACAAAGAAAGAAAACAACGAAAAGAAGCAAACACAGCAACTGCGCAAGTCTTATACTGTAAATATACAAAATTTCGGCACTTCACGATTTTTGACATTTCGACGGCAGTTTATTTTCGGCGTGGGGTAGAGGGCATGGTATAGTGCGACAGATGCTGTGAAAAATGTCATCGGCGTTTTAATTTAGGCGTTTTGGGTCGGTGCCGAATATAGCCGAAATTAAATAGCTGCCGAAAATTTGTATATTTACAGTGTCGGAAGCAGGCGTGTAGCTTGTATACAGTCAGCTCAGTCCGGTCACCACACCTGCTATAGCTGCTATAGCTGCTATACCTGCTATAGCTGCTATACCTGCTATAGCTGCTATAGCTGCTATAGCTGCTATAGGTACCACGTAGTGAAAATAGGTAAAACTGGTGAATATGAGGTACATGGTCACCACACCACAGATAAGCTCTGGTACATGGTCACCACAACACAGATGTACGAGCTACACACCTGGGGAGGGGAAGGAGGGGGGGGGGGGGGGGCACTCGGCTGTGTATGGATGCATGGACAATGGTTGGTATCTGCTATCCTAATCTGTGGTTTCTGTGTAGTTGAAACACGGCGATTCCATTAAATCTGCCGCAGCAGATGCAACGGCGAGAGCGGCTGCGGGGGGACTTGACACCAAGCCTACGATATCAGCACCAAGTAAGCCGCACGCTTTTTATGTGTTCTCTTCATGTGTCTGTGTGTTTGTGTCTGTGTATGTTCGTGTGTGTGTGACTCTTTTTCTCTCTTTCACACACTCTCTCCGTCTCTCTCTCTCTCTCCGTCTCTCTCTCTCTCTCTCTTTCTCTCTCTCTCCGTCTCCCTCTCTCTCTCCCTCCTTCCCTGCCTCTCTCCTTCTCTGTGTCTTGCTGTGGGTAGTAAGCTGTGCTCTTCAGTGTGTATGTTAGGCAGCGGCGTGGAGGACGGGGGGGGGGGGGGGGGGGGGGGGGTATTGGCAGACTATTGGACCGTGCTACGCCCTACCCAGCTGCTGAGCACTTTAAAACCTGCTCTGTGAAACAAACAAGAAATATCGTTCACAGAAATTAGGGCTGAAACAATTATACAGAGTGGAATCGATAAACGTTAGTGTTCAAAACGAGTGCTAACGATTGTTTATGCATGCATATCAGTGACGGTATTCTAGACCTTGCACTCCATCCGATAGTGAATACAAGTACAATTATGTTCTTTCAAGCGCAGTAAAATTGACTTGTGGCTTTGAAAGAGATCGGGAGAGAAGACTTTGTCTTTTCAGTTCATTTGTGGGAAAGGTCAGAGCAGTTGCCGGAGGGTGATGACAAGATTCTTCGCTCTAGAAACAACGTGAAATCCTCTAGTTCATGTTGATAAACCAGCCGAATGTCTACATATGTCAACAGTGTGGAGCCACAAATTTCTAACGTGGTAAAGGTATCGTGGAATTTCTTCATAAACTGGTGTTCGAGGTACACGGGTAGAGCCGACAAGAATCGATAAAACCAACATATCGATCGTTAATGATATTGAATGATCGTTTCAGCCCTAACAGAAATAGTGCAGTTTTCATTCGGTTTGCAACTTTCAGTGGTTACTTTATGATCGGCGTCTCGGGTGTTGAGAACATGCATACCGTGTTTCCTTGAACACCCGCCGCCCCTTGATTACCAGCCGCCCCTTGATTACCAGCCGCCCCTTGAACACCCGCCGCCCCTTGATTACCAGCCGCCCCTTGAACACCCGCCACCCCTTGATTACCAGCCGCCCTTGAACACCCGCCGCCCCTTGATTACCAGCCGCCCCTTGAATAAGCGCCGCCAGTTTATTTGAACTGAGGGTTATTCGTACACAAGTGCAGAGCAGTTCACAATTTATACGCAATTTCACAGCTACGAGATGACCTTCAGCTACGATGTCATACTCCTTCACATGCAGCTAGTGCTGCTCTCTGTTCGGACAAAGGACTCAAAGGCGATCTAAAGAAGGGAATAAATCGAACACGCCATGATGATGACCTCTCACAACATAACGAAGAGCAAGACGAGTTATTTTATCGACCACCAAAAAAGAAAATGGGACGCGAACAAAGTAAGGGGTCGTCCGCAATTATCGAAAGTTTTTTCCAATCCGTAGTAGCTTCAAATTTTTCCTCACCCACCCACCCACCCCCCCCCCCCCCCCAGTCCGTAATAAAATATTATTGATGGACACACACCCCAACACATATGGAACAAACTCGTCCATTCCTTTTTCGCTTCGGCAAAGAATACATCCTTGTTCGTCGTCTTGGACAACTGCCACAAGCAATTTATTGTTCTGTAATAATCAGAGTCACCAGCGGTTTTGAAAAAGGGCTGCTTCTTCACCGCCTTTCCAAACAACGTCGCCTGTCTGGACATAGTCAATAACAGTCGTCAGCGCCAGCGCTAGACGGAAGGACTTCAAAGGAGTGCATGGTAGACGGTACTCTGGACGAAGGAGACAGTGAAACTCAAAAATAGAAAGTGTCGACTCGCCGTCGAATGCGCCGAACTTTATGATCCCCGGCCCAGGAGCACCCAATGAAGCGCGCGCGTGGGCGCAGAAACTGCCAGAACTACAAAAATATTTGTAGTAGACAGTTCGCGCGCAGCCGCGCGTGGAAAACAGGGGCTACACGTAGACGTACACGTGGCACGCGCACGTGTCATTTCGGAAGTTTTTCAATCCGTAACTGTCCTTGACCCACCCACCCACTTTCGAAGCTACTACGGATTGGAAAAAACTTTCGATAATTGCGGACGACCCCTAAACGGATGAAATGTAAGACGCACTGAGGATTGTCAAATCTACAAAACCAAGAACTCAGATCGGAGAACTAATTACTTGTCTAGGAGAAAGTGGACACTGACGATATGAAAGAAACGAACGCAGAAAGAGAGAAAAATCAAACGGGAGAGAACAAAACTTGCGCGTCCTTTTTTATTACTGCATCCAAAATTTTCAGCGTCGACGTCTTCTTGAAGCCCCTCTACTTCATCCTCGTCGGCATGATGGACTGCTGAACATGCAACTAACTTGCTAGTCGAGCCTCAAGCTCCCTCGCCATGATATTCTTTCCAGTGCAACTGGAAAAGAAAAGAAGATGCACTAGCCTACAGTGTAGCTGGACAACAAAGGTTCAACAGTGCACATTGTATGTGAACTCTACGCATACAGCACGCACATTGTGACGTACGACTATTTTTCAGATCCGCACCCGTTTTGCTAGTTTTGAATACAGGCCGCGGCGGCTGTTCAAGGAAATACGGTACACACCACACCCACACACACACACACATACACACACACACACACACACACACACACATACACACACACATACACATACACACACCCACACACACACACACATACACACACATACACACATACACACACACACACACACACACACATACATACACACACATACACACACACACATACACACACACACACATACATACACACACATACACACACACACACATACACACACACACACACACACACACACACACACACACACACATACATGTACATACATGTACATACACGCCTTGACCTAGGTAGTACACTTTGCCTTGGTACGCTACAGTTCGTACCATCCCTCCACGGCATTCAGGGCCTTCAGCTCTGCATTAACGCAGTCTTTCCAGCGCTTGCGTGGGCCACCAGGTGGGAGCAGGCCGAACAACAGAATCTGCGGGATGCGCTCCGATGGCATGGGAGCAATATGGCCCAGCCACTCAAGCCGTCGTTGGCGAATCAGGACAGCAAGCGGACGCTCGTCTCCCCACATTTCCAGCAGCCAATCCTTGCTTATTCGTTCTTTGTCAGGCATTTATCATTCAAATGCCAAGAATGGGACGCAAACACTGCATGAAGAACGTGGAAGCAGTTTCCACTTGGAGGTCAGGTAAGAGATCGTGGCCTTTGACGTCCAGGCATCTGTGGTGAGGTCAAGTGCTGGAGCGTTCTGGAGTAGCTCCATCAGTTCTTTTCGTGCTCTTGCGTGGCACTTTTGGATCATGCCAGCGATGCAGGTTCGCGATGGCACAGTGAAGCCAGGCTTCAGGAACGACATGAGCCTCACAAAACCTCCTTCGCTGGCAATCCCCAGAGGTCGCATATTCTGGCAGATCCAGTCCACCCGCAGGTTGTATATTTGGGAGACCTTCGCCGTGCTGCACGGTGTCCGCGACTGCCGAACGCCGAGCGACGTTATGGGGAGAGTCCCTTGCCCAGTTGTCACTTAGCTAGAGGCGTGGTTCGCAGCAGGCTTCGAAACGACGAAGGGATGACTAGTTCTCAAATGGTTCTGGAGGTTCGTCGTCCCTCCACTATAGGAGTAGGAGTGCTTGCAGTGGCTACACATTCCTTTGTTCTCTACCGGTTGAGAAATGTGCTCCCAACCGAAGGAACGTTGAGACGCCAGCTTTCCAGCCGTAGTCGCCATGATACTGCAAGGGGTAACAGGGCATGCGCTAAGGATTAAAATGTGCTCTGACACAATGTCCTGCCAGTTGCAAAAATGGCCGAACATGTCCGGACATGCAAATTGTCACATCAAATCACACAATGTTCAGTGTAGAATTAATACCATCGAAATGTTATTACAACGTGAAAAGACCTTGGCTGCTGCTGCGTCGTCAAGTTTGCACAAGGCTCGAGCGATTGGCGCATACTCTATTGGGTTTCCGCTTGGTTGGTTGGTTGGTTTATTTTAACTCGCACAATAAACGGGATCTAGGCCCAATGATATAAAGGCGAATGGATAAGCCGCATTTAGAAAAGAGAGGACAGGACTTAGAAAATTACGAAAGAAGAAGTATCTGACAGAGAAGTGAAGCGAGTATCAGGGGTGACAGGGTGGTCGAGGAGAGCTAGGGGGAGGGTTAGTCTGAGCAACAATATGGTAGGCAACTTATGCTAAACCTTTTCTGTCTTGCTATGGTCCGAACGTCATCCGGCAGCAGGTTCCAGAGTGTAGATCCTGCGACGCACGGCCGAGAAGCGTCAGAGCGAGTGGAGGATGGCTGACTGAGCAGACCACTGGACCTCTGATGACGGGTTCCCTGCCAGCAGATCTGACGAACAGTACAGACAACGTGGCACTAGCTTTCCCGTGAAGGCATCTCCCGACAAACACTAGTAGCTTGCACTTGCTTGACTGCTCCTTGCCAAACAATGCCATGGCACGGCGATGCATTTCAGAAGCAGCGCGATCTTTGAAGGTTGACGTTTTCAGGTTCCTGGAGCCAACGACGAAGGAGTTAGAAAAATTCTTGCTGCTGCGAATTTTATCAACAAAACGGGAACTCATCTTACACTTCAAATTTTCGACAACGCTATGATCCGAGGGACTGCGCTCATAGCTCAGCCAAACAGAAGTTGAAAGCTCCCTATCATACTCGCCGACCCACTTGTCACAAATACTGTTAAGCGTGAAATTTTCGCGGCGTTTTTAGTTCGCGTTTTCAGAATCCGGACGGGTTTGCGAGGTTTTAATTTTGCGATTGCAGAATGGCATTCTTGCTAAACCGTTCATGGATCTCCTTTTCGCGCTGTCTAAATTTCGCGACTTCCACGCGGTCGCGAATTTCGCAGAAATTAAACCATGGCAATAATTTCACAGTTTACAGTACTGGGCTTCTTTTCATCAGCAGTGCTTGGCTTTCTCTTGCCAGACGACATCACTAATGACTATGAGACAAAGGATTGACGTGCCTTTTCTTTTTTTTACTTTGCAAAAAAAAGGGCGCGGACGCTTTGTCCGGATGTGTGCAAAACATCCGGAAACCGACCGTAAACGGTCGGAAATTGTCCGATGTCCGACCGTTATTTCGCGCCCTGGGTAAACAAATAGAGTCTAGAGAACGGAAACTGTCAGACGCCAACATGTCGGACCGGAAAGAGTATCGAGGTGACAAGCTCAAGTACGTAACGAAACTACGCACAAGCGTTCCGTTTGCAACACGTGTGGTTGCAGGGTGAACTGAAGTCACCGTGCGTCTCGACTACTGTAATTCATGTCATTTTAGGTGCATCAAAATTTCGGTGCCACGGACCTGCCAGGTTTCAGGTGTATTTTAGAATCAGGTGACCAGCATTCCCATCACAAACAGTGTATACCCTAGTGCCTTTTAGGTGTAATCTAAATTTAGGTGCCTGGTTTTCACTACCGAAATCACCGAGATTAAAGTTACACCAAAAGAATATCGTGTTGTACAGTATATCTTGCTACCGTTACCTGTCGTATCTCACAGCTTGCCGTGATCTGGTGTCAATGATCGCATCGTCCAAAATACTTACTCAAAGGCACCCATACCAGTGGCCGCGCGGTACGGGAAACGCTTTTGAAAAGTCGATCAAGTACAACATTTCGAGTTTTCGTTTGTTTGAAAGTTTCAAACGATTATTCGGATTTCAACAAACGGCGAGGAGATAACAATTTATTGCGATCCGAAGATTATTCGGATATTCGTACTAGTCGTTTAACCCCTATTAGAAAGCCTACGAATGTCGGCTTGGAGAGGTACCCATCACGCACGTGCACACACGCACGCACACCGGAGAGCGCAACACAATTTCGACATTACTCATGGTATCCTGGCACTTTCTGGAACGGTCAGACATTGCTAGACACTGTGATTTGAGCAGATTTTTGTGGTGCCTATCTTGCCCTCAAATGGAACTTTCGGTCTTTGACTACTTTGTGGTGGATCTGATCTCTTCAAAGACCACCTCCACAACCACCACCGCTTTAGGAGCTGCATCTGTGCCTTGATTCTTCAGGATGATGAAGTTCCTGCAGGAACGTAAACTCAGTCTGCGTGAGTCTCATGCGAGCCATGTGTGTGTGTGTGTATGTGTGTGTGCGTGTGTGTGTCTGTGTGTGTGTCTGTGTCTGTGCATGCGTGTATATGTGTATGTCGATACGCCCTTGTTATTTCCTGCATAGTTCCTCTGGCAGCCAGTACAAGTACAAGCCAAGGTATGCACAATTGTTTACAGTCCAGTGTGTCTGGTGTTCTCTTCTGTCTCTCTCTGTCTCTCTTCTGTCTCTCTCTCTCCTCTCCCTCTCTATCTCTATCTCTGCCTCTATCTCTCTCTTGTCTCACTCTCACTCTCTCTCTCTCTCTCTCTCTCTCTCTCTCTCTCTCTCTCTCTCTCTCTCTCTGTCTGACTCATGCACACACCAACACATAGCCAGATGCAAGAAAGGAATAATACCAAATTTCTTTTTGTAAATCTCTGCATAAAAACCGGTTCAACTGTGTGTGTGTGTACGTGTGTATGTATGTGTGTGTGTGTGTGCACATGTGTGTGTGTGCGTGTGCATGTGTGTCCGTGCTCATCTGTTTGCTGGTCTCTGCATTAGAGAGGGCGTGTGTTTATGTTGGACAATTTGATGATGACCCGTTGCCACCACCACCAGCTGCACCAGCCAACAACGGCACGCCTCCCCGGAAACCGCAGCAACCGACTGGAAAGCCGCTACAGCCTCCGCCCAGTCAGCCCCCGCCGCCACCTCCATCGCAGTCGCCGGCTAGAGGCTTGAAGGAGCTTTCCCCGCCGTCATATCCGCCGCCGTCTCCCTCGCCGCCGTCTCCCTCGCCATCCTGTGACACGACAGGGTCCGTGTCATCCACCACATCCAAGGCAAAGCAGGTGTTGTTGGAAAGGTTTCTGCTGCTGACAGACTCTCCTCAGCCCACTCGACAGGCAGACACTGACGACCCCGTACTCGATGACGTTGCACCGCACGACCCCTCAGCGCTGGAAGCCTTCTCCCAGTACCGCCAGCGAGCGTCCGCGTTACCCCGGTCAAGCACCATCGAGCGGCCGAAACGATTGCACAAGCAAGAATCCTTGCCGGTCGACCCCGCCACAAGCACTAGATTCTTACGAAGTGACACGGTGTCATGCGTGCCGGATGCCGATGCTGCCGATTTGGTGGCCAAGCGTCCAAGCCGCCTACCTCCGCCACCCCCGAGGGAGTCGGCGACGGACGACGTGTTCGGAACCAACGATCGTTACACAATACACGGCGAAGCGACGGTGAGCGAGCTGTCCATGCTTGAGCCAGCGCCTTCGTATCCTCCCCCACCTCCGCTGGACATGTGCACGCAGTCGCTGCCCACGGCCACTCCTGCCGCACAATCCACCCCCTCACCCTCCTTGCCGTCATCACCGCTGAGTCGGGACGAGTACACAACTACACACTCTCCGCTGCCACAGCAGGTCGGCGACGGGGATTACACGCGTCTAGAACGACCCAAGACGTCTCCGCCACCCGCACCGACAGGCGGGAGGACGGCTCCCCACCCAAAGCCACCTCGGCGTAACGTGGGAAACCAGGTGCCTATGAGACCGCCGCCGGTTCCCCCCGGCCAGAGCATGGGGGTCGTGTCGGGGGTATCGTCCCGAGACACACTACCCGGGAGCTGCGCGAACACCAAGCGCGCCAGCCTGGGAGCAGTGTTCACTTACAGCGGAACATCGGTGTCGCAGGCCGATTCACCCGTGTCCTCTCTGGCCTCCGGAGCGTCGTCAACTGCGCAGCAACCGGAGCCAACGGCGGTGGTCGTCGATGGCGACGAAGGCGATGCGTCAGCGTACTCCTCTCTACAGCACTGCAGCATGGTCAGCACAAACGCGCCGAGCGACTACGAGGAGTTCAAGCCGATGCCACGACGTCGCTCTTCCGCCATATCGGTGGTAAATCACCTTGGCGGCGGAGTCGGTGCTCGGCGAGTGTCTAAAGCGAGTGCGGGCAGTGCCCCAATCAGGTCACAGTCACCGTCTGCATCGCCACTAGAATCACCGGCGTCCTCGCGATCTCCACCACCGCTGCCCATACTCACGCCCGACGCCAGCATCATGTCGGCGACGGGCACGCCGTCGGATTACGAAGACCCTCACTCGCTCTCCTCCAGGACCACTCGCAATCTGCAGAAGGCAGCACAGTCGCTGGCCGAGGCGCCGGAGTACGCCATGTACACGGACGAGTCGGTCAAAGCGCGCTTCCAGCCGGGCGGGCCGATGGTCAAGATGGCATCGGATTCCCTGGAGGACGTGGCAGGCAACGGGGGTGGTGATGACGCCAGCGGTCTCTACACCACGTTTGTCAAGCCGCCGCCGTCACGCAGAATGACATCACCCATCCTGACGGCCACGATGCACGCCTCCGACAAGCCGCAGGAGCCGGAGAAGCGCTCGCGCTTCAGCCTGTACCACAGCCCGCTGCGGTTCATGCGTCGCAGCTCGGGCAGCAGCTGCCACACGCCGACCAGCGATCGTTCCGGATGCAGCACGCCTCGCTCGCCGACATCACCGCGTCACTCCATCCCGCCGTCGCCCCAATCCACCGGCGGTAGCAAGAGGAGAAGCAGTGGCAAGAAGAGCCGCTCGCCCAAGGGGGGAGATAACTCCCTGCCGGCCATGTTCATTGGCCAGATCTCGGCGTGCACGTCGCCGACCAAGGTCGGGGAGATGCGCCGATCGGTGACCCTTAAGCCGGGCAAGTATATGAACGGCTCACAGATCGGTGAGCGTTACTCGGACGTGCCAGCCTCCACGTTCCGCAGCTCCGGGTACGTCCCACCGCCGCCGTGCTGCCCTCCGCCCGGCGATCTCCCTGCCGGCAGTACCCAGGTTAGTAATGACATGCTGCCACCCCCACCACCACCACCACCAGCAGCCGACGCCACAGAGTGCTTCGTCGACCCGCTGATAGCGCGGCTCCGCAATCAGTTCAGTCAGATGTCCGAGGAGCCCAGTGTGGATGAGCAGTCCGTCGACGGAGCGTCCATGATCGACGGAGTTCAGGCGTTCTACCGCGGCGGGCAATTCCCCTCACTGGATGACTTGCTGCCCAACAAGCAGGATGCCAAGGGCGACGGCCAGGATGTGTCGTCGTCTCAACCCGACCACGTCGTGGCTAATGGATCGTTGCCACGCATGCCACCGGCCATGCCACTGAATCCACCGCCGCTCTCACCCAGCGTTTCATCGGTCAAGACGGCGGAAGTCTCGTTCTCCCAGTGCACATCGCCGACGCGCGGCAGCAGCCGTGCAGATGAAAGCGTCGTCGCAGAACCAGCCACAACGGCATCCAGCAGTGGTGGTGGCAGTGCTCCCGCGTCACGCCTCAGCCCCGCCGAGTACTCCAAAATCAACCGTCGCGCCGCGGGCTCGGTCGACATCGACGGTAAGACGGTCGTGGCCAGCAGCCTCTCCAGGCGGAGAGCCAGCAAGCAGGCAGCAGAACCCGACTACTCGGTGCCCAAGCGGCGCACAACAGTTGGTAGCAGCCGTCCGTCGGCCATGCAGAAACAGAGCCGTTCGATGACCGTTACCAGCGCCGTGCCCGGACATCCGCCACCTACGGGAGACTTCAACAGCAGCGTGGGCTGGAATGACGGCAGAACCCCCGACGGTACGCAATCACCGACAGGAGCACAGCCGTCGTCGGCTAACAATGCAGCTGCAAAGCGGTCCGGTTATGCCAAGCTACCGCAGGCACCAGCCACCTCATTCGCCGCGCTGCCGTCAAAGCAGCACCTGGTTCGGACGCAAACGGCCACGGTGGAGAACAACACCTACGCCAGCGTCATGCTCGACGGCGGGCGTACGGGCACCAGCGCCGACGAAGACTCCTCGTCAGCGTTTGCCAACGACGAGGAGGAGGCACCGGCGTCCGAGTATGCCCGGGTCCTGGTGACCAAACGGAAAAGCTTGCGGGTGCGCGATCGCCCACCCAAGGTGCCGGCCAAGAAAGTGGAAGCCAAACAGGGCAGCGTAGAACTGCTGGAGGTGTTTGAGCGGCGACGCTCCGTGGGTTCGATCCGCAAGCACGGCCGCCGACAAACACATAGCGCCACTTCTCGCTTGAGCTCCGCTTCTAACTGCGAGGAGGAGGACCTGTACTCGATGCTGACATACCCGGACAGCGACGGCAATCGAGACGGCGGCTACGAGGGTGGTGAGAGTGGCGCGGAGAGTGCGGGCGGCTTCTCCAGACCCTCGCTGGGCAATCCAAGGATGTCGGCGAGGTTCGGAGGTAGCGAGGACTTGCTCGCATCGCCGAGTCCTAGCGCTGCTTCGTCATCCGGGCCGGCCGTAGCGCCCCCATCCAGCCACCACCAGCACCATGACCAGCAGCAATACCGGCCTTACTACAGACAGTCGGTGGACATTCTGGACAGCTCTGGCTCCATGGGCCGATCAGGCATGGCGAGTGCGAGCTTTAATGCCCCACCGCCGCCGCCGATGAAGGCCGGCCACTCTAAGAAGAACGACAGTAAACCGAGCCTGTCATCAGCGGCCAAGGGCCACAAAGGAAAGCCTGACGCTCAGACCAAGTCCAAAGGTAGCAGCAAGGTGTCTAGCAAGAAAGACGAGCAGTCCACCAGCTCACAACCGGCCATTCTGAAGAAGATCGTCACGCTTTCTCGTCAGGACAGCGGGACTTTCCCGAGCGTATCCAGCAAGAAATAGCTCTGATGTTGCCAGTCCCTCCGGCTCAGCAGTGGTGATGTGCAACCAACCCCATATCGCAGGGAATGCTTCAAGCAACCGAGGCACTTAGAGGAGAAGAGCTCGTGGCATGCAGCATAACGTTCTCGAATGGTAGACACTCAGGGCGGTGCCTGCCTCCGGACTCCGGGCATTCCTACACACACACATGTAGTGGCAGATTTGTAATGAGTTCTATGCTATACTACCAGTAAACTGGGACACTCAGAGGTGTGTGCTTACAGCCAGGTAGATTCCGGTTGGACTCTCACCTCGTGCCCAGTCACCACGCGTCCCTGCCACGCTCATCTCGTGTGTCATTAGCAACAGCTGAGCAGTGATGTTCCTACCTCAGGACTGCTTCGTGACTCCGCTTTCAGCGCACCGTATTTCTCCCGGTGGCCAAGCGTGTCGGTGCGTGTTGCAGTGTGTGCGAGTGTGCGTGTGTGTGCGCGTGTCCATTGCAGCGGATGCATTGGCAGCCCGAGGCAAAACTCCAAGCGCCACTCGTCACCAGGTGCTCGGTGAATTGTCGCCGTGTCCAAGCAGAGGATATGTAGTGAAAGTCACGCCAGCGCCTAGCTCACTTATTCTCCTCGCCGCGCTCGCGTGTGAATGTACATGAGTTTGTGTGCGTGGGCACGTGAGTTCACGTGTGAGCACGTGAGTTTGTGTGTGTGCACGTCAGTTCATGCACGCACTTGCCTGCCGTGCAGCGAGCAAAATGATTTAAACCTACTCTCCCCGTACCCTGCGAAGATGTCAAAGAGTGGCTTGACAGGATCTGGCATCAGACAAAGCTGTAGCTACAATTACAATAGCACTGGCACCTTCATGCCTAAATTCCTTTTTTTTTGTACACACACCGCTCCCATGGCTCTACGAATAGCACTCGCATATGTACCAGTAATATTTTAATATTTTATATATTTATTCCCAATTTTAGCGCTCAGTGTACTTTGCTGCATTCAGTAACGGGCAGTGGCGCTGCCTTTGCCCTAATTTTCACCCGTCCGTTTGAACCTGAAAGTGTTTCCTGGTTTCCACGAGTAAATGTCTCAAGTCTGCAACGATATTTTTCTGAACCGAATGCCTAACTTCTTGGCCGTCCCCAGTGTTGGCTCGCTCCTTGGCCTTTTGCTTTCCTTTTCTACATTTAAATCGGTTGAACCAGTCTCTTCTTGTGTCTGTAACTCGCACCATCTCAATGTCCCTGTGCTCTACCAACAGTGCTTGTGCGTTTGTATCCGCGATACACCACTATCAGACTGTACCACCCGAAAGCCATCATCTTCTCAGTGCTCCCCGTCCTTCTGTCTGCCTTTCTGCGACTCGTGATACCGACACTCAAAAGGCCACCTTTCTTTCTTTCCTCCCTATTCTCATCGTCCCTGCCAGTCCCGCCTTTCCGTGAATATCGTAAGTATACTCGCTTGATTGTTCGCACATTTTTATCTGTCGTCTTCGAGGCTCTACTTCTGCTTATACTCAGTGGAATATATTTTTTAAATACAGTTTCCGACAATTTTTAAAACTTTTAACATAGCTTTGAGTCACCGGTCTCTATTCAGGTTTAGATATTTTTTAGCACATTCTTTCTCTGTCCCGTGCAACCAAACGCACACTACTCCACAGTGTGTGTGCGAACTCACACACGCGCAGTGCTGTGCTGTGACGCGGAATTTCAAGTCGGCGTCATTGTGATCAGAGCGCTCCTTGCCGGTGCGGTGTCCGGTCTTCTGTACAACGGCGTCAACCTGCCCGCCGACACCGGCACACATAATATTCTGTTGCAAGTCTGTACAGTGGAGATTGGATATAACAATACTCCGTCGGGAGAGAACAAAATGTCACTACTAGTAGATTCGATCTGTTACTTAACCCGATCAAGGCTTAGCTAACGACTTACTATTATATAAAACCACTTGGGCAACAGAATTGTGCCGCTAAACTCAATCTGTCGTTGTATGCAAGGTCGTTAGATTCGATCTCCACAGTACATGTATGTAGGATCAAATGCTGCTGTATTTCCTCAGGGAGTCACTACTGGTCAGGGAGTTGCACGCAATCCCCTGCTGTCGGTCTATGGGGTGTGTCAGATAATAGAGAGGTTAAGATGCACGTTATTTCTGACGTGGCGCAAACAGGTTCAGGTCGCGTTATTTGGCTCGTGCGTCAAAAAAAAACAACGCAAGTGACTTTCCGCTCGCGTCGAAATTTGGAGTCTTACGCCAAATTTGACGTAAAATTGCGCGGCACGTCGGAAATAAAGTGCATCATCTTAACCTCTCTAATACGGTTGCTGTACACACGCCATGCATTGCATCATAAAACACGCCTGTACATTTTTTCCGGGACAGCTCCACGCTCCAGGGGACTTTGACTGTGGTTATGATGCACCGCGAGAGTTCACTACTGTCTGCGGCGTGGCGTACTCTGCTGCACATGTACAGTACTCAGTAGTAGCATGTATCACTCAATGAAATCCAGTCGCGCCACTCAAGTACGCGCCGGGCGTTGCGCAGCCCTAGACCTGTGAACACTGGGCTGGGGAATGGTGCCAGGCGCAAACTTGAGTGACGCGGCTGGATTTCATTGAGCAGTGCTTTAAGTTAATCCGTTATCGGGCTTGTTGTTGTATACTGTATACGCTTTGCTTGTTGCTTTAGCAGGTAAATTTACATGGCATTGTACAGTCGACTCACTTATAACGAACTCGCATAGTCTTACGTAAACTACATGCGCATCTGTGTTCCGCCATACGGAGTTTTCAAATCATGTAGCTGCCCTTGGCAACTCCGAACGCGGCAGTGTACGACCAGATCCGAGATCGACCTGGGGAGAGAGTCATAAATTTGTACCCCAATCCACTTAGGCTGTCATCACACCACGTTCTCCGACTCCCGTTTACGTCTACGTCTATGGTGAAAAAACCAAAACGGGTGGTCGTAGACTTCTACGATCGTGTCATCAGACAGGCACAGTTCTTGACGCGTACACGCAGTCAGGTTTTGTGGAGAAATAATTTTTTTTTTTTTTTAATTTGAACCCACGTACATCGAAGTACAGGGTCGCTCGGAAAAAGGCTGGGGGAGATACGCACGTTCATACAAAAAGTCGTATACCCCCCCTCTCCATACGTATATACCACGTCCACGGGGACGTGGGCCCACGTGTGCGTATCACAATGTGTACAAAAATGATTTTTACCCGCCATATACGCACAAAGGCCACATTTCGATCCGTTGGATCCGGTCAACCCTGCTCCCCGAGGTGGGTTGACCGGATCCAGATTCGACCAATCGAAAGGGTGCGAATCCAATGGATCGGGATCCCGATCCTACTAAATGAACATGCCCTTAGTGACGTCCACTGTTGAGGTCTCACTTATTCCGAAGTGAACATTGTATCAGCAGCGCAGTGGTATGGGCAACTGATGTATCGGCCTGGACTTCGCCCAGAAGCGTGGCATTGTAGACCTTTTTTAAGCCACCTCGAGCATGCATTAACACATACACCGCACGCACACATCTCTTCCACACACACACACATGCACACTCACTCACAAACACACACAGAAGCACACGTACACGTACGTAAACATATTTCCTTATTCATTTTCGGTATTCCCAGATCGAGGAATGTGGTCTAGCAGCGGGATCTCCGCCCTGTGTATTAAACAATACATCATGTTTAGAATAGCCGGGGCGCATGTAAAGAACAAACAGCTGGACAAACACGCACGCTCACACACACACACACACACACACACACAAACACGCACACCCATACCCACACACTCGCAAGCACTGCAGGAAGCACGCACGCATGCACAGTCCGGATCCAACTGTTTCCAAATGATATTCTAGAGAAACGATGGTGAATCAAGGAGCCTGCATGAGATACTATTACCATGCTGTCCTTGATTGGAGTGCTGTAAATTAAAACGTTCTGCTAATTATAAGTCATAGTGTTGTCTGGCGTTTTGCAGTGAATAATCGATATCGCATTCACTACTCTACTGCCTGATTTGTCTGCGCAAAAGTGGTCACCACGGCAACTTCAATGCCACTGTCGCCAGTACCGCTCCCGCTGCCGTTGCTACCGGCAACCTCGGAGACTGGCGGCAGATAGGATACATTCTCGGGATCGGCGCCAGGACCTTTGCTCTGCGGCCCCTTCGCCTGGGCCTGGGCGATGTCGCTCGCCGAGATGCCATCTATCGAGCCGTCACTCATGCGCCGATGTGCATCATCCAGATGTATCACTGTTTTCGTATCTTGCGCGACCAGGGAGTTCTTCTTCTTGTTGATGACAAAGGCAGATGCGGTGGGTTCAACTGTGCTGGCTGTCAGCTTCGGCAGCTTGCGCGCAAAGAAAATGACAGCGAGCAAGGTAAATGAGAAATGAACTTCGAGGAAGCGCACCAGATACGAGAGGTCCGGCGTCAGCGTGAAGACGTGCTTTGCTATGAGGGAGATGATCTTGACAACCAGGTAGATATACACAGACAGCTGGATCTCCTTGGCCTCGGAGAAGGCGTCACTCACGTTGCGTAGCTGGAAGCTGAGGTAGACCACAGGACAGAGGAACAACAGAGTGATAGCTTCCATGATGTCATCAAAGAATGACCTGGCGCACAGGTGGTACTTGAGGTTCGACGCATTCTCAAACTGCTGCGGCTTCGGCGGAATGCCGATCGTCCAGAATAGAAGCAGAATGATGCAGGCGAACACGATGGCCGACAGCATGTAGGCGAGGTCGGTGTTGCTAAGGCGGCTGCGTCCCTTGCCACGGAAGCGGCGTGTTGAGAAGATCTGATGCAAGCGCCAGGTCTTCACCAGGATACTGCCATAGGTCAGTGAAAAACCGAGATAGTACAGCCATACTGAGACGACACAGCTTGAAGCGGACACATTCAGGTCTGCCAAGGCACCAGCGAATGCATCGGGCATGATTCCGATCAAGGCCAGTACAGCTCCGAGTAAGGTGGTGATCAGGAACGGCCAGCTAGCTGAGCGGATGGTGTGTGTTCCGCGGAACACGACGACAACGGCAATCAGCACAATGCACATGATCATGGCAATGATGTTGATAGCTGACAGGCCACCAATCATGCCGGCCTGGGCCTGTATTGTACAAACCTCACGGCCATTAACACATTCATCGCAGCCTTCTGGGCAGCGCTTGCACGAGTACTCTGATTCCAGCACAGCACGAATTGCAGTGGTCTCTGTTTCACACTTCTCTGGAGCTGTGCAGCTGCAGTTGGTTGTGTTGCGAATAGAGTGCGTTGCCGTCTCAATATCCGTGCCACTGTAGTACTGCTCAGACGTTTTCAAGTCGCTACCATTAGCGTCCCGACGGTAGAATCCTTTGCGACATTGGCACTTGTAGGTGCCGAATGCAAAGCCGCGATTAGGGATGTGCTTGCACTCTGTAGACTCGGGCTCGCAAAGGTGAGTGTTACGGAATGCATCGAAGGCTGAGTGTGGGTCATCAGCGTTGGGTGAGCATTCATCAACGTCGATATCCGAAAGGTTGATATCAACTGCTGTCATGCCAGCATACTGCAGTTGGTTGTTATCTGTTACATGAAATATAGGCGTTGAATACGTGATCATCCAAATGAAACCAAGGAAGCAGTCAAAGTATGGATTCGTCCACAACCCCTCGGAGTAGCCAACAGCCACTCGACTGGTGGAACGAGAGCCCAAAGTGGTTCTTTCCACAGAAGCAGGAATTGGTGAGCCATGTAGTGATCCTGTTTCAACCCACGTACGGTTCACTGCCTCAAGTTTCGCTTGGGGAAGCGTGAACCACTTCTCTGTCACCACAGGAAATCGGCCAAAGTCGAGGGATGTGACCTCCACATTCTTCGCGGTAACGGGCCTGTAGCGATATTGGCAGATAGCAGATCCACCTGTCTGATGACCCATACACGATCCAGCCGCAAACAACTCCTTGCTGGACACCAGAGTGGATAAAGTAAGGCTACCGAGTACTGGATTTCCCCCGTCGTAGGGGTTTGCTTCTGTCGCACACGTACTATTCAGCAAATCGGCTAGAGCGTTCCTCCCAGTGACTGGCTTGAAATTTCCAACAGTGCTCGACGGGATACTGCTAAGCAAATCAGACAGGATCTGGCCATTTCTCGCCACCAACCTGGCATGATGCTCAAATTCTTTGACGTTGATGTTGAAGCTGGGGAAAGTGAACGAGGCACATGATGGGGGACCGTCACCCGACTTCAGAGCTTTTGATCGTGTGATCAAATCTTCCACGAACTGCAAGCCAGCTTTCTTCGTCACTCTATTTGTCAGGTCATCACTCGAGACAGCTTTGTCGCATCCACTCAACTGGTCTATGGCATGGCAGCATGCTAGGCAGCAGAAAATTAGCAAGATGCTTGGTTGCACACGTTCAATTACCATCTTCACTTCCCATTACAAGCGGCTGCATGCAAGCTTATGTGGATCAAGAACTGTCTTTTTGCCAAGAAGACAGAAGCTCGAAGACGCCCACTGTTCGCAAAGGCGTGCAGGAATGACAACTAACTTGTTGTACGATAGCTTTTGTACGAATCTCAAGTACATGACTTTTGTACAGTATTCTGCGGAATGGATGCACCACACGCCTGCATGCATGCAGCACGTTTCAACAGATAATGGATGCCATGCGCTAGCTACAAGCTGTTTATAAAAATAAAAATAAACTGCAAACTGATTGCCAGATTGGGTGTATACGATACATACCGTACACATGGTACACACGCCAACATGTGCCACATGTACATGCACATGCACATACCACATGGTCGACCGGTCGCGATCGGGTCGGGAGCTAAACCGCGGAACCTACAAAGGCTACATCCAATCCGGTCCAGTCACTGGTCACCATATCTGTAGACTACTGACTACTGGTGTATGTGAGCTGGATGGAGGAGCTGTTACAATCATGTTGGACGTGACTCATGCCTCATGCCATGGTACATAACATGGTGTCTGCTCACAACTCGTGTTTTTTTCAAACATTTGATGTGGATCAAGCCTGGCGATGCAGGGGTCCGGGTCCAGGCCAGGAAGCTCGAAGGTGGATCGTGGAGCAGCGGAAGGAAGACTTATTACTACGTAGTAATAGTTTCCACAAGTTCATAGAATGGACAAAACAGTTCTGTCCGCAGATTGAGTAGAATGGCGTTTAACTTCTTAGGAATAGGAGCCCGTCTCAAACGAAAGGAGGTAAGGGAACAGGACAAAGCTGGATCATCGTACTTTGATAGACCATCAAGCCCTCTGATCTGCACCATGTTTGATTCAAAGAAAAGCTGACGATACTGATAGAACATTTTGACAGCTTCTTTCCAACAGCTATGAAGGTGAAGGTCAGTGAAACCCCACAATGCCAAACCAGCAAACACTTGCAACGCAAGAGTCGCGCATGTACCTGGCTCTCGAACAATCATGTACTGAGTACTACAGTCCATTTCAAAACTATAGACGCGTACCTAGGCAAAAACCGTTATGCCAGCATCTATACCACATAAAATCTGTGATCACTTTGTGCATAAATTTTTCCAAATTGGGCGTCTGTTATCCAATCCTTTAGAAACTATAATGAGAGTAATTGTGGAGCGATCCTGAGCAATATTCCGAAAACTATTCTCAAAAAGTTCCAGCCAAATTTGAAATATTTCAAAAACCCTACCCGTCTATAGTTTTGAAATGCACTGTACATAAGTACAATGATTACCTGTATCACCGCCATTGGCATTGGGCCCGGAGCATGCCTCCTCGATCCCCTTTACTTCCTCCCAAATAATAATTTTAATTCCACTGAGTAGATCTACAGCTATGTGTACACTAAATACACGATCGGCATACCCGGACCCACATGTACATGGGGGATCTAGGAGGCCGGCATGCGCAGTGGCCCGCAGCTAGCCCGGCAGAGGTCGTGCACCGTAGCTAGCCAAAGTGGATGTACTCTTGCTCGTAGACCATGTACCAAGAGTCCAAAGACTCGACTACAAGAAGGGCATGTTCGATTGGTAAGGATCGAGATCGGGATCCAGATCTCAGATCCCTCGGATCCTTCAGATTCAACTGAACACTTTATTTTGGACCTTGACTGTTGCCATGTTGAAAATGGCGCTCACAAGGCACCCAAAAGGGTGAACGTCGTACTCATCGCGTGCGTCGTACAAAAAGTCAACAAGCTCTATCTCCATCCACGTGTACGTGTGCGTACCACAATGTGTACAAAAATGATTTTTACCCGCCACATATACGCACAAAGGTCACATTTGGATCCGTTGGATCCGGTCAACCCTGCTCCCCGAGGAGGGTTGACCGGATCCAAATCCGAAGGATCCGGATTCGACCAATCGAAAGGGTGCGAATCCAGTGGATCCGGATCCCGATCCTACCAATCGAACATGCCCTACAGTCCATTTCAAAACTATAGACGCGCAGTGTTTTTGAAATATTTCAAATTTGGCTGGAACTTTTTGAGAATAGTTTTCGGAATATTGCTCAGGATCGCTCCACAATTACTCTCATTATAGTTTCTAAAGGATTGGATAACAGACGCCCAATTTGGAAAAATTTATGCACAAAGTGATCACAGATTTTATGTGGTATAGATGCTGGCATAACGGTTTTTGCCAATGTACGCGTCTATAGTTTTGAAATGCACTGTAGGTACGCGTCTATAGTTTTGAAATGGACTGTAAGTGTACACATACTATTGTACAGAACTATTGCTTGTGAGTACAATCATCATGTAAAAAAAAAATACATTATCGTGTCCGTTCCCGAAGGGAACTCACGACGGCCGCTACACCCGATAACCCTAGCGGCAGATGCAGCGCCTAACGGTGGGGGTGAGTGGATAAGTCTCACAACCACTGGCACAAGTGCCGAAAACGACCCCATTAGCTGCATCCATGTACCCCTTGTACCTGGTCACAAGTTCCCAGTTGACTGTGGGTAGCAGCACGGCTGGAAAAACCGCTCCCAGGCAGAACTTGAACCAGGTACAGTACCTCTCGTATCTCAATCATGGTCTTTGACCAACCCACTGTGCCTGCCTGGATCATGTACATGTATAAAAAGTACTCAGTAGTCTTGTCTTGATCATGATTTTCAGGAAAGCCCCTGGCCCTGACCACGACTTTTTTCAAAGTTTCAAGCGAGTTCATTCATTGCATTCTCTGATACATGTACAAAGATACCAAAACGAAGACCAGAAACACACACATCGCTAGGGTCCGGCGGATTCTGCTCGAAAAGGTGGCAGATTCTGCTCGAAAAGCAGTGAAATTGGCAGAACCATACAAACCTTATGGCGGGCAATTCCTCGATTTCTGCTCCATTTCTTCATCCACATACCATACATGCATGAAACTTACCAGAAAAAGTCCCGGATTCTGCCAATTTTTCTGCCGGCAGAATCCGATGGACCCTACACATCGCAGAGGAGTACGGCGAATCAGTCGCGATATCTTCCCAAACAATCAAAAGCAACTTAAGCAGGCTGAAAGAAATTGTGAAAGACATGTTTCCTTTGGAAAAACGCCGACAGAAATTCCTCGGCATTTTTCTCTTATCCATTAGCTAGACCGGTATCCACTTTCTGTTGACAGTAATTATCCCTATCAATGGCAAAAACTCAGATTCCACGACCGACAGCGTGAATTCCGCAAATTCCGTTGCGGAAATGACCACGTCCACAGTCCGCAGACTCTCGCGTTTTGCAGAAATGAAGCGGCAAAAGTTGCAACTTCGTCCGAAGCATGAACCTTTCCAAGAAACTCCCTGGTAATTAGCGGCGAGCATCTTCATGGAAGACTGCCGGTTGACCATGGTATCATGCCGGTCAGTACGGTATTGGTCGCGTACCATGTACCACTCTTTCTGTGAATCAATAAATTCACTGATTTGGGACCCGAAATTCGAAAACTTTCTGCGGAGTCCCCCCCCCCCCCTCCCAAATTATAAAGTAAAGTGTGTCTCCGATGGCTGACCGTACCACCGGCCCTAATTGGCTAAATTACCTTCCGACACCCCTGGTACATGGTATGGGTAGTGCTTTGCAAGGCTTATGCCCGGGTGATCCGCACTCGTCTAGCTCACCCCCACAGTGGATTAGTGTGCATAGGCTTGAGCAGATTTACAGCAATCACTTTTTTTATTCTAACTACTACATGCCTATTCATCAGTAACAACACCGGTACTTGAAGTACCCGTAAGGGCTGTAACCCATTCGTTGAATTGTCTGTCCCTGCAGGAATTTGCGGAAAAAACTCTCGAAAACTTGCGCAAGAAATTGCGGCAGAAAACAACAAAAAATGCGACGAAAAGTGCGGAATGATGCAGAACTTGCCAGGAATTCGCGGAATTATTTGCAGAAAATTGCGGATTTGGGCCAAATCACGAAATTTGTTGCATCGTATATCTGCTCCGGAGTAGTACTAGTCATACTGTGCAAATAACCTACAGGATCATGGAAAGCACTGTGTGAAAAGTGCATGAAACATGTGAGATATAGTGCAGAAAACAACAAAAAACGCGGGAAATCGCGGATTTTGCTGAAAATCGCGGGTTTGGGCCAAAATCGCGAAATTTGTTGCATCCGTGGAATCGCGAATTCCTGGAGGGACAGAATTGTTGTTGTGTGTAGTGGCTACTAAGGGCAGTCGGCTGAGAGCGCACGGAGAAGAAGAGGAGGAGAGATTGTTGAATTATTGAACAGCCGAATGGTGCCGTTCACAGCTTTCTTTTAATACAGTCCTGGTGAGAGAAATCCGACCTCATGAATATAATCCATGTAGAGATCATAGTAGCGCCGATGGCAGCGCAGCACTAGCATCACAAGCACCACTCGGATTTCTCTGGCGAGAACTGCAGTGCAGAGCAACACCAAGAGTTACGTACTCTTGGCAACACGTATCTAATTGATTGCTTTCAGGTCAACATAGGAAAGAAAAGCCGAGTAAAAGGCCGAGGCGTAGCCAAGGTCTTTCAGGAGGTTTCATTCCTATGTTGACCTACAGTCTACTTCGCTTATAACGACACTCGGCGGGGCATCGAAAAGGTGTCCTTATTCGCGAAGTGTCGTTATACCCGAAGTCTCATTATATGTATTACAGTGGGATGGGACTTTGCTCTGGGCATGGAAATTCTGTCGTTATTCGCGAATTGTCGTTATATCCGCAGTCGTTATTAGCGAAGTTGACTGGACATGTAGCACCGGTATGAAGTCAATAATAGATTTATCAGGACTGTAATCGAATTCCTTTCTTCTTTAGGTCGGACCCTAGAGCACTACCAATTCCGTCTGTAGGCTCCCTCGATCCCTCACGACCACACACTCAAGACCCCAAATACGGCTTGTTTACAGGAATTAGTCTAAAAGGAGAGTAAAAAGATCCACAAAAGCCAGCCTGATGCCGCGAGGTTCATGCCCTCGCGCGCATCAAAGAACCATAGCAAAAATGGCGCACAGCATGATCAGATCACATGATCATGCTCTGATCAGCGATTCAAAGCGAGTCAACATATGATAACTAAATTATTTGAATCTTTCGAAAAACTATGATGTCAAAACATCAGTACATTTAGAGAATTATTTGAACAAGATCGAAGGAGAAGATTGATTACTTTATAATGAACTGCAAGTCATGCAATTCCATTACAGGACAAGCCCAAGCATGTGTTCAAACTTTAATCCCTAAAAAGCAAGTCTGTGTACACGTATCTCCCTCTTTTGCAGTTTTCATTTGTCGAGGCGGTGGACTAATCTGAATGACACATTCCTTTAAAATAAAAGATGGGCACATTCAGATGAGAGCGTTGGAGTTCTAGCATGGATGGAGTGATACACAACAGCAACAAACAACAATAGATAATTTAATATTCCTTGTGGTTGACACAAACCGGGCGGCCGGACCCCAACATGATATACTCTCTGCACTGCATCATACTCATGCAGGCAATGGACATCACCAAACAATTTCCGGCAGCAATCTGATCACATTGAGCTTCAAGTGGCAGAGCAGTCTGCCAGCAGACGATAGTTGTCCACAGCATGCATGACAAGACTGGTCACTATGAGAAGGTCTGTTGTCGTCGCTACATATGCTATGCTATGCATGTGATTCTAGAGGTCTCATCAGCGCTGCGACTTTGATGAATGAGAATGTCAGTAGACATCAAATGGGAAAGACACACGAGGAAGGAAGTAAGGAAAGCACCAAGGTAAATTTATATACCGCAATCAGACACAGGTCCGGATGGGAGATAAAGCTATGATGCAGGGTGGTGAAATAAGAAAGATATCCGCCTAACAAATTGCTGGAGATGAGAATGTTTTAAAAAGCAAGCCTGCAATGACGACAGGCAAGATGAGGTGATGCAATGCCCCCCCCCCCCCCCCCGTAAGAAAGCAGTGTGAACTATTCGAAATTTCGCAAATGAATGCAATGGAACAGCGTGGGGAAGTCAGGGGAGGGAAAATATTCCGTCGATGCTACAGCTACAAATATGTGTACGTGTGAAACATATCTGTTACATCAGGTAAGCAAGCCTTGGTAAAAAAATTAATGCCACCTAAAAAGACACTTGTGTCGACAGAGTTTAATTCGTAGGAATTGCCCACACAACTCCAGAACAGAGAGAGAGAGAGAGAGAGAGAGAGAGAGAGAGAGAGAGAGAGAGAGAGAGAGAGAGAGAGAGAGAGAGAGAGAGAGAGAGAAAGCAGGTGGAGGAACGCTCCAATAGTGAAAAAAGAAGAAAGAATGAGACAGACTCGTTGGATCTACCGACAAAGAAAAGAAGTTTAGAAAAAGACAACTCCGGTAATCAGCTATACGGACATGAAGACAAGCCAGTTCTAAATATATTTGAATTTGTTAGGGATCATCAGCTACCAAACATAGACAGCAAAGATATCAAGTCGAAGGACCGGTAGCCAGTTGTCAGGAAGCACTGTCAAACAAGGTGGAAATGTGTGATCGCTCACTAAGAGGACGTTGGCAAATGCTGCAAGCTGGCATGGTGATGCAACAGACAGACACGTCAGCATGTGTTCCGTATGGACAAGGCAACGGACATAAAGTCTTACGGGCGGGCAGAAGAGGCCGACGATTACAGACCCTATACGGTCGCTTTGTGGTTCTCGGCGTCGCTGCTGAGATCGACGGTGACCGTGTTGTTCATTTCGGAAGAGACACAGGAGTCAAGTGTGGAGAGGCTGACAGCTTTGCTCGCGGGCACTGCAATACTCAGGCCGCTCTCTACACCGGACATGCCGCCATCGTTAGGAAGTGGCGTCAGCATGGTCAGCACAACGGGTGCTCCCAGACCACTGCCGGTCTTGTCCTCCTCGTTGACCGGCGGCAGGTAGTTCACCGTCACGGTCTCGATCAGCGAGATGTTGCCGACGCTCTTGCGACTGGCGGACGCCAGGCCGTTGCCGCCCTCCAGCGAACCCGTGCTCATGCGGCGATGCGCGTCATCCAGCGATATGACAGACATGGCCTTGGTGCCGCTACCAGAGGTCTTCTTCTTGTTCAGAATGAAAGCGCTGGCGATCTGTTCGTCGCCGCGTCCCGCTGCCAGCTTGATCACCTTTCGGATGAAGAAGATGACGATGAGCAGCGTGAAGGAGAAGTGCACGCCGAGCACGTTGAGCAGGTAGTTGAGGTCCGGCGTCAGCGCAAACAGGTGCGTGGTGACCAGAGTGATGATCTTGACCACTAGATAGATGTAGATGGACAGGTGGATCTCCTTCGTCTCGGAGAAATCGTCGGTGATGTTGCGTAGCTGGAAGCTCAAGTACACCACGGGGCACAGGAACAGGAGAGTGATGGCTTCCATGACGTCGTCGACGAATGACCGCGAACACAGCTGGTACTTGAGCTTGGAGGAAGTTTCGAACCCTTGCGGCTCCGGCGGGATGCCGATGGTCCAGAAGAGAAGCAGCACGACGAACGCGAAGACAATGCCCGCCAGCATGTAGGCCAGGTCAGTGTTGCTCAGACGGTTGCGTCCCTTGCCACGGAAACGACGCGTGGAGAAGATCTGATGCAGCCGCCAGGTCTTAACCAGGATACTGCCGTAGGTCAGAGCAAAGCCGAGATACGCCAGCCACACTGAGATTGAACATCCGATTTTGGACACCTTGATGTCGACGAAGCCGCCGGCAAACGCTCCTAGCATGATGCCGGCCAGTGCAAATATGGCTCCAAGCAGCGTGGTGATCAGGAATGGCCAGCTGGCCGATCGGACGATGCGCGTTTCCCGGTGCATGACGACAATCACGACGAGGACAATGAAGAGGATGATGGCGAGAATGTTGACGGCCGACAAGCCGGCCACCAGGCCGGCGTCGTTCTCGACGGTGCACACCTCGTGCCCAGTCACGCACTCGTCGCAGCCCTCGGGGCAGCGTTTGCACGAGAACCGGTCCTCGAGCAGGGCCCGAATGACCCGCGTGTCCGCCGCACACTGCTCTGGGTTGTCGCAGCCGCATGCTGTTCCGTTGCGCAGCACAGCGGTGGCCGCCTCGATGTCCGTGCCAGTGTAGAACTGCTCAGAGGTTTTCAAGGCGCCACCAGTAGCGTCCTGACGGTAGAATCCTTTGCGACACTGGCACTTGTAGGAGCCGAACGAAAAGCCCAGGTCAGGGATGTGCTTGCACGCTGTCGACATGGGCTCGCAAAGGTGAGTGTTACGGAATGCATCGAAGGCTGAGTGTCGGTCATTAGCATTGGGTGAGCATTCATCAACGTCAATATCCGAAAGGTTGATATCAACTGCTGTCATGCCAGCATACTGCAGTTGGTTGTTATCTGTTACATGAAATATAGGCGTTGAATACGTGATCATCCAAATGAAACCAAGGAAGCAGTCATAGTATGGATTCGTCCACAACCTCTCGGAGTAGCCTACAGCTACTCGACTGGTGGAACGAGAGCCCAGAGTGGTTTTTTCCACAGAAGCAGGAATTGGTGAGCCATGTAGTGATCCTGTTTCAACCCACGTACGGTTCACTGCCTCAAGGTTCTCTTGGGGAATCGTGAACCACTTCTCTCCCACCACAGGAAATCGGCCAAAGTCGAGGGCTGTGTTCTCCACCTTCGTTCCAGTCCTGAACCGATATTGGCAGACAGCAAGACCACCTGTCTGATGACCCATACACGATCCAGCCGCAAACAACTCCTTGCTGGACACCAGAGTGGATAAAGTAAGGCTACCGAGTGCCGGATTTCCCCCGTCGTAGGGGTTTGCTTCTGTCGCACACGTCCCATTCAGCAAATCGGCTAGAGCGTTCCTCCCAGTGACTGGCTTGAAATTTCCAACAGTGCTCGACGGGATACTGCTAAGCAGATCAGACATGATCTGGCCATTTCTCGCCACCAACCTGGCATGATGTTCAAATTCTTTGACGTTGATGTTGAAGTTGGGGAAAGTGAAAGAGGAACATGGGTCACCCGGCTTCAGAGCTTTGGATCTTGTGATCAAATCTTCCACGGACTGCAGGCCAGCTTTCTTCGTCACTCTGTTTGTCAGGTCATCATCCGAGATAGCTTTCTTACAGCCACTAAGTTGTTCATTTGCCAAACAGCATGACACAACGTAGAGGAGCAGGAGGGGAGCACGGAGATCTACCATCATTTTCCGTGATAAACAGGTGGCAAAAGGGGGAGGCCAAACATCCGCCCAGTAAATGGGCTTCTTCGAAAGTAGAAGATGTCAAAGACGAATAGCCTCTACGGGCCAGAACGGTTGGAGTTTCGTCCTGGTTGGCCATGGTTGGCGCTTTTCTCCTTCGTCTTCTCTGCGCCTCTGAAATTTTCGAATGTTTAGATTCGTACGAGGAAAGGATCTCGGTGCAGCGCCGGCCGACCTCAACGCCGGAGTCAACGGCCCAACGCCGCGCTACAAAAAAATGTTTTATTACATCATGTACATATAATTATACAGAAGCCTTGCTTGGTAGATCATGTACATGTATTGTACAACATGGGGTTATGATTCTTATGAACTAACTTATGTATGACATCAGGGATCTAGCATTCTATGTAGCGAGTCAACCTGGTCAACGGCTAGCTACCTGTACTACTAGGCTGTAGCTTGCTCAGGATGATCCGATCCGGCGATCGAGTCCCTTGCTCGAAATGTCAGATTGGGAGTTTCACTTGTTATCATTTTCTATTAAGTATTATTATTTGCTGTTTGTGAATCGTGCCTGGCAATTATTTGCTGTTTGTGAATCGTGCCTGGCAATGACAAGCTGCGTTGAGGATACTAGTAGTTGGCCGTCTGTTGCCGAAATGCTGGAAGATGTTGCCAGCATGGCGCAATCCTCTTCAGCGCCCCCTGTTGATTTGCTCCAGCGTTATGCAGGTAAGCATTCACGCTTATTTTTGTTTGATGATGATACGAAAAAGAAAACCCCAGCCCAGCTGTACTGCATGTGCATAATTGCGCATGGTACTAGTAGTAGTCGACTAGTCAGCGAGTCGTCACGTATTTTTGTGCACAGCCATATCAACGTACCGTCTGCAGTATAGTACCGTAGTGGCCAACAAAAGACACAATCTGTGGAAAAAATTTGAAGCTGTCCCAATTATTCAAGTAGTAAAGTCATGCATCTATACGTCGTCCACGCCAGCAAATCAAATATTGATATTCGCTGTTTTAGTCATTTCGCTTTATTCCCTGTATACATGTAAGACCCCATGAGGTTCTAGGTCAGTACGCCGAAACCCGCGGGTGCCATTTCATTGCCGTCGGCTGGTCGAAAATATCCCGTCGATGCTTGGAGAGACCAGGCCCCTAAATTTAGATTACACCTAAAAAGGTGCGACAGCATGCAGTGCATGTGTGTGTGTGTGTGTGGGATTGCTGGTCACCTACTTCTACATGACACATGAAACCCACCAGGTCCCTGGCATCGAAATCTTACTACTGTACGCCTAAAATTACAGGCTATACAGTACAGTATGCCATTCGACAGTAACACGAGAGCGACACATCACCTGAACTCCCGCTTGTGTCCGTGTTTTGAAGGCCGTCGGGGTAGCTGAATGAGTAGAAGCCCCCCCCCCCCCCCCCCCCCCCCCCGACTGTGGTCTGTACAGGAGCTGTACGCTGGACATGACATAGCATCCAGGGGGCTGACACAGAGTCACAGAGTACTCCGAAACGATGTACGTTCAACCCTAGATTGGGGAATTCTACGGTATTCATGTCTGTGTAACTCACGATCAGGAACGTGACCTTGACCTGCTCACCCCAAACACGGACCAGTAGCGTCAACATTCAATGGATCGGTCGGGGAAGTGAACTGCCTGAAAAGAGAAAAAATGCCGACCCCATCGGGACGCAAACACGGGACCTTGCTTGTCACGAGCAATTCTCTGACCATATTAATACTTTCCCTCCTTTTCTTGAAGCTGCATGCGCTGACAGTTCTGGTGGATCTGATGTACTGTTTTTGCGCAGCATCAAGCATGCACACAAGCCCTTTACAACAAGAGCAGGTGCCTGCACTTGGAGCGAGCTCGGACAGCCTGGCATCTCGCGATGCCGCGTTCAGCGTGGCACAGGAGTTTGTGACTGGCCAGTCCTCTATGGCCGAGGGCACGCATGCCCTGAGTGCACGTCGGCAACAGCTGGACGCGTTATCCGGGGAGTTGAGCAGGATGGTCCGTGAGGCCACTGCCGCCGCAGCAGCCGAAAGTGCCGCCAGCGACTAAGGGAACACGATGAACGGGGCGCGGAATACCTCTTCTTGGACGTGTTTGGTCACCGTCATGCGTGTAGTTCTGCTGTGTGTGGTTCACGTGAGTGTTGACTCTTTGCAACACCTATCGCGTCTCCCTTCTCGTGCTTGGTCGAGCCGTGCAGAGGACAGTTGCGGACGTGTACACTCTGCTAGCGTCCATCCGTGAACACTGCCCTGCACGGCAACATGTTCCCAGACAAGATTACCTTGCAGACTCCGTTCTCTTGAGTGACTTCCGGGCTACCGCTCGACATTGCCCGCTACCTGCACGCAGTTCTTTTTGCATCACGTTGCGCCATGCACAGCTGCACGGTCCCAGGCAAGCGAGCGACGCTCCTCACCGCATTGTCAGTGTGCTGTGTGTGCATGTTTAGACACGATACGCGGCCGTCGCGCAAATTGGCGTGCTATGCATGCGTTCAGACATGATACACGATCGTCGTTCATGAACGTCACGTGTTGAGCCAGCACTGCGCCGTCACTGCTGTCATTGCTGTACTACTGATGTAAGTGTTAGGTGCCAAGGTACGTACTACTGCAGGTCAGTCAGTCCTTTTAGTCTAGTTGAACTATTTACTTAGAAGATGACCAGTTCTACCCGTCTCTGCTCGACTTGATGGTTTTTCAACCTGTTTTCCAATCTACCATAGGAGCCATTGTGTGTTTGTAGCAAGTTGCTACTTTCTTCTCTCTCTCTCTCTCTCTCTCTCTCTCTCTCTCTCTCTCTCTTTCTCTCTCTCTCTCTCTCTCTCTCTCTCTCTCTCTCTCTCTCACATTTTATATTTTCTCTTTTTTATTATTGATGTTGCCTACCCCCGCTATCCGTATCCCGGATCATGGCTGTGCTGCTTTCCTCTCTGTTACGGGGACCTGTATGTGAATATGTGGAGCTACGCAAACCTTTTGATGATGCATTCTCTTTCCCTGCTGCGCATGCTGGATCATGTGCTAGCTTTGGCAACCTATTTTTCTTTTCATGTTTAAGGGTTATTAATACCCCTAATCTTCACATTGACTCGGATGGAGAGGCAAGGATAAATTATTTACAGGTCAGAAAAAGGACCAAGGAACTACAAGTCACGCTATATAAATGTCCACTAACATCGCATGAGCTGATTGTTTAGTAACTGGTGGTGTTAGTGGACAGTATAGCGTAGCTTGTAGGCCCTTGGTCCTTTTTTCTTTTCTATAAACCTATAGCTGTACTGACATTTCTCTTCACCAGAGTGGCGACCGTGAATGTGTTGCTGTAGTTTCACTACTTGGGCAGCTGGTGTGACCGTGACTGGCCGGCAGCAGATCATGAGGAGCACGCGTGCGCCACTCGCTCATCGCGACTGCGGACCATTGCCATTGGGATTCATGAGCGTGAAATGAATTCTGTCCGTCAGCAGGGCATGCGTGTATTGCACTCTTGGGGGTTCCATCAAAAAAGTAACTAAGGGCCCGGTCACACATGCACTGGGATTCGCTTCGGCGATGAGGTTCGGCGGCAGCGAGCCTGGTGTCGCTCCAGCGAAACCACGTGTGTATGGTCACACATACAAACAGGACAAACTTCTACTTTGGCGGAAAATGAGAGTAAAGTGGACTGTGGTGCATACGGTACGGAGAATAGACGAGGTCAATGAATATCTTGCACGCATTTTTGTTGCATGGACATCATACGCATACAAATTACTCGTAGCAAGTCCATATACAGCAGACCGTGGTGTTTTCCGCTGAAGCGAATCCGCAGAAGCGACAGTCTCGCTTCGAAAATTTTGGAGGAAGCGGATTGGAGTTTCCGCTGAAGCGGAAGTTCCGCTTTTCGCCGTTGCCATGCCATTTTTCGCTCCTGCGACCTCGCTTCAGTGTATACGCTACTTTCGAGTGCATGTGTGACCGGGCCCTAATAGCAAGAGTAGATAAACAAGAGGGTGCAACTCGCGGATGGGTAGGCCCACGGCGGAATTTTTTGTTGACGTAATCTTTTTGACGACGCACGCGCTGCGAGTCTTTCGGAAAGTTTTCCCTCGTGCTCTTGGCCGGCTTTACACTACAAGATCGGTGCCCAGCACGTGCTCTCACACTGCTCTACGGCAAAATGCGCGTTCTTCTGAAAAAAGGTGACGTCAACAAAATATTCCGCCGTGGGCGAGGGTATCTGCAGATTATGCAGGAGAGATCCGGAGTTGCACACTCTTGTTTATCTACTCTTGCTAATAGGGTGGTATCAAGAGTACATAATCCCAAGAGTGTGCAACTCCAGCTATGCATGGGGTCTGCGACGGCAGAACTTCACATCACGTGATGAACCCGTGCACTCTGTGCATGATAGATACTGGGTTGTACGCAGCCCAGCTTTGGGTACAACTCTCTTGTGGTCACTTTGCACTGTTTGCCAGCATAACCTTTTGAACCATGTCACGTGATGTGAAGTTCTGCCGTCGCAGCACAGCATAGAGGTTGTGCAGGCAGTTGCACCCCTTGGGGTTATGTACTCTTGGTGGTATCAGCAGGTTCTCTTCAGAAGTTTTCAAGAGGTGTTTTAGAAAGGACATGTCATGTTTTCGACAAATCCTATAATTTGAGTGTTGTGCATTACATGTATCCAGCGTGCTGCAATGGACGCACATGATGATAGAGCTTGCAAGGAAGTTATAAGAATGCTCAGTATGCTGAATACCGTAAATCAATTATTTAATTTCGCCCAACAGGCCACAGTTTGTCACACAGACAAATCCTATAATTTGAGTGTTGTGCATTACATGTATCCAGCGTGCTGCAATGGACGCACATGATGATAGAGCTTGCAAGGAAGTTATAAGAATGCTCAGTATGCTGAATACCGTAAATCAATTATTTAATTTCGCCCAACAGGCCACAGTTTGTCACACAGACAAATCCTATAATTTGAGTGTTGTGCATTACATGTATCCAGCGTGCTGCAATGGACGCACATGATGATAGAGCTTGCAAGGAAGTTATAAGAATGCTCAGTATGCTGAATACCGTAAATCAATTATTTAATTTCGCCCAACAGGCCACAGTTTGTCATGCATGAAGAGACAAAATAATGATGGAAGATTGTGCCATAGGTGCATGCGAGAGCAACAACTAGCATACTCTCCGGAAAACCCTAATCGGCCAAAGTTAATGAGATCGGCTACATTAAAGGGGAAGTTAAGGCAAAAATTAAAATTTCACCAGTTGTAGTCTTCGGGGTGCTGAGTCGAATGGTCTTGGTCCGAGAAAGCTGAGACGCTCCCTTCCTACTTGAATCCCAATCGAACTCGCGCACTTCCACCGAAACTGGGTGACTGCGCCCTACGAGATGGGGATTTGTATGCAAAATGTCACTAAAAGCGCCATTTCGTTCTTATAAAAGCACGGATGACCGCCATTGGCCCATATGTTGTAGTCTTTTGGACGCTGAGTCGACTGGTTTTGGTCCGAAAAGGCTGCGATGCAGCGTTCCTCCTTTATTCCCAATCGAACATGGTTGAAGAAGCGGTCACGTGCCCCTGGGTGCCCAAATCACCTGGTCACCACGCCAGCAGGCGACAACTTTCACACCAAGGTTCAACTCGAGTGACAGGACTGCACCCAAAAAAGGTCAAAACAGGCTGTAAGTTGTACCCTGCAGGCACGGTGACCAGGTGACTGGTGTACGCAGGAGCACGTGACCGCTTCTTCAACCATGTTCGATTGGGAATTCGGGGTGAACGCTGCATCGCAGCCTTTTCGGACCAAAACCAGTCGACTCAGCGTCCAAAAGACTACAACATATGGGCCAATCGCGGTCATCCGTGCTTTTATAAGAACGAAATGGCGCTTTTAGTGACATTTTGCATACAAATCCCCATCTCGTAGGGCGCAGTCACCCAGTTTCGGTGGAAGTGCGCGAGTTCGATTGGGATTCAAGTAGGAAGGGAGCGTCTCAGCTTTCTCGGACCAAGACCATTCGACTCAGCACCCCGAAGACTACAGCTGGTGAAATTTTAATTTTTGCCTTAACTTCCCCTTTAAAGTTTCTCGCCGGCCAAAATGTGACCGAAAGAAAGTAAAAAACGGCCGATCTGCTTTGTTGAAATTTGGATTATTTCTACGGAAACGCATGGGAAACAGTTCCAAACCCTTCATGAAACCCATTAAATCAATTTGCAGGAAGTACTGGTGGAAAGTTAGCTCCCGATCCACACAGGCGTAAGACACAGTCCTCACCGCAACCCCCACACTTGTACAGGCTAGTACCAACACTTTTAAGGTAAACATACCAACATATTTAGAGAACGAACGAGTAGGATGACACCCAAGAATTCAAAGGAGGGAGACAGCAAAACAACAACAGAAAGACACAGAAAAGCAAAGCCAAAGACAAAAATATTTAGAGAACGAACGAGTAGGATGACACCCAAAAAATTCAAAGGAGGGAGACAGCAAAACAACAACAGAAAAAACACAGAAAAGCAAAGCCAAAGCAGATGCGGATATATGATGTCAATACTTGTGTGTTTTATGCGGGCAAACGCCAAAAGGATAATTACGACCAGGATGTATGTACAACACAGAAATTTGCCTAGTACAAAATCAAGTGCAAAAACTATGGGTGTGAGCGGACATATGTACATGGGGGTGCAAAAATAACTCTTGATAAGTATTGCAATAGTTTGTCATGACTTGTTGATGCCTCCTCCATAGGAGGGAAAGCACATTTCTTTCATGGAACAGCCAAGTAAAAGACAGTAAAAAGCAATGGCTGTATAATTATGCCGATACGAAAATGGTGTATTCTGCCAAAAAAAAAACAATGACAGAAAGTAGAAATTGGCAAAAGGAGAGCAGCAACAGCATGTACATCAGCCTACAAGGGTACCAAATATGAAAATGAACGCCACTCTAAGCCGTGCATAGAAGCAGTGTGGCTAAAGTAGTCAGTACGAATATCGGCATAGCACTCAGCCCAGTAAGTGGTTGACGGCCAAATTGACATCACCATTACAGACGATTAGTGCTGCAGAACAGAGAAAAAAAACAGACGATGAGCAAGTGGAGGGGTATCCACAAGAAAGGATGATGCGGATTCAATGCACGCTGACCAATGCTGTGCGTGATAACAAAAAAAGTTCGACAGCAGCAATGCAAGATCGGGTGGAATGTAGCCCACTTGTCTTCCACCTGCATCACATTAACCGCCAGGCCAACAACAATACAGGTGGCTTTAATGACAGGCCGGTGATAATGTACCTTCCAAGTTCGGCTCGTAACAAAACAGAAACAGGTTACAAGTGCGATTATGGAAGGAGAGGGCTATGCGGTGCAAAACACTGTGGTGAAGATGCAGCCCTAGAGTACTAAGAGCGTAATGATGAACGGCTGCCGTATGGGTTTACTGAATGAAGACTCAATTAAAAAGCAGACTGCACACGCCCATCAAAGACTACACCACAAAAGCACACACACACACGCTTACCTTGAATATTTGCAGCAGCGTCGTAGAAACCCATGCCTCTAAGCTGCTCAAGCTGCCCTGCATATTGCTCCTCCAGGCTCTGCTGGTTGGGAATAGCACCTCCACTAAGACCAGCACCGAGGCCACCTCCAAGACCAGCGAGGCCGCCCCCAATGCCACCAGCACCGCCCTGCAACAACACAGGCACAAGGTTTATTTAGCAATCACCCTGGCATGCACAGGAAACCAGTGTCTCCAAACAAGTTGAAATATCAAGAGCACATAACAGCCGAGTGTGCACAGCCGAGTGTGCACAACCTGCGGTGGTAGAACTTCACTTCAAGTGACAGGGTTCAAAAGGCTACGCTGACAAACAGGGTAAAAATTATGGGCACAGGTCTGTCAAGTGATGTCCTGCCAACGCAGGCCACATAGCTGGAGTTGCACACTCTTGGAAATACACACTGTACAAGCCACCCCACTCTCTACCGACAGTCGCCTATCATATAGTGCACATACCAGATGGTCTGCACAAAGCTATGCTGCATCCACCGGGTAACATTCAGACAGTCGTTATGAAGCTTTTATCTCTGAATCACAGACATTCATATGTGAGAGGTGTAAAAGCAGTCATCACCATGTAACCCAAACAATGATGTAGGTGAAGACAGCACGTGCACAACGCGCCATCTAGCATGTGGTGTCCAAAAGGGGGAAGCAGCAAGAGAGCAAGCGGAACCGAGCGAACGTTACAAGACAAAATTCTTAGAGTACTGACCATCATGGCTTGCATCATGGACGAGAGTTGTGTCATGTCAGGGGCAGCAGGAGTTGATGAAGAACCGGCCGTACCAGGTGTACCGGCCGTACCAGGCACCCCACCTGTACCCGGCAACAGAACACACACACACACACAGGTCAGACCTCTTGATAAGGAAGAATTTGAGCAAGGCTGTCGTTTTCCTAGCTCAAGACGAGAGTAAAATAAAAGGAAAAATAGAAACAATCTACCTGAAGATCCTTCAGATTGCGCACATTTCCTTTAGCACAGGCCACCGCCTCACTTTGTGCTTCTGAGCTCAAAATGAAGGAAGGGAGCAGAAGAGAGAGAAAGAAACAGAAAGAAGATCTGGCTAGTAGTGGAACATACCGGTAGAAGGCTGTGGCGCAGCGGCGTTCAGCCTGGGAGTGCAAACAAAAACACAGCAGGGAGAACATATCTCGTGCCAATGATAACCAGACGACTTAACACCGAGCACAAAAGATCGCCAAAGACGCAACAGTTACAACAGCACTTGAAAAGTTCCAGAAATGGAATAAGTCAGATGTCTGGACGAACACAAACCAAATTGATACTTCATTCCGCGATAAAGTTGTGTCATTGCGTGACCTTCGAGCGAGGTGTTTTCTGTGCGCGAAATGGATTATGAACAGGCTCGAGAAGAATTTTATGTACCCTTAGATCCAGGGGGAAGTTAACTATTGCTCACGAAGATAATGTAAGAGTAGTGACATTCAGACAAGTCAATAAGAAGCTTTCATCTCTGAATCACAGTCATTCATATGTCAGAGGTGTAAAAGCAGTCATCACCATGTCATACACATGCCTAGCAAAGCACAACATTGCAGAAACAGCCGCTTACCCGGACATAGCAGAAAGCATCTGCTGCGTGAGCTGAGGATTGCTGAGCATAGCTTGAACCATGGGCTGTGCAGTCAAAACAGACACATACATGATAGTCCCAAGGGGAGAAAAGATCAGAGAAGAAACAGGCAGTAACTGTTCCGGCCCCACGCTGCACAGGTGAACGCGTCACATGGGGTCTACCCTCCACTGTCAAGTCCCAGGTGCGCTGAGTAAGAAACTCGACAGTTGGATACAACTTGGATTAGACAGCACAAGAAAAATAATGTGTATGCACAAAGCTATGCAGCATCCACCGGGTAACATTCAGACAAGTCGTTAAGAAGCTTTTATCTCTGAATCACAGTCATTCATATGTCAGAGGTGTAAAAGCAGTCATCACCATGTCACTCCCGGACCCCCCCCCCCCCTCCCCCCGGGACATAGGCAGCCATTTTGTAAAATACGTACATTGCGCATGGAATCGCGTACTTGCTGGGCAAGTGCCGGGTTGTTGGCAAACATAGGGTTCGACGATAACATCTAGAAAAGGACAACAAAACAGGCAAACAACATATCACAGACCAGAATGAACAACCATCACAGAAGCATTTGCAGAGAGGCCAAGCTAGCCTTATGTCGGATAGTGCTCTTATACAAGATATGGAACTGGAGTGATGAAGTTAAATACCATCTACGTTCCAAAGAGAAGAAAGCACACATACAAGGTTAGGAACTTGAGGTGAAAAGTCAGATAGACCAATGTAGGTTGCACAGCGGAACAAGGTGGTGCCAGGCTAGTACAAGCAGCCAGACAGTCGCTGAAAGGCACTAACCTGCTCCATGACAGCCGGGTTGTTCACCAGCATCTGCATCATCTGTTGGTACGCAGGGCTCTGCAGGCAAAACGAGGAAGAGGCACACGACCAAAGGCGTTACAAGTGTAATTGTGTGGAACAGTGCAGAAGTGCTATTCCCACTAAGTGACATTCAGACACAAGAAGCTTTTATTGCTGAATCACAGACATTCATATGTCAGAGGTGTAAAAGCAGTCATCACTATGTCACACACACAAGTAATCAATAGGGCTGCAACGGGTAGGGGTTTGGTCGGGTAATGGGTTCGGGTATTTTATCCGGGTAGCACGGGTACCCTATCGAGTATTTTTTGACAGTGTGTACTGTAAATCACCAAAGAGAGGAGAAAAGAACGCTGTCAGGCGAAAACAAAAAAGAGATTACACCAAGGTCGACAATAAAGAGCCAAGCACACCCACACTAAAGTTAACTCCAAACAAGGGTCCTTACCGACATCATTGACTCCATGAGCTGTGGATTACTTGCCAGGGCCTCCATGCCCATACCACCCATGCCCCCCATACCACCGAGACCTGCTGCACCCCCGCCGCCACCAAGCAAAGCAGCAAACGGGTTGGCAGCCGGAGCGGACTGTGTCGAAGAAGAAGACGATGGCGTAGAGGTAGAGGACTCCGTACCGCCAGAGGATGTAGATGGCGTTGTGGCCGCGCCACCAGGAGTAGAGCCAGCAGGGCCGAACATACCTGCCATGCCAGGGCCAAACAGACTGGCAAACGGGTTGGCACCAGTGCCGCCAGCAGCACTTGGGGACGGCGAAGCAGAACCTGGAACGGAAACGCACACATACACACACAAAGAACAACATTGAATGCAAAGGGCATGCGTACCGATATCTGGAATACACCCACAGGATGCTCCCTTTTCAGCATTTATAATAGGCATGGGATACAGTTACAAATGTAAAAAAGAGAATATCTGGAATGTAGCCCACTTGTCTTCCACCTGCATCACATTGACCGCTAGGTCAACAACAACACAGGTGGCTTTAATGGCAGGCCGGTGATAATGTACCTTCCAAGTTCGGCTCGTAACAAAACAGAAACAGGTTACAAGTGCGATTATGGAAGGAAGACAGATCACTGCAAGCTAAGGTTGTGTTTACATGAGGCGTTTCAACCCGCCATGTACACAAAATGAATGGCGCGTTACATGACGCATTGCGCTGGACCCGGGTTGAATTTTTGCGAAATCAACCCGGGTCAAGAAAATCGTACAAACGTACTTCTGCGCGTATCTCGCGCCAGGTTTGAACAGCATTTTTTCTATCGTACAGACTTTCAACCCGGGTTAAAATTTCTCATGTAAACATAGCCTGACTAGATCCAGTGCAGGGATCCTGGCACAAAAAGGAACCAAAGCAAGGATAACGGGACAGGACACAGGCACTGTATTAACCGCAAGAAACCTACTGAGCGCAGTCATCTGCGAAGAGTGGCCCAGCAGCTAGCTTAGCCTGTGATTTTGATCAGCAGGCCTTCAGAAAGACAACATTGTCAGAAACATCACAAAGAACATACCTGTCGAGGCTGCTGGGGTCGCTGGTGTAGATGAAGTGCCACTACCGCCAGCCCATGGATTGGGCAGGGGAGTAGTGGTGGGTGTAGTGGATGGCTGTGCTGAACCAGAGTTCTGAGCTGCACAAAGAGAAAACAGCAAAAAGAACGATGTAATGCACTGCTACTCGGAAAAACAAATAAAACGGCAAAGGAGCAAAGAATGTAGCCTACTTGTCTTCCACCTGCATCACATTAACCGCTAGGCCAACAACAACACAGGTGGCTTTAATGGCAGGCCGGTGATAATGTACCTTCCAAGTTCGGCTCGTAACAAAACAGAAACAGGTTACAAGTGCGATTATGGAAGGAAGAAGACAGCAGGGAAGCAGCAATCAGTAATGGTTCAACGTTTTAATTACAGACGTGCAAACAGCACAACATCCCGACAACAAAGAGCCAACTCACTGTGAATAGCGCTCTGATAAGGATTAGGGAATGCCTGGAGAGTCAACACGCACAAAAAACAACAGCATTTGGTACAGGTGACACGGTGGATATATACACATGCACACACACACACACACAAAACAGCTGAAGAAATGTCGGAAGAAGACCTGACGAAGCAAAGGATCACATCCATCACCCCAACATAACAGATCGTACAATCCGTGCTACTTTCGCATTCATCCCTATTGGATTCGACCTACGGGAGAAAGGCCAAACCATACACTAAGAATGCAAACCTCACACACACAACCATAGCAAGAAAACCATGACAATAGAAAGAAAATATTGTAAGCTAAGAAGCCGCGGATGATTCCGGATCGCAATTGTTTCCGGGCTTACAGTATCCAACAAGGCGCAGTGGCAACTGAAACTTGGTAAACAGACATACGACATGTGGCCTTACCGTAGCCTGTTGAAGCGGTTCTTGGATATTCCTGTAAATTCCCTCCAGCGCGCTCATGCCACCTGGCATACTCTGCAGATTACAGCAGACATACACAACACACAGAAATGCATTGACGTCAGGGCGCCACGAGAAATGGCTGCACTGTAGGCGATGCAGCAAGAACAAACAGGAAGCATGGCACAGCAAACAGGTAGGACCAGACATGCCGGCTAACGTTCCATCCAGGTTTACATGCCTCGACATGGGATAAAGACAGTTCGGAATGTAGCCCACTTGTCTTCCACCTGCATCACATTAACCGCTAGGTCAACAACAATACAGGTGGCTTTAATGGCAGGCCGGTGATAATGTACCTTCCAAGTTCGGCTCGTAACAAAACAGAAACAGGTTACAAGTGCGATTATGGAAGGAAACAATGGAGAGGGGGAAGAAATAGCTAAGGCACACACGCAACATACCTCCAGGTTGCTAAGCATGCGGTCTTGGCGATTCTGCATCTCAGACAGTACTGAGGGGTTGGATGCCATCTGCATGACCTGCAGAAGAGCACACAATTGTTCACAATGACACACATATCAAAGCAGATTGCACGTAATGACAACAACAGTAGAGATTCCCAGAAAAGCATTCAACATGCACCGCGAGGAATAGGCAATCAAGAGCAGAGGCAGAATGTAACAGTGCGCTCATCCAATGGACCATCATAGCCACCAGTCTATCAGCAATGTTGACGCAATGTATGCGTCTCTATATTGCATCGGCCAGGTATGTAGGCAAGCCATGTTCCAGAGAAAGGCAAGCTTCGTTTTACCAATGCACACGAACATGTAAGATCTTACAAATACAATACTGCGGTTTGACAGAGGACAGGACTAGAAAACTGGCACGCGTGTTAAACGCCATATTCAACAACGTTGCATATGAAGTGCATCATACCTGGCGCAGGTTCTCCGGGTCGTTGAGGATATGGCCAATCTGCGGATTGCGCTGTGGTACACACATACACACACATAACCAGGAATGAGGGATGCCATCAATACATTGAGCATCAGCTGTCTGATGTTCAAAAGGCAAACAAATCGAAAGGATACGATAACGTCAAAAGGACTAAAATACAAGCACCATTGATGTGCACAAAGCCATTCATACAGACATGGTGTGTTTGTATAGCTCATCCCATGCAGTATTCTCCAGAAAAAACAATAGGACACTGACAACAATAGGACAAGAGCTAGTTCATATAGCATTCATCCCTATTGGATTCGACCTACGGGAGAAAGGCCGAACCATACACTAAGAATGCAGTACACGAGAGTCTTTCTCTCTCTCACTCTCACTCATTGCCTGCCCCGTTCTCCCTATCTCCCTCTCGTCATTCCGGATCACCAACTTACTGAAATCATCTCTTGCAGCTGAGGATTGCTCTGAATCATTGACTGCAAGACGGCAGGATTACTCATTAAACTCTACAAAGCAATGACACGCACAGAAGACAACACAAGGCTATGAGAAAGAACAAGCAGATGGACTGCCAGTTATGCACAACAATGCTTCGCAAGGTGACATTCAGACAAGTCTTTAAGAAGCTTTTATCTCTGAATCACAGTCATTCATATGTCAGAGGTGTAAAAGCAGTCATCACCATGTCACAGCTATAGCTCGGATAAGGATGGAAACATCGCGCCACAACAATATGACCATACATTGGTCGCACCCAAGTCACAGGTTTCTGGCCGGGCCAATTCTGGCTACCTTCCTTCAATCATACACACAGTGATACATGCGGGCAAACACTATTCCCACCGCTTACCTGCACCATGGGACTGCTCATCATATTCTGCATCATCTCAGGATTGCTCATTAACTGTGATCACATAACACACCACAAATTTATTGCGGTTAGAAATATGCACACCCCGCTAAAAGCCCAGAATTACAGCACAACACAGAAAACAAATTGAGTGCAAGCGAAAAGAAAGTCACCACAACAAAACACCTGCTATAAATCTAAAATGATAGGGCACACCCACCAACATCCTCAACATACCGCTTGCTGCATCTGCTGCATGCTCTGGCCGCCAAAGAGACTACCCATGCCACCAGCACCGCCCGCTCCACCAGCCCCGCCGGCACCTAGCAAGCCGAGTGGATCCGCCATTCCGCTACCGAATAAACCACCGGCCGCCGGAGTGGATCCAGTGCCAGCACTGGTGCCGCCGCCGCTAGGAGTGGTGGTTGTGTTCGCCGTGGAGACTGGTGCTGGGGTGGCCGAAGTTGATGCAGACGACTCGGTGGTACTACTTGCACTGGTGGCTGCCGCTTGGGTGGAAGTGGGCGCTTGTTCTGCGTTACTCTGTAGCAAGCACATCACCAGAAGGAAGATTACATCACAATCACACACGTTTTCCAGCCATTCGGATTTGCAGAATATGGCAATACGGCACTCATACGTGCTGAAATTACACATTTGGAATGTTGCTGACAAAAGAATCCTTTTATTATACTGAATGCATCTAGCGACTTGCACGGTACGAGAGGAAGATACTGAAATTCAATGCTGTCAAATTCAATTTACCTTGGTTGCCGATTTGATCACGAGGTGAACCGTCACGCCATCTTTCAATCCTGGACGAAAGTAGGGCAGACAAAAACAAAAAGTTCTAAAATTTAATACAATGTAGGTGCATGCCGCACTGGCGACTCGCGGCAAGGCGCATTGCAGTAATAAACTCGAACGAAAACACTACATTCTACATACAGTGCACAAAAGCCGAAGAGAACTAAAAAACGATGCCGAAGCGCTTCATAAAAATTTGTTTCAGCACACAGTTGAAAATGAAGAAGAAGAAAAAGAACTGGAGCTGTTTCTAACACGACGCAAAGCAAATCGGCCAGGGGTGAACAAGGAAAAAGAATCGTTTCTAGATTCTCACCGTAACTCTCTAGAGAGTTGTCGTCCTTCATAATCTTTCCAGCGAAGATCAGGCATAGCTGTTTAATTGAAGTATTATCGAATACGGCAGAGAGATCTTTCTTGAACTGCAAACAAAGGAAACAACAGTAACGAATGAGAAGAACAAAAAGGGCAATAGCACGTGTAAATGAGATCGCGCTTACCTCGCCAACAGTCCTGTTTAAATCTACATCCAGCGTCTCCTTCTTCCGTGAGGTTTTCACCGTGATCTTTACGGTGGAACCACCTTCCGCCATGGTCGACAACGACTCGTACGATGTTTAGCTGTTGTAAACCTAGACTGCTCTTCTTCAACAACTCAAGTTCTGGGACGAAGTGTTTCCATTTATGGAAAAATGAGTGAAGCTAAAGACACGTCTCTTTGCAGACAAACGAGACACAGCAAAGAGACCGTGGGGTTATGAGATCACCTCTTGAATGCGAAATGTGGAACAGAGCGGAGGGGGTAGAAGGCGGATGGGTGACGAAGCTACAGGGAGGAAAGAATGGATCATACGAGTCATAGAAAATCCAGAGTGATCTAGAAAAATCACCCAATCTTTGTGCTGTTTGGCTGCAGGCAGGCCCATCATATTCATAGCCAGGAAAGCTGCGTGCCTTTCTGGTCGCCATCGCGATCGTTAGGAACATGGAGCATGCGCGCATGCCATTTTATGTACGGTACGTGATGACAGAATGATGACATCTGCATGTGACGTGTACGTGTATGCATATGATGGAAATCATTGTTCCCTAGGCCGGCTGTTCATATGATCACGTCATGCTAGCATGCTGCTGTACACGTACACGTACGGTAAACGTCGAAAGTCATTTTTCGCTTGTTTTTTTTTGCATGCAGAGTTGTAGCGCAACATTTTTGCGTATCAGCTACATATCATGCATATATCAGATCACAGACCATTCCATTTTGATTTTTAAAAAATTGCTTTGTTCGTACATGTTGTTCGTTCGTACATGTTCGTTCCTTCACACAGTTCTTGACTACAGCTTAGGCTTTGCTCGACGTGTGTAAATAAGTTAGAGGTATTAGGTTAGGTTGCACCACCATGACGCGTCACGGCCGCAACAGCACTGCCAATCCAGTCCTCTCGTACCACGAGAGGAAGGCTGCGTCAGGTGAGACAAATTTTGGCAGTGAGCATGATTTTGGGATTTCATTGAGGTGCATTGCTGTCTTTGTGAACTACATGATTGTACATGTATTGCATATTGGCTGATTGCTGGCACTGTTGGCGTATAATTGTTAGGCATTTTGTGGTGTCCAAAGAATGGACTACAACATGGTTGCATTGGTTCTATAATGGGTGTGTAGTCATACTGTTACGAGTTCTCCACCACTGTATACTACTGTACTCTCTGTCTCTCCTCTTTCCTCTCTTCGTATACGAATGCAAGATGAATAAGTGAGTTTCAACGCCTGCACCCAAGTAGATCTATAAAATATAGAATGCTAGTGCTGACCTGAAGGGGACTGCTAATAAAGGTCCTGGGATTCACAATATTATTACAAGTATTATTATTATTATTATTAGACACAATCTCATAGCATGTGACAAGCATAGCTAATGCAGGGACAGAATACCCTGAGACAAGGGCGTTGAGCCAGCCACGGCAATAATAAGCTAGGAAAACAAAGCAAATATTAATATTTATTTTTAATAAAGCACAACAGAACAACAAGGACAATCAAGGCTTGTTTGCTGCTACTTTAAGTTTCATGCTTACGCAATCATCAGGCAACTGTTGTTGCCTGATGATTGCGTAAGCATGAAACTTAAAGTAGCAGCAAACAAGCCTTGATTGTCCTTGTTGTTCTGTTGTGTATTACGCTCTGCCTTTGTGGTGTTGAGCACTGTCAAGCACTCTGGGTACATCCTTCGGTTTTTAATAAAGCAAAAATAAGTGGAAAATTAAGAAGCAAAACAATAGAGTACCACATGCGACTTGCGACACCTGCAATGAGCTGCGACCGCGGCGAATGATTCACTATCTTTTTGGTTTTTGCGACATCCCTATACAGTGCGTGTACTATGCACTGCACCCACACCCGGCATAGAAACTGTACTTCATTAATGTGTGTGCCGCGCGTTGCACGTCGCGTCACGTTGCGACAGTGGCCTTGCGACTGATTGTGACAGGCATTTTCTTAGTTGCAAGTGTCGAATTCCGTACGTCACTTCGCATATAGTGGTATTGTCAATGTGCCCTGATTGACTGCTGTGCCAAAAAAGAAAGAAGACCAGCTGATCATGCACTGGCATACAGTAGCCAGTCAACAAGTCTCGTTGACCTTTGGTTGGAGGTATACGCGCGAATCCACACGGAATCGTTGACACAATCCCCTCATGAAAGCCTTTGTTGCTACCCAGGTAGATGTTTTTTTGCTTGCATCATTATGCAGTACCGTGGCCTTCAGAGCGTTGTGTCTCGTGCACAATTCCTTGTGTATTACGCAGTACTGTGACCTTCAGAGCGTTGTGTCTCGTGCACAATTACTCGTGTATTACGTGTGATATACCTGTAAAAGCAGAAATTTCCGTGGTGTTTTATTTTTGGTAACTTCGGTGCTGACAATTTTTGCCTAAAATAAAAACCACCGGAAATATACGCACATGCATGCGGACTGCAGTACGGAAGATTGGTTTGCCGAAATTTTCGCGCTACCGAACCGTTAATTTTGGGGAATACCGAAAATATTATACCACCGAAAATTCCCAGTTTTATAGTACCTGTAAACTCCAAGATTGTATGGCTATCTTCTCGTTGATACAGTAAAACCTGTCAAAGCGACCACTCGGATAAGGCGACCACCTGTCCCAGAAGACCACTACAGCCAGCACCAAGGGATGCTATTTCCAGTTAAATGACCCTGGATAAGGAGACCACCTGGTTCCAGAGACCACATTTTGAAAATCCCTTGAGCAGTCGTCTTAGACAGGTTTCGCTGTACTGTAAAATTAATATACAAATTTTCGGCAGCTATTTAATTTCGGCTATATTCGGCACCGACCCAAAACGCCTAAATTAAAACGCCGGTGAAATTTTTCACAGCATCCGTCGCACTATATCATGCCCTCTACCCCACGCCGAAAATAAATCGCCGCCGAAATGTCAAAAATCGTGAAGTGCCGAAATTTTGTATATTTACAGTATATGGATTTTCTTTGTTCGTTAAATTTGAACACATGAATCGGGCTTGTACAGGTGAATGTAAATAGCCTCTAAAACTTTCAACTGCATCACATACAAATGACTAGCACGGCACAGTACAGTGAAACGAGACTCCGAACATGACCGACAACAATCATGGTGTGTATTACATTTGCGAGTCATTATAGGAAATTTGCGAGTCATTATAGGAAATTTGCGAGTCATTATAGGAAATTTGCGAGTCATTATAGGAACGTATCTTACAGTATGCAGAAGAAGCTTGTACGCTTACTGTCTGTGATTTTTTTAACGTTTCAGAACGGAGTGGATATGGCAGCTTGAAGAAGCGTCTCGGCAAGGACTCCATTAAGGTGAGTGATGGTTGTTGTTGGGATGTGCTCTGGCTAGTGGTTCATGCTACCACCACCACCGTTACTGATGATGTTTGTTGGGATGTGTTTTGGGTGTTGTTGTTCATGCTACCACCACCACCACCACCACCACCGTTACTGATGATGTTTGTTAGGATGTTGACTTGGCTGTACATGTTATTGCTTTCGTTTCTGACAGGAGTTTGACTGTTGCTGCTTGACACTGCAGCCGTGCAAGGACCCGATCATTACGTGAGTTCTCATTGTGCGCGTGCGCGCGTATGTGTTTGCGTTGATCCTGACCTTCATAACTATAGCACTGTTTTATTTTTGGCTTTCTGACCTCGATAATATTGAAAGGGACCAAAGAGAAGCTGAAACTTGCTGGTTTATTCTGCCCACAGTCCGTCCCGCTACCATGAGAAAATTTCAGTTTGGTTCTATTCAAAAACCTTCCCTATTTTGGAAACTGAAATAGAGGTTATGCAAGTGATATCATGGCGGTGAGCCAGTGGATTTGCTTATGGGAGCTAAGTGCATGTATGCAGCGTGAGTCTGCGGATTCCCCTGAGCTAGTGCACTGCTGTGCCTCGGCTTTACAGCTCCATGCACAACATCTCAACTGGTGGTGTACTCGTATAGACGTATACCCTCTACACTATAATGCTTGTCTTTGCGTACTGTATGAGTAAAACATGGATGTGGCAAATGGGATTTAGGCCTTTGGCCTATGGTTGCTGGATCTGATCTATCCTCCCCCACCGTTTAGAAGCCGCATCTGACGCCTGATCATGGGGTGGTGGCGTCCCACGGATGCGGAAAGGTGGTTCTTGACCAGGGAGTTGTACGACTCCTTGTTCTTGACCTGCCCGGTACGCGAACCCGTTGAATTTTTTTTGCTTACTGTGTACTGGATGTGATGCTGTGGTTGGTTGGTTGGTTTGGTTGGTTGGATTTATTTAAAGTCGTACAACAAACAGGCATATCTGCGGGGCTTATGTGGCCCACAGTCAAATTTGGAACCGAGTAACGTAGCGTGAGGGCGACACGAATGCAGCAGGGGGGGGGGGGGGGGGGGGGGCATTTTGATCTTTCTCCTCTTTTGGTGGTGGTTCCGATTTGCTAACTTGTCATTCATGTACTGTACAGTGGGTAGTTGATGACTTGATTTGGTGCGGATAGTGGAGTGCGCGTGTGTGCACACACGTGTGTATATTATATGTCTGTGTCTGTGTGTCTGTGTTGCACTGTCCAGACCTGAAGGTTACCTGTATGACCGCGAGCCAATCCTCGAAAACTTGCTGCATCAGAAACAAGCCAGTAAGTCTTCAATCATGTCTGTCACGATGAGTTGGGAGGGTATGTGATGCGGGGGGGGGGGGGGGGGGGGGGGGGGGTGGATAACGGAAGATATCTGCAGGGATACTATATTTAGACTAGGGTGGAGAGCCAAGAATTATTTTAAAACAAGAAAAGAGGACCAAAGAGCTACAAGTTACGCTATAATATCCACTAGCACCACCAGTTACTTTACAATACATAACATTGCACGATTGGTGCGACGTTAAATAAACTTCTACAACAACAACATTGCACGACACTAAACAACGGGACTGACATGCTAGAGCTGATTGCCAGCTAGGTGTAGAATGTCAGTACCATTGGTCGGCGTCGTGCAATGTTATCGCATCAGCTGATTGTAAAGTAACTGGTGGTGTTAGTTGATATTTTAAAAGCATAACTTGTAGCTCTTTGGTCCTCTTTTCTTATTATTGGGTTGTGAAAGCGATATACACCTTTGTTTATGTATGTATTTGTGTGTATGTGTGTACGTGCGTGTGTGTGTGTGTGTGTGTGTGTACATATGTGTATGTGTGTGTGTGTGTGTGTGTGTGTGTGTGTGTGTGTGTGTGTGTGTCTCTCTCTCTCTCTCTCTCTCTCTCTCTCTCTCTCTCTCTCTCTCTCTCCATGCAGTTTCAAAGCAGTTGCGAGAATTTGAACGGCAGAAGGAGAAGCTTGACGTATGTGTTGGTTTGTTTTGTTATTCTAGAAAGTATGCACTGACACGATGGTGGAAGATGAGAAATAGAGAGAGGGAGAGAGAGGGACACACACACACACACACACACACTCACACACGCACACGCACACACGCACACACACACACACACACACACACACACACACACACACACACACACACACACACAGGACTAGTCTAAACTGTGCTCCTTTCTAAGACGTCTTCGTGTTTGGCAGTTGTGCGCCTTGTGCTGTACTTGTTGCATGTTCTGCGGAGTGCCAGTGTCAACCCAGTGCATGCCATCCAGTGTTGTCTGTCTTTTCTGTAGGTGCTCAGTGTGTCTTGCGCCCTTTGTAGCCCGGGCTGTTGAATATCGTCTGTTGTAGGGTGTCTTGATGTGTTTCGCAACAATGGCCTTCTCCGAACTGTCCCTACTTTAGTGATGTGCATGTGAGAAAGGATCCTGTTCTTGTGTTGTGATGTTCGCTGTGTGTCCCTATTGCTGTTATTCGTGGGGTTGAAAGTATGTAATCCAATGGCCGCTAGGTCTGAAGACTGTGTCGTCTTTTTGTGTGTTGATGTCTTACCTGAGGTTGTCGGGAACTCGTGGCCTGGCACAAGGAAAACATGGATGCGGCAAATGGGATTTAGGCTTTTGGTCTCTAGTTGGTGGATCTAATCTATCCTTCCTCCCCCGCCGTTTAGGAGTCGCATCTGAGCCTTGATCATGGGATGGTGGTGTCCCACGGAAGTGGAGAGGTGTATCTTGACCCGCCCTGTACGTGAACCCGAGTAATTTGTTTTCTTTTTTCTTTTTTTTATTCACGAGGTTGACTGTATGTGTATCCATAGCAGAAATATTTGTCTGGGATTTAATTTCGTCTTTTTCGCCCAAGGAACTTTTGGACTAAATTAAATGCCGGACTAATGTCGATTTGTCCAGCTATTCTATACACTCTTGTGATCCATGGACGAAATTTTCAACAGGACGAACTCCCTTTCTTTGGAGTTGGACGAAATTATTGACCGATGAAATTTTCTGCCTCTACAGTATGTGTATTTGTGTTGACTTTGTGTGCTGTGGTGCAGGCTGAGGAAGTACTGGTGGCCAACGCTGATCAGATTGCACGCAAGAAGCAGTTCCTTGATGCAGGTAGGTGTGTGTGTGTGTTTTGTGTGTGTTTTGTGTCTGTTTTGTGTGTGTGTGTGTGTGTGTGTGTGTGTGCGTGCGTGCGTGCGTGCGGGTGTGTGGGTGTGTGATTGAGGTGTATTCAATTGTGTGCTAGCTGCTTGCATGCTTGTACGGTTCCGTCCTTGCTTTGCTGTTGTTTCGTTTGCCTTTGGATGTAGCTGTAAATACAGCAATTGATGCTCTTTTTAATGGTGACCATGTTCCAGTCTGAGTACCTGACCCATGTCCGAATGTCGTCTGCGTGTTGCGTTGTCTTTTGCTTGTTCAGAGCAACAGATCACAACCAAGCGTGTCAATCCGTATGCGCCGGCAGCCACTGACACAGGTATGGTTGTGATGTTGCATGTTCGCTTTAGTTATGTAGCTTATCTACAGCTTAGCTGGCAAGATGATCGTGAGCAATGCCATGGTCAGTGCCCTAAATGAAATAAGAGAGCGAGGACGGATTCAACTCGGATACTCAGCCAGTAAATATAATTAAAAGAAATCACATTGAAACGAGTTATGCGTATTATCTTGTTACAGTTTAATTTTTCGAAAAATTACAGACGACCCCTTAGTGCTGTGAACCCCCATTTTTAATTTTCACCCCTCCCCCCCCCCCTCCCCCTTTCAATCCCTCCAACTAACGAGTGTGTGGGGTTGGCCCAGTTTTCTCTCTTTGACTAACGCTGTCTTGATATGCCCTGTTGCCATAGTGCCCGTTGCCACGGTTGCTGCTACATCGGCCACATCCAGCGGAGCAGGAACGTCGGAAGCGGCGCGGGCACCAGCCGCAGCGGGAGCATCAGCAACAGGCGCATCGGCGACGGGAAAATCTGCAAACAGCTCATCGAAGGACTCGAAATCGTTGCCCAGCTTCTGGGTACCGTCTCTGACGCCCCAAGCCAAACCCACGTTGATCAAGAAGCCGGTAGGTCGATGGACGAGGGAGCTGTGAAGTGTTGTTAGTCGGGTTGTGTGTGGGCACCCGTGTGTGTACGTGTGTGTGTGTGCGCGCGCGCGTGCATGCATCTGTGGGTATTTGTGTGTGGATATGATACAGTGCTGCTCAGTGAAATCCAGTCGCGTTACTCAAGTATGCGCCGGGCATTGCGCAGCCCTAGACCTGCAAACACTGGGCTACGAAATGGTGCGAGATGCAACCTTGAGTGACACAACTGGATTTCATTGAGCAGCAGCAGCAGCAGCAGCTCAGCACTGTACGTGCATGATGTGTTTGAAACGCTGCCGTAGCCTTGCTACTGGCTGTCTTCTGTCCATGCCTTACCTGCCATACCAGCGTATCATTATCCTTACCCGTGTGTAGAATGTAACGTGGCATGCTCTCTTGTTTGCCGTCTACAGGACAAACATGCAACATGTCCAATGTCTGGCAAAACTCTCAGACTGAAGGTGAGAAACTGAGAACCCTCTGGTGGATGACGTGATGATGTCATACTTTGCACAGCTAACTTTATGACATCACCGGATGAGGGGGAGGGGAGATGAGCATTGAGCACCGTCCTCACGTTATCAAGCCCATCGACGTCTCGTATCATCTCCTGGCCATTGAAGAATGGCCATCTGCACCTTTTCACATTTACCTAGCAGAGATTGTGGTTTGAATCTTGCTGTGTACACTCATACCTTGGTTATCCAGACCCCGAAGTTACGGCCACTTCGGTCTACCGGGCATCCTTTGGGCGGGTTGCAGTGGAAATATTACTACTCATGTGCCACTTTTTCGTGGCAGTAGTAAGGCTTATTCCGTATCTATGGCCTTTCCCAATGGAAATGTGCGTGATTCATAGTTACGGATGTTTCAAAGTTATGGGCAGTGCCCTGTCCCGGACTGCCCGGATAAACAAGGTATGAATGTATCGTTTGTCATGAGTGTATGTATTGTTTGGTATGTGCAATTGCAGGATCTTATTGCGGTGCACTTCAAGCGAATCAACGATGACGACGATCGGCCAGACGTTGCCAAGAAGGTAATGTCTGCCAGGATGGGGTTTTACTCTGTACATGTACGTGTACTTAGTAACTACAGTAAAACCTGGTTTCAGTTAAGCGACCACGGCCCACGGTGCAAGCAAAAGCGGTCGTTAAAGCCAGGTGGTCTTTAGAACCAGGTCCCACAGTGTCTTACGAGCAGGTTGTCGCTAAACCCAGAGGTTGCTTACACCAGGTTTTTACTATAGTACTAACTACTGCTGTGGACATTGACATCCGGTGAGAAGTCAAGCGGCCGCGGGGCGATGACCCTGCAGTCGCGAGCACTGCTGGTCCATTTTTACTACAGCGTGTACGTGAACTACAGGGCATGTACGCACTAAAAGCAGCAAGGGCGCCGGCCCCCGATCATCCCATCGGATTTCAATGCCCACGACAGTACAAAAAGGAGTCCTAAGATCTAGGGAGGCAATGCGGGCAAATTGGATTAGGAAACAATGCTAACAGTTATAGTAAAGAAAAAAGGACCAAGAAACTACAAATTTGAGTCCGAACAATGCTATCATGTTGCTTTTGCTCCATTGTGGTCGCCATTACAGTCAATTCATCCTAAACTGGCACTAAATGAAGTTAAAACTCTGATGAAACCGTTCACATCGGCTTTGATGATGTACTAGTTTTATTCCCGTGCCGAAGATAAATCGATGCCGAAAATATCGAAAACTGTGAAATGCCGAAATTTTGTATATTTACAGTAGGCGGGGAAAGTCCAAGGTTGGGGAATAAGAAATTCAGCCAGGTTGTACAACATGAGGAGAGTCATGTCATGGCAAAATGTGTGGCGAAGCAAATCCTTACCCCAAATTTAAAGTGGCTTTTTGAGCTTCAATTCGGCCAAAATTGGGCTTTCAAAAGCTAGCTGGACTATTTTGGACGAATGGGCTGTAGAGCAGGGTCCGTTTAGAGATCGCTCACAGATGCCATCCCTGGTCTGAACCCTGTTTGCGTTCGGCAGATCATCGTCACCACACGACTGCGGTCGTGTGGTGCATTACAGTCCATTTCAAAAATACAGACGCATAGTATTATTGAAATCTTTCAAATTTGGCTGGAGCTTTTTGAGAATTTTTCAGAATATTGCTCAGGTCCTTCCAGCAATTACTCTCATATCGATTTTTAAGCGATTGCATAGCAAACGCCCAATTTCGAAAAAATTTGTACACAAAGTGATCCCAAATTTTATGTGGTATAGATGCTTGCCTAACGTTTTTTTGCAATCTCGCGTCTATATTTTTGAAACACACTGAAGTCACGGATCACATACAGTCAACCCCTGGAAAGACGTACCCACAAGGGAACACGGAAAAGTACTTCCTAGCCAAAGTACCTTACTACACCCACGCTGCAATCAAGTGGGCCAATTTTTCGTTAACTGCGAAAAGTACGCACTGCACAGTAGTACGTCTTACGCCCTGTACGTATTGAGCGGTTTTGACTGTAGAGATTCCAAACTCGAGAGGGGGTGGGTGGGGTGGTGGGTGCATATTGTTTCGAGTGTGGTCACCTCAAGCTGTCTCCATTGCTGCTACGTCTGACTGGGAACCACTAAGGGCCGTGTGAGACTGCGGCAAGTCTTGATTGCCCGTGGTGATGTAATTGTTGGCAGTGCTGCGGCTAGTCATGTCAGTGCTGTTGCTAGTGTCCTAATCCGCATGAACATTGACAGCCCCGCTGCTCGCCATGTCACTGATGCCAGCACTGTCCGCTTCCTCATCGTCCTCCTCCGACTTACTGCCAGTTTCTTCTGACGCCCACGCTCCCCAAGTTGGATGGGTACCAAAAAGATAGTAGTACGTTTTTTTAAAGTTATTCCACCTGGCGTACATGTTGGATGAGTACCAATCAGATAGTAGTACGTCTTCACATTTATCCGACGGGCAACTTTCACCAGGTATGGCCAGTCAAGGGTGTCTGCTGGGTTATCAGGTGGGGCACTGTCATCCGTACTACTACCTGTTGGTTGCTTCCGCATCCTCAGCTGAGGCAAAATGTACTGGTGGATTTTCTGCTTCCCCTTTTTCCTGATGGAATCCAGCTTGTTCTTCACTATTATGGCGTTGAGGGATAAATCATCGTCCGGGTACTGTACCCTGGCAGCTTCCAAGTGCACGCTTATCTGCTGGTTAGCTATCTCGTATTTCTGCCTTTTGGTGATCATTTTTTTCTCAAAGTCTACCCAGCACCAGTGCCCGGTGTCTGCTGGGTTATCAGGTGGGGCATTGTCATCCGTACTACTACCTGTTGGTTGCTTCCGCATCCTCAGCTGGGGCAAAATGTATTGGTTGATTTTTTGCTTTCCCTTTTTCCTGATGGAATCCAGCTTGTTCTTCACTATTATGGCGTTGAGGGATAAATCATCGTCCGGGTACTGTACCCTGGCAGCTTCCAAGTGCACGCTTATCTGCTGGTTAGCTATCTCGTATTTCTACCTTTTGGTGATCATTTTTTTCTCAAAGTCTACCCAGCACCAGTGCCCGGTGTCTGCTGGGTTATCAGGTGGGGCATTGTCATCCGTACTACTACCTGTTGGTTGCTTCCGCATCCTCAGCTGAGGCAAAATGTATTGGTGGATTTTCTGCTTTCCCTTTTTCCTGATGGAATCCAGCTTGTTCTTCACTATTATGGCGTTGAGGGATAAATCATCGTCCGGGTACTGTACCTTGGCAGCTTCCAAGTGCACGCTCATCTGCTGGATAGCTCTCTCGTATTTCTGCCTTTTGGTTATCGTTTTTTCCTCGAAGTCTACCCAGTACCTGTGCCAGGTTCTCATCAACATACATTCAAGGTCGTCTGTCCACTTCATATTGATGACACGAAATGAGGCCAAAAAGCGAAGACTGCATGCGCTTGTGCCAACTATCAAACAACCTCAAAAACTGAAAACCAAACACAAAGAAAGCAATTGGCAGCCATAGGGCCAACGCCAGCCAGGGTCTTCAATCCCCGCCGTCAAATCCGACTGGGGTCCATACTTTCCTGCATCTCATCAAGCTCGTCCATTTGGTCGGCCCAGGAAAGAGTTGGCGAACCAGAGGAAGTGGCACTGTATGCTTTCCGTGGTGTACTTGTCGAGTGAGGACTATCCGAACGCTGTTCGTTCTCAATCTTCGTAAGGCGTTCTGAGATGCTTTGCGTATCTCTGTCTGAAGGCCTTGTAGACAAGACGGCAGCTGATCATGGACGGATGGCTGGGTTTGCTCTCCAATAGCAGAGGTATCGTTCTTCTCCGAAGCCATAATGAAGGTAACAAAGTTGAACCGTAGAACACTAGGGAGACTTGAGAAGTTTTAGCTATTCCCAAATGGTCCGTACCGCGGGACTCCTTGGAGCACCTTGAGAGCGTATTATTAAAATACAATCTCAAGGTGCTCCAAGGACACCCGCGTCACGTACCATTTGGGAGTACATTTCTCAAAATGCGAAGACTCCACTGTAGCCATCCACTATATCCATACATCTTCACAACACTCTACAAACGGTCTCTGGCCTACACCAATCACTGAAAAAAGAAGAAGATATACCGGTAATCATTTGATTTTTCGGGCAAGGCCCATCTTCAGGAATGCGTGATTGGTAGCTAGAAAAAAAGGCCGAAGAAACGGTTGCATGATGCAGCATCACAGGGGACTTTTGTCAGTGCATGCACCATCTTCAGGAATGCGTGATTGGTAGCTAGAAAAAAGGCCGAAGAACGGTTGCAGGACAGGGGACTTTCGCCAGTGCATGCAAACAGCGCACATGCGCAAAACATACAAAATCATGAAAAATCCCTACGAATATCGCCCGTCGAGATAGAGAAGTAGGCCAAACTCGTTCATAAGAGACGGAGCCTTCTGAAATATGATTACCGTATCTTCCAGGCCATTTGCAGCCCCAAGGAATAACCCGTGACGAACGTGTCCCTCTTGGAGACAGAAGGTCACCATCAAGATTATAATAAAATTATTTACTTGTGACAGAGTGACCATTTGGGGTATACCACAGTTGCGCTCGGTGAAATCCGACCCAGAGTGCACTTTTGGCGCCCTCAACTTGCACGGCCCTTGACGCCCCGGAAGTGGCACGAATGCGGCTAGCTTGACGTACACGTGTACAAATGCAATGATGTAATCCGAACTGGTCCAGGACGCCAGCTTTGCGCTTTGGGTCGGATTTCACAGAGCGCAGCTGTAGTAGATGCACCAGGATGGACTTTTCCAATTTTACCTGAATAATTATACACACATGTACCGTACTTTTCTAATTGTCCGCAAACTCCAATTCGGCCATTTACACATTTAGGAAACTTCACTTCTCAACTGCAAACTCAAAAAACGGTCTCTTCCTGTGATTCTGATTAAATTAAAATGTACATTTACACCAAATTTTCGGGCCAGGAGTAGAGTTGAGAAGTGAAGTTTCCTAAATATTAGGCCTACTAAATAATAGTTAATATACAGATGGCTTACACCCAATAGATAGAGTATGTGCGGCATATTTAAACATCTTCTTTTGTGTGTGTGTGTGTGTGTGTGTGTGTGTGTGTGTGTGTGTGTGTGTGTGTGTGTGTGTGTACGTACGTGCATGTGTGCATGCGCGCATGCGTGCTCGTGTGTGTGTGTGTGTACATGTGTGTACGTGTACATTGGTGTGTGTTTCACTGATCAGCTGCGCTATCGCTGTGAGATCAGTGGTGATGAGCTGGGCAACCACGTGCCGTGTGTGGTACTGCGGAAAAGGTATGTGTTAGTGGAACTGCTTAACACTACCCAGTACATGCACCTACACTGGGCTGTGTAGCAAACACGGCTCTACGTATTCCAACGTTGACGCTAGAACTACCATAGAATGTGTGTGTGTGTGTGTGTGTGTGTGTGTGTGTGTGTGTGTGTGTGTGTGCGTGTGCGTGTGTGTGTGCGTGTGTTTGTGTGTGCTTGCATACGTATGTGTGTCTGTATGTGTGTCTGTGTGTGCATGTGCGTGAATCTGTACTACTAGAATTATCAGGCGGGGATCAATTGATCCTTCTTTCTTCAAAAATGTGTGGTTGGATTCAACTTTCCATCGCTGCATCTTCCAGGCGGGTGATAACCTGAGCGGCAGGAATATGACGTGATATCAGTGTCACTCCGTGGCCGTCACTCTACGTGTAGGCTTGGTTTATGCAGCACACCCCAAGCCAACTACCCACAGTACACACCCAGTGCCGGCTGCTAGCCACAGCGAGTGCGTTCGATTTTGCCCACGGGTCGATTTTGAATCCATTCATGAATTACCCCTGGCTATTCTCATCACCTCGTGGGAATAGGACGAATCCATTACGAACCGATTCCGGGGCTCGTGGCTTGAAAATGGAACGACTTGAATGCACGAGATTCCCTTTACGAATCGATTCATGGGCGTAATCGAACGCACCCGGTAGTGGCAACTGAAATCCGACACCTGATTTTCCGTGCTGGAGTTCAGCGCCGATTCTAGCGGTCTCAATTTTGTCAGTGTAACAGCGAGTGCGCGGTCTTTGCCATGTGAGCGCACCGAGCTGGGGTTGGATTTCAGTTGCCAGCACTGTAGTTAGCTGGATGATTAGGCTCTTGTCTTTGTAGTCTGTGCTCTCTGGGTCAGTAGCAGAAGTATTTTGTGACTGCAGTGGTCAATCTGCTTTGTTTTTGGTTTCTTTTCTCGTGTCGTGTTCTAGTGGTGTTGTTCTCACACTGGGTTGTTTTGAGAAGACCGTTCGCAAGGATATGGTGGATCCCACAACCGGCGACAAACTCCAGGAGAAAGACATTATTCGAATCAAGGTGAGTGTTGCATTGCAGCCTGTCTCTCTCAGTTACTCTCTCTCTCTCTCTCTCTCTCTCTCTCTCTCTCTCTCTCTCTCTCTCTCTCTCTCTCTCTCTCTCTTTCCCCAACAATCACGCTCTGACTCAAACGCACTCACCGACTCTCCTTGCTTGTTAGACGTGCATGTCCCACACAATGGCGTGGATGTAATCTCTCTCTCCTGCACACGGCTCTCTTCAACTGAAGCTCACGCTTCTCTCATTCCTGCTACTACTGCAGCAGCTGGTGTCTGCTCACCCTGTCGATTGATGCTATTGATTGCGCAATGACCAGAGTACCCATCGGCGATGCCCACACGCACACACACGCACACACACGCATTCAATTGTACGCCCACACCCTTCACATATACTCAGGTGTTGGAAACCGGTCTGTGTTCTGCTTTCCAACACCCATGGTCGATGTCCGCCCATACATGCACCCCACCCTTTACATTACACATACCGTAAAGTCTTGTATAAAAGCCGCGGCGTCTATGACTTTCTCGGTGACATTTTGCAGGCTTCTATATGAGACAGGCTTCTATACAAGACAGGTATTTCTATGTATGTCAACACTAAAACCAGGCTTATGTGTGATTTGATGGGCCCAAAATTGCGGCTTCTATTCAAGTGCGGCTTTTATACGAGACTTTACGGTAAACATGTGTTTGAAACCGATCTGTGTCCTGTTTTCCTGCACCAGATGATGTTTGTTGTATTCTTCTCTCCATCTGCATAATATATACAGGGTGGTACTGGGTTTGCTCACTCTGCCGCTGAGGAAGGTCAGAAGTTGGAGGCAAAGGCGCCGCGTCCGGTTGCACAGTTCTAGGCTATCCTTCTCCTCCTCCTCCTCCGCACTAATCATTTCTCTTATCTTGTCCGTTTGCGTGTTTGTTAGCTTGTGCAGCAGTGGTGCACGTGTTTGTTTGTTTGCTTGCGTCTCCCATGCTGCCGGGCTCTGTGACATGCCCTGTCACTTGAACTATGTACTTCAAGTAGAGCTACACGTGGCTGCATCTGAGTCTGTAGGGTGTGGGGTGCACGTGACTTTGTTATTGGCAGAGCTGTGCATGCGCTGAGCGTCTCTCTTCTTGCGGACGTATAACTGTTGATAACTGTGCATGCCTTTCGCTTTTGAAATGGATTTCTTGGTGTCTTTCACCGATCATTTACTAGTACGCTGTGTGGCCGTGCAGTGTGTGCCTGTACGGTGTGTGTAATGTGCAGGGAGTCGTATACCCAAACCTGCCCTGGTAGTGTGTAGTTGACACAATATTGATGGCTCTGTGCATCATACACCCACACAGTGTTTTGCACGCAGCTTAGATAATTATGGTTATGGAGCTTAGATATTAATTTAGTCAAGTATAAGCTTCTTACAATTTCCCATTCATCAGTGAGTATTACAGGTGGAATCCTGACGATTCGAATATGGCGTAATTTGAACATGCCGCTTATTAGAAGTTTCTTTCGTAACAGGGGCGTCGCACACGATACGGTCACTGCGGTATTGACCGTACCACTATTTGCCCCAAGTACAACGTGAATCAATAAAATGCACTGATTTGGGCTCTAAATTTTCGGCTCCACCACCCCTCCCCCACGAGTAAATTGTACTACATATGACTAACCGTACCACACTAAAATTAAATAATGAATCGCCTTCCGACGCCCCTGCGGCTGCGTATACACGCACAAGCACACACGAGTATGCAACATTATAATTCTTCTGCACAGTCATGAAACAGGCTCATGCCATCTTCACTCCATTTGCTGAAGGCGTATGGCCGTTTAGTATGGTCCACGACTGTCCTGCATGCATCCGTACCAGCAAGAGTACTCTTGATTCCGGGCATAAGCGACTGCTGCAGATGGGCCCTGGGTCTTGCATGCTTGCCCAGAGAGGTATTTGGGCTCGTACGCATTCCCGCAAGACGAACATGTTTTTTTACTCCTCATGCTGCCCGCACTCCGGCAGCAGGCACTCCACCACACGCATACCATGCCTATCACAACGGCTACAGTCACAAACAGAAGCATGTTTGAAAAGCCAAGAAACAGACCAGCCTGGCTTGGCGTGCATTGCACACGCATCATTCTGTTTGAATACCGACGACCAGCACACACACGGCATGATTCCATTTTCCAGCAAATAACTTGAAGGCACATGAACATCATAGGATAACAAAGGATAGAGAAAAAGCGGAATAGAAGAAAATCAGGTGCGCCAGTCTGCACCTTTGTCGCTGAAATGCCAATAAAATAAAGAGCTGTTTATGAATATTGACTGATAGTTTGTCAAAACATATGTGGAGCAAGCAGCTAGTAAAAGTTGCAGCGTTTCCTGACAAATGTAGAGCACGGGGAGAGGGTGGGGGTATATTGACCTTCACCCTATGCACGAGGTAATACATGTACATTCTGTTCTAAATTTATTAGAGTGATAACGTTCAGGGTGAGGGTGAGTTGCCCCCTCGTCACTGAAGATATGTAGAGCTATAAAAAAAAACCTCAATGAGATGTTCGGGGAACAAGTGCACTCCAACTAACCACATCTCATTGAGTTATGAAGCTGCAGGATGCCTCACCCTCATTTACTATGGAAATAATTTTCTAATTTTCATTCGAGGGAGTACTTATACTTGTTGCTTGCAGCATGCAGATTTCCGTCAATCCAGCGGGCACATACGGAGGCAGGTCGGAGATTATCCCAGGTATGGTTTGTTCATGACCACTTCATTAGTGGCATCGTTGATGATCACTGTAGCACCGATAGTACCCGTTTTGATCTTGTCCGTGAGCGTGGTCCGTGCAGATGAGTCCACCAGAATGCAGCGCACCTGAGCAGGCAGTGGAGTGCGTGGGTGGGTGTGGTGACACAGAACACATTTCATGAATGAGAAAAAAGAACCACGCATGCTTACATGAGAACACACACACACACACACACACACACACACACACACACACACACGCACACACATACACACACACGCGCACATCACATACACACACCCTGACCCTTGACCTATGTCGACACCCATCGCCGATAGCAATGCTACAGCAGAAGCCGTAGCGACTGCTGCTGGGATTGGACCATTCAACAGCTTGCAAGGCAGCACACTCCATACGCACTCCCCCCCCCCCCCCCCCCCCCCCACTCTCTCCAAACTGGCTGGTGTTCCCACTGTGCGTTCAGATGTTGAAATATTAATACTAATAATAGTTACAGTTTGCAGCATGTCACCCATGGAAGGACCCATGGGCTTAACTCATCTGTCAATGAAATCCAGGCAGAAGAGCCAACCAACAAACGGCGTCTCAATATTGTTACTTCCTCCGCCCAGGCAAAATTTTCGCTTATCTCCTTCAGCCCAATGACAGGTGTCTGACAGCAATTTTTGCATCTTGTGCACTTCACCATCACAAAAATCTGCTCGTTCAGGCGTACCAGTTCCAAACAAGACGGCGAAGTCGGCAAAGAGTAAAGAAACATCTAGAGTAGAGCGCGTTGAATGCGCGTGAACTGGTAAAAAAGACACGAAGTCAGTCACTAGTCAAGGTGGGTGATGCTAGAGTACCACTGCTGGCACTGGAGTACAGACCAGAGGTGTCATGTTGCGAAAAGCTAGTGTGTTTGATTGCATCCTGCTCAAGGTGTGTGTACTGTAAAAATGCATGCGAGCTTGAAGCTGAGAAAGCCACTCAGCGACGCTCTCCCACATACTGCAAAATAAACCAGAATCGGCACTGGGCAAAACAGTTGGAAAAGAAAGGCTTCGATGACAGGGTTGTCACTCGCCCAGCTCAACGCGAACGGTGTCGCGAACGCGATCGTAATTTCCATAATTATCACTTAGACATAAATTTGTAGTGCTAGAGCCTACTTTTTCTGACCTTGCCGCGCTCCTTCCATATTCTGAATGGCTATAGGCATGCGCAGTATGGTACGCGCGCATATTAGGCATGCGCGATCTTGACCCGTATAAATTAGGCATGCGCGTTCCTAATCAGCCTCTCCTTTTTATGATCACCAAGATTGACCTCGTGTTCTTATGGCTCTTGTGTGAATCCAAGTTTGCAGGCAGCTCGCCTTTTAGAGCAAGATGTCATGAGTGGATTGTTTGTAGTGCAACTGGCATGAGTATTGTTAGATCAGGGTCACAGTAGTAGTCGCACGGCGACATTTTTGGTGCCGAAACCAATACTGATGCCGGATATGGTGTGAGACCGAGAGCAGATATGGCAGAACCAGACTCCATCAACGCCCAGGCGAAGACGAAACGGAAGGTGCTGCAGGCCCACGTGAAGTTCTTGAACCAGCGCTCCGCTGAGGCCAACACATTGCTGTCTGGCACTCCAACTCCGGACGAGATAAGTAGTCTGATTACTGTATTTGCTTCTACGATAAAGAAAGGCGAGGAATTGTTCGACTTGTTTGCTAATGTGGTATACGACTTTGAGGCTACAAAAAAGGGTGATAAAGAGAAAAAGAAATACGATGAGCAGTATGTCGATGTGGTTGTGGAATTAATTACGGAATGCAATGATCTATTGGCACAGTTACGAGGAAAGTCAGCACAGTGTAAAACAGCATCACCAGTGGAGATCATAGATCTGACGAAGGTCATGGAAGCCAACACGAAAACACAGGCAGAAACAGCGAAGCTATTAAACCAGTTTGTCTCAGAACAAGGTGCCGCCAATGGCACTCCAGTCACAGTATCAAGTTCAACGAAGCTTCCTGTCCTAAAAATACCTGTGTTCAATGGCAATGTGTTGCAGTACCCAGAATTCATTGACATGTTTGAATCCACTATTCACAATAATACCAAGCTGTCCAATGTGGAAAAATTAGAGTACTTGAGAAATCACCTGAGCGATGCAGCACTAGATACCATAACGGGCATTACCTTAACGGGCAAGAATTATGCAGCAGCATTAGGGCTCCTAAAAGAGCGATTTGGAAAGCCACAAGTAATTGCCAACATGACGTATCACAAGCTTGTTGCCATTAAGCCACCAGTGAACACATCAGTAGCGTTGCGTAAGTTCCAAAATGAAGCAGAGGCGCACTTGCGATGTCTGAAATCAGCTGGTTCAGACATCCAGCAAGAGATAATCGTACCGCTACTGATGTCAAAACTGCCAAAACCGATAATCATTGATATGGAGAAAAGAAAAACCGGTGATAATTGGTCTGTGGGCAAACTACTTACGGTCTTGGGTGCATTAATTGATATCCTTGAAGCAAGTGATCACATGGCATCTGTACACTTCACACCTTCTAATGGGCGGGTACACAGGGAAACAAACCAAGAGGGTATGGCCACCAGTTCCTTACTAATGAATCAGACCACGCACAAAGGCCCGAAATGTTGGTATTGTGGAGGGTCACACTACACGGATGAATGCCCAGCATATCCAACGTATGAGAAACGGAAAGAGAAAATCACAAATGAATGTTTCGTATGTCTGAGGAAAGGACACAGTGCAGCAGATTGCAGAGCTGGTGCACGTACATGCTACCATTGTGGGAAACGCGGGCATCACCGGTCATTATGCATGAAGAAATTTGATCCACAATCCAGGCTAGATCCAAAGGCACGAGAATTTAAAAGTGCAAAGCCAACCAATGTTCAATCTTGCAATGCAGAGCTAGTGCCGCCTGTGGCTGACGTACATGCAACAAATGAAGTTTACTCCCAGAGCAATGTGGTACTAATGCAAACAGCAATGGCAGAAATCCAGAATGGTGACCACACTTGCAACGCACGCATCTTGTTCGACACTGGGTCGTCCCGTTCATTTGTGCACAGAAATGTCACTACCTCACTACACAGTAAACCAGTTGGTCAAGATGTTTTGGCAGTAGCCGGGTTTGGTTCCAAGACCAGAACTACTCGCACTTACCCCAGGGTAGAGTTACAAGTCAAATTACGTGATGGCTCCTTCCAACCGATATCTGCAAATATCACTGACCACATCTCTTGTCCAATGAATATGGCTCCGTTAGATTTGTCGAAACATCCAGCCATTGCAAAATTGCCACTAGCTGAGCCCCTTGGCACTGAAAGCACCCAGGCTCCGATTGACATACTAATTGGGAGCGACCAGTACTTTGAATTTGTGGGTCTGGAGCATTTGAAATTGGGAAATGGGATTGTAATGCTTGACACGAAACTGGGTTTCATCCCGACGGGTAAAGCAGACCAACATGATTCAATGCCAGATATCCATGCAATGTGCACGTCTGTTGAAAGCGAAGTACAACATCCAGATTTCGACCTACAGAAATTCTGGAAGCTAGAGCAGATTGGCATAGATGAAGATAATGGAGTCACAGATGACACCCTAGCGTACGACAACTTCAATGCAAATGTTGAGTTCATTAATGGTCGTTATGTAGTGTCATGGCCATGGAAATTAGACCCAGAAACTTGCCTACCAGAGAACTTTGATTTGGCCAAAGGTAGATTGAAATCTCTCATGCACAGAATGGAAAAAACACCAGAAGTACTCACGAAGTATCACGAAACGATACTGGGACAAATGGAAATGGGTGTAATTGAAGAAGTCAACGACTCTAGCAGCGAATTACGCAGTGACAACAACAATGGCAGTCACACTGACAACAACACAGAGAGCAGCGTACATCACTACATACCACACCACTGTGTAGTCAAGCCGAGCAGCACGACAACGAAGATACGCGTAGTGTACGACGCATCTGCCAAGACGAAGGAAGGCAACAAGTCACTTAATGAGTGCATCCACAGAGGCCCAGTGCTGCTGCCAGACCTTTGCGGCATCCTCCTTCGCTTTCGTTTGAATCCCATAGCAATGAGCAGCGATATTGAGAAGGCATTCTTGCAAGTCGGCTTACATGTCCGTGACCGCAATGTCACACGCTTTCTTTGGGTTCGAGACCCCAGCAAGCCTCCCAGAGGTGACAACATCGTCATCTACAGATTCTGCCGCATCCCCTTTGGCGTAATCGCAAGTCCGTTCTTGCTTGGTGCCACCATACGACACCACATCAGTTCTTCAGAGAACACGCAATCGCAGGCTGTAGAGAATAACACTTACGTCGACAATGTCCTCGGCGGAGCGGAAAGCGTAGAAGACGCAGTAGAGTACTATCGAGAAGTCAAGGGCATCTTCGCTGATGCATCAATGAATCTACGGGAGTGGGCGACAAACTCCGAGTCCCTCAAGCAGCAGATCCCCGAGAGCGATCGCGCAATCGCTCAACTCGTCAAGGTCCTTGGTATGGAGTGGGACACAAACTTGGATGAGCTAGGGCTCACTCCAAACCCAGCTGAACTCAAAAACGTTCAGACGAAGCGACACATGCTGAGCGTGTTATCATCGTTCTACGATCCACTGGGAATCTATTCGCCAATCGTATTTCGCGCGAAGGTTCTACTTCAGGAGATCTGGAAACTGAAGTGCAATTGGGACGATGTCTTGCCAGCAGCTATTCTTACAGAGTGGCATGAGATAGCTCATGACTTATCCACAGCCAGCCAAACCAGAATACCAAGACTTGCGAGTTTCACTTCCAACGTTGAACCAAGGTATGAGGTCCATGTTTTCTGTGACGCATCAAAGGCAGGCTACGGAGCTGTGGCGTATCTACGCACTATCTCGACGAACGTGTCTGTTCGCTTACTCTTTGCCAAGTCTCGTGTGGCACCGTTAAAGGAAACAACAATACCAAGGTTGGAGTTACTCGCAGCCACGTTAGGTGCTCGAATGATCAACTTCTTACGGAAAGAACTCCCTCTTCAGCTCACTACGTACTTGTGGTCAGATTCTCAATGTGTGCTGGGATGGGTGAAAGGGAAGGGCAAAGATCTGCCGACGTTCGTAGCACATAGGGTCGCAGAAATCCGCCGCAATGAAGACGTACAATTCTGTTATGTGAACACAAGAAGCAATCCTGCCGATCAACTGTCACGAGGCACCACGACTGCAACCCTCCTCAAGAGTAATCTGTGGTGGACAGGACCCGAGTGGTTGGCGGACATGCAATGGGCACCGGATACTGATCCTTGTCAAGAAGAAGTCGTTCACGCCGCTTTGTCGGGGGAGGGTCCTGCGGAGCAACAGGCGAGCAACCCCCCACCGGCTGGTATTCATATTGAGAAATCATCATCCTTCGCGAAAGTGATCAGGGTTACAGCATGGGTACAGCGTTTCATAAAGTCAGCACGAAAGTCTCGTCCAACATCACCATACTTATCGGTTGACGAACTTCAGACCGCGGAAATGCTTTGGCTGAAACATGCGCAAGCCACTGATTACTCAGCAGAACTGGAAGCCATCAAGAACAACAAGAAAACCAAGAGCGACTTAACCCTTTGAGGCCCATAGTACGGATATATCCGTACCAGTGTACACTGCATACTTTTCAAAGTGCAACCTGGCGTAACTCGGCCGTCCCTTGACCAAATCGGACAATCGAAAGGGCTATCGACATTAAAATTGTCTCAGCTATCGGCTCGAAAAAATCCGAAGGCGATCCGACGTCGGAGAGCGGAGATACGAGACTCGAACTAAATTCGCTCAGCAGAGTCAACTCGATCGCGTGCATTTTGAACTCGTTTTTAGGGGTTTTCCCTGACTCGCGGCCCACGCAGCTACAGATAGTTCACGTCATCGCAAAGTCATGTTTCTTAGCTCTTCAGTAAAAAAATTTGAGCGATCTGCGATGCAATTTGTTGAAATGGCAGAGAATTTGAGTTGGGCGCTCGCAGTGCTGGCCTTGGAGCGCCTTATTGCGCTGCGGCGCTGGTTCTGTGGATCGCGTGATGGATTGCTGGCTATCGCGGTGTTCCTCTGGCCAAGAGCTTTCCAGAAAGTCTAAGATCATCAAAATCGGCCAAAGAACACCAAAGTTATGACCAGATAAGTAACTGGGCTCGCGTATGCAGTGCATTTCTTGAAATAATTGTGGGCCCTAAAGGGTTAATGTTCAAGTTGGGTCTCTTTATTGATGAAGAAGATGGCCTAATCAAGTGCAGAGGCAGGATGAAGAATGCAGAACTGCCATCAAATGCTAAATTCCCGATTCTCCTCTGCGGAAAGAGTGCGCTGACGAGATTGATCATTTCCGATGTACACCAGAGAGTTCTCCACGCTGGCGCTAGTCACACGCTTGTGGAATTACGTAAACGCTTCTGGGTGACACGAGGTAGAAAAGAGGTCACGAATGTAGTTAATCAGTGCAAGGTATGCAAACGGTTTGAGGGTGGCCCCTTTGCAATGCCCAAGTTCGCACCTCTCCCCAAAGAACGGGTAACCCGCAGCGCACCATTTGTCAGGACTGGCATTGATTACTTTGGGCCCCTGACTGTTAAAGCCAATGGAGAAAACAAGAAAGTTTGGGTGGTACTGTTCACTTGTCTGGCAACACGGGCGTTGCACTTAGAGCTTGTACTAGATATGACTACTGACAGCTTTCTAATGGCGTTTAAGCGATTCGTCGCTCGCCGCGGTACACCGGCTACAATCGTGTCTGATAATGCTAAACAGTTTAAATTGGCTGACGTCACAATGGAGCAATTGTGGAAATCCATTAATACCAATGCGAATGTATTCTCGACACTTGCCACTATGGGTATTGAATGGCGGTTCATCGTTCAACTATCACCATGGATGGGAGGGGTGTATGAACGCCTCGTCCAGTCCGTAAAGCGAATGCTCAGGAAATCCCTCGGTAAACGAATTCTAAAGGCCGAGGAACTTTGCACACTGCTGACAGAAGTAGAGGGAATTCTGAACAGTAGGCCTCTCACGTATGTGGGTGAAGATTTCAATGGGTTTATCCTCACACCAGCGCACTTCTTGTGCCTCAACAACACTCTAACACTGCCGGGTGAGCAGTTAGATACGAATGATCCAGATTTCTGTGTCAAAGCCTCGGGTGATTTACTTCTCCAGAAGTTCAATGTATGTCAGCAGCAGCTGAATCGCTTCTGGCAATTATGGCAAGACGAGTATCTAGCATCACTGAGAGAGCGTGGCGATTACCAGCTACGACAAGGACGTATTCGTGCCAATGACGAGCCGGCAGTTGACACAGTTGTCATCATCCGCGAGGAAACACTGCCCCGAGTTAGCTGGCCAATCGGCCGCATTGTGAAACTGCACGAATCTTCAGATGGTGAGACAAGATCCGCCACCATTCAGCTCCCCACTGGTAGGACAGTCAGACGGTCACTATGTCATCTTTACCCGCTGGAATGTCCATCAACACCGGCACAGGTGAGTAGTGAACCCGAACCAGTACCGGCAACTGAGAGCGCATCCAGTAGTGATACCACCAGCATGACTCGGCCCAAGCGGCACGCAGCAGCTCGGTTTCAAGAACAGCTAGGTGAGCTTATACGAGACGGAGCAGTTTAGTAACAAGAATGAGTGCACTGGATAGTAAGCTATGCTATGATGGTCTGAACACTTGTACACCCACAAACTCACACATGCATACACACATACACCCACACACCTATACACTGTACATACACAGCATGAACACGATTGCCTTCTGATCTTTGTTATGAACATGCTGCTTATGCGAACCTCCTTTGCTAGATACACTGCAGTATACATGTTCTATTGAAGTAGTTTAAAGGTAGATTGCCTTATTTCCGAAGGTGAACTTTCAAGATGAGTATTCAGATGCATGAACAGTAAGTTGATCTGAAGATGTAACTAGTGTCAATGTCATGCAGTCAGTCAGTATAGTAACGGTATCATTGAGTCAAGTTTGATACAGCTCTCCCACCATTGCGTCGTTTAGGTACCGTAGATCATTTTCGGCACAGATTTGTATTCATGAATTTCAAGGCTGACAGTATTCGGAGCTATTTACATTGCATGTTCCTTTCTTGACATTCAGTTCATTGTGTAAATATGTTTACTGAGTATCATTCTTCATTTCTTCTCGCTGGCCGGAATGTCGCGAACGCGATCGTAATTTCCATAATTATCACTTAGACATAAATTTGTAGTGCTAGAGCCTACTTTTTCTGACCTTGCCGCGCTCCTTCCATATTCTGAATGGCTATAGGCATGCGCAGTATGGTACGCGCGCATATTAGGCATGCGCGATCTTGACCCGTATAAATTAGGCATGCGCGTTCCTAATCAGCCTCTCCTTTTTATGATCACCAAGATTGACCTCGTGTTCTTATGGCTCTTGTGTGAATCCAAGTTTGCAGGCAGCTCGCCTTTTAGAGCAAGATGTCATGAGTGGATTGTTTGTAGTGCAACTGGCATGAGTATTGTTAGATCAGGGTCACAGTAGTAGTCGCACGGCGACAAACGGTCCAGCAAAGCGACGCTGACCGAGCTCGCCAGCTTCGGCTGGAAAGAAACACAACCGATCGTACTCGTGAAGGAGGTGAAGCGCTTGGGAAAAAAGTGTCGATAGAAAATATTTGCGCTTCTGGAAAGTGCGAAGTACTACCCGACAACAAGTGCTGCGTCGGCTGATGACAAAGGATGCCTTCTACATTTTTCGACTTGGAGAGTTTCTCTTGATGTTCAACGACTCCTCAACTCATTCTGAGACGTTATAAGCCGTTCTGAGAACCTGGAATGTATCAGTAAAAACTGTAAAGATAAGCGAAAATTTTGCTTGGGCGGAGGAAGTAGAACTTACAACAGCAAAGAACAACTACGGAAGCACAGCACATTTCCCCCCAAGCATCAATAAATAAATATAATAAAATAAAAGCAGTCCGGTGTGGCTCGTACCTGTGCTAGCTCCCCGCCACCAGGTTTGGCGATAACGTCGTATCTCGGCGAGCGGATCCTGTTGACGGATGTCTGTATGGGGGAGCAGAGAAGTGCAGTGCACACAGACACACACAGAGCAAAGAAGAAAGGGCTAGGTCTAAACCGGGTGTCTTCAAAGCAACGTTCTGGGACGAGCTGCTCCCAAACAGGGAACCATGCTACAACGTGGGTAGCAATCATAATGAGATTTAGAAAATACTCAGCCAAGTGCACTTCTTCAGGAATAATCCTGCCAAAAACTTGTCGAAATTTTATAGCTGAAGTGATTCAAGAAAAAGTAGGAATCAAATTTCAAATTTCGATGTTTTACTGTAAATAGCTACAATGCAGTCTGCAAGTACTGTATAGCAGGAAATTTTCGGACGGAATTTAGTTTCGTACGATTTCGTACACGGCCTCTTTTGTACTAAATTAATTCCCTACTAAAATTTGTTCCTGTCAAGTTATATGTACACTATACATGCGTACCGCATGCGAACACGTGCATTTAGCATGCAGCACTGTACGAAAATAGAATCCGTACGAAAGGTCGAAATTCGGCTTTGTCCGAAAATATTTCCGTCCGAAAATATTTTCGTCCGAAAATTTCCTGCTATACAGTATGTAGACTAGTTAACTGTAGTAACATGAATTGGCTGCAGTGGAGTCAGCACCGACACGTGGAGAGTTGTCTATCAAACTGAAATGTTTGAATAGTACCATGGCCTAAAGTGCTGGATATTGGATGTGCTTTACCCACCGCGGCATAATCAGACATGAGCGTTTCAATGTCACTCTCGGCGAGCTCCCTCGGCAGACGCTGGATCTCCGTCTGCAGTGTGTTGACCTGTGCAGAATCAGACCAAGCACCATTTGACCATTTTACGCCCATGGCCGGAGCCAATAATACTACCGTAAAGTACCGCCAGAGCGCCCCGTCTCGCAAGAGCGCCCCACCTTGATTTTACAGCCAGAGAAAGGAAAATCGTATGGCAGAGTGCAACGAAGTTTGTACGATGTAAGAATCTTAGTGTACTAAGGTCACACTTGGCAGGTTTTCGTGTGGAGCTTGTATCCGCTCGAAGGTATGGATTGACTGCAAAACGTGCTATGTATGTACACGGTTCATGTCGTATGACCTACAGACGGCAGACCACCTCCACAATACGACCACGAAAGGATGAGATGGTGGGGCGCTCTGGCGGTACTTTACCGTAATAGCAATGCTACAGCAGAAGCCCTGGCAACTTGGGCTGGGATTGCATTGCACCATTCAACAGCTTGCAAGGCTGATGAATTGACCGCCACTATTCAGCCTGGTCTACACGGCACAGCTATTTGAAGAGGGTTTTTCCGGCCAGTGAATCCCTACTTTTTGGTCTTTTTTCCCTCACACACACATCACACCACATACTCCAGCATGCACTGGTGTTGGTAACCACACAGGAGAATGAAGGAAAGTCAGAAGTCTGAGAAAGAGAAGAAAGATGTGTGCAACCATAGTCGTCGGGCATCAAACCCGCAACCTCTCGACTGGAAATCACCCGAAAGACCAAGCACACACACGCACGCACGCACACGCGCGCGCGTGCACACACACACACACACCGGTCCTGTTGATTCTATCACGCAGTGCACAATCGTAAAAGGCCAGGCACCGACTGGACCAATACAAAATGCTGTCACCAGACCTACACTTCAGGGGCATGCCTGGATAGGTTAATTGATAGGTATAACTTCACATGCGATGAACTTGAATTAGTTGGCACGAGTTGGAACAGGGAGTCGTCAAATACCTATTTGACGACTCCCTCAGTTGGAACCTGTCCAGTATAGAAATGCACGTTTAGTACTAGACTTAGTATATGCATTTGCCATTCACTGCATTCATAATTTACTCAGAACACTGAAGTTGCAACTGAATAACGGAGGTGCGTTTGAGTGCTTTGGGACCCCTTGCAGAGAAGGAAAATCGTTGGCACAAGTGCCGAATCACCTACCCAGCACTGTCACAACTACAGCAATGCCGCACTGCACAGCAAATCACGTTGCTTACATCCTTTGGTGTCCTGGCGTTGAAGAAGTCTTTCACACACTTCCGACCGTCACCATTGCCTGCAGCTACATGTACATGTATAGAAACACAGATATGGTTTTTAGGGGCAGTTGTAAATGCGGCACCGTGTACCCGGAAGGGAAAGTGTGGCGTTTGCGTGATACCCCTGTCCTCCCACCCCTTGCAACACATGACCAAGACTTAATGATCACAGCGGATTCTCAACAGGCAACCTTGTCTACATAACACCCTGTGGCCAACATAGTAATCAATGTCATATGCACACTGTGACATTTCTCTCATGTTGCCATACCCATTTCAATATGTAATCATGGGTGAGCGGATGTGATTGTCGTATCCACACCTTGACATTTCTCTCATGTTGCCATACCCATTTCAATATGTAATCATGGGTGAGCGGATGTGATTGTCGTATCCACACCTTGAAATTTCTCTCATGTTGCCATACCCATTTCAATACGTAATCATGTGTGAGCGGATGTGATTGTCGTATCAGCAACTTGAAATTTCTCCCACATTGCCATGCCTATTTCACAGGGCATTGTCGCACTGTGGGTGTACACTGTGTGTGTCAGATAAGCGGCCGCTGCTACACAGCCAGAAAGGCACGGGGGCCTGGGGGCACTGGGGGAAAACCTTTCCTTTCTGCATGTGTCAGCAGCCTGCCTGCATTTCCCCGGTTATCATGGTTATAAGTTGCACACCCATCTTCATGTTGAGATGTTGCAGACGCTGCAGACGGAGATCCAGCGTCTGCCGAGGGAGCTTGCCGAGAGTGACATTGAAACGCTCATGTCTGATTATGCCGCGGTGTGTAAAGCACACCCCCCCCCCCCCTCATCCCATTTTCATGTTTGCGCCATATCGTTTCAATACACTAACATACGTAGGAAGTCACACTCAATTGTACCCTTCTGTGCCCTTGGGGTTTAGCACAAAAAGGTACGTGCCACGTGTATTCGGGTAAATACGGTAGGTAGGAATGGTGTCTTGTGTACACAGTGTACTTTCAAGATGCACTCATCCTACAGACTTTGAAGTGCAGACTTGGTGCTGAAGGGGAAACCCCTAGCTGCATGCGTTGGGTCGTGAAATTCGAAAGCTGCAAGCTGCACTAAACCACGACCCAACTTGAACACAGCTGGGGGATTCCCCTTCTGGAACGAAGTCTGCATGATTGTGCAGTTGTATGCATGAGAAGAAGAGTACCTGAAACCCAGAGTATGCAGCTCTGGTGGGTGGCTGTCACGGCCAAATTCCGGGATTGCATCATTTCAGTGATGTAGAGCGTACCAGTAGGATTCAAACAGGTCTCTTTCTGCACAACTACAGCTCAGTTGTGCGCACTACGCCACTTCCTGCCTCGGATCTACACGAGATATGATGTAATCCCGGAACTTCGCCGTGACAGACACCCATGGAGAAAAAGTCAGAAGCTGTACACTCTGGGTTTCATGTAGTCTTGATGAGGAGAACTCCGTCTTGATGAGGAGAACTCCGTCTTGATGAGGAGAACTCCGTCTTGATGAGGAGAACTCCGTCTTGATGAGGAGAACTTACTTGCATTGCAGGAGGTGCCCGTGAAGCAGCGTGGACACTGGCATACGCCGGTCTGCTGGTGGCATGGGTGTCCATTGCACGAGCACTTCATACTGCAGTCGCTACTCCAATAGCCAACACGACATGGTACTGGTGCTGTGGTGCCCACGGGCATTAGTGTACCTGCAACAATAGAGAGAGAGAGAGAGAGAGAGAGAGAGAGAGAGAGAGAGAGAGAGAGAGAGAGAGAGAGAGAGAGAGAGAGAGAGAGAGAGAGAGAGAGAGAGAGAGAGAGAAAGAGAGAGAGAGAGATACTGTCACACTGCAGGGTACAAAATGTAACCCCCCCCCCCTCCATGCCTGCTGAAAAGAAAACAGTACACTGCAGCCCCCAGTCTGTAAATGTTGCTAGAAACATGAATGCTTGGGGGTATGCCGGAGTGATTATGGCACACGTTTAATGCAGGGGCGTCGGAAGGTATTTTAGTGTGGTACGGTCAGCCATCTGAAGTACAATAATTATTTACTCGTGGGGGAGTGGCGGCTGAGCCGACAATTTTGGAATTTAAGATCCCAGATCAGTGGATTTTATTGATTCACGGGGTATCTGGGGCAAAAAGTGGTACGGTCAATACCGTAGTGACCGTACTGTGTGCGACGCCCCTGTTATGTATTTGGAAATTGCAGCTCCAGCCCCAGAGAATACAGCAGAACCGAAGGCAAAGAGAGATCAGAACATGGACATAGAGCAGGATTGAAGACAGAGAGAAATCTGAATGAGGCCATTTGTAACGTGGTCATCGATGAAATCCGGTCGTATCGCTCAAGTTTGCACCTTGCACCATTTGGCAGGCCAGTATTCACAGGCCTAGGGCTGCACAACGCCCGGCGTGTACTTGAGTGACTCTACTGGATTTCATTGGGCAGCACTGTGCATTATAGGCTGCTGTACCTGTGGGTGTCAATGGAGGAGGTGAGCCTGCAGGTGTCAATGGAGGTGATGAGCCTGCAGGTGGTATGCTCCCTGTCCTTGGTGGAGTGGAAACGCCCGCACTTGTTGCTGGCATGCTTGGAATTTGAGGCGTCGTTTGCGGCGGAGATGACGCCTGCATCGTTGGCGGGGGCGATGACGCCTGCATCGTTTGTGGCCTTGATGATAGTCCAGCAGATGGAACGTGTGCTGAAAACGACACACATACACACAAGTACAATGTACAAGCTTGGACATAGATGCTATGTAATGACAGCAACTAATGCAATGACATCATTACTTGACGTGTCTGATTATTGAGTGATTTCAAGAGCACAGGTTTGCCATCCACATGCAATGATGTCATACACTGGCAATGGAGCTAGACCAGAGTCACTAGACATCTCTAGCTTTGTGCAATGATGTCATCCACTAGACATGACTTGTCATGGAATACAGGAGGCAAGTCCATGCCCCCCCCCCTCCCCACGCACAGACCTCACACCTCAGATCTGCCCATCGCGGAAGCGATGATAGCGAACAGCTATGTTAGACATAGCAACCGCGCACAGACACACGCATGCGCACACACACACATGTACAAGCACACACACGCACACACACACACTTGATGCTAGCAGACTCCTTGATGGGTGTCGTACACATCGCGGTTCACTAGGCCAGTAGTATGGTATCGACTGCACCGCTCGTTCCCATAGCTACCCTGATCCCCGAGTTGCTGACTGTACCAGTCTAAATAGCGTGAGATGCCCCTGTGCGGCAGCTTGAGAATGTGAGGATTGGCATAGTGCAGAATCTGGCTGAATTCATGCACTGGTTTTGCCCCCCCCCCCCTCTTGGCCCGTGATCACACTCTACACCTGGTGTGTTCGCATGTACATGTACTATTGTGGACATTTACTAGCAAGTCCGGTGGAATGACCGGGGATGGCGCCTTTACTGCCTTAGCGCGCACACCCCACTGCAGTTTATGGAACCGTGTCTGTAGTAATGGACCAACAGTGCTGGTGGGTGCAAGGCCAGAGCCCCGTGGCCGCTTGAATTCTACACGGATTTTGATGTCTGCAACAGTAACTCCACTATGCGTGTCAATGGTCAGGGCTCATAGTGCTAGCTACATGTGAGCAATGGCTAGTGGAGGTCGTAAGGTCAGGGTTCATACTGGACATCAAAACCCTGAGCAGTGGCCTGTAGAGTCAGTGCATCATGCATGTATGTTCCCAGGCAGACAGTCAGTGCACACAGCTGCACTCCTGGCTACAGGAAGCCTGACGGCTAGTTGGTTGGCCCTTGAGTGGCTTGAGCCCAGTCCATGGCACGCACATGTGTGCATGCATGCCATGGCCCCATCATACCCCATCTATCCACGCCTTCTCGCTGTCGGATCTCAACTGTGACTTACGTTAAAGGGGAAGTTAAGGCAAAAATTAAAATTTCACCAGTTGTAGTCTTCGGGGTGCTGAGTCGAATGGTCTTGGTCCGAGGAAGCTGAGACGCTCCCTTCCTACTTGAATCCCAATCGAACTCGCGCACTTCCACCGAAACTGGGTGACTGCGCCCTACTAGATGGGGATTTGTATGCAAAATGTCACTAAAAGCGCCATTTCGTTCTTATAAAAGCACGGGTGACCGCGATTGGCCCATATGTTGTAGTCTTTTGGACTCGGAGTCGACTGGTTTTGGTCCGAAAAGGCTGCGATGCAGCGTTCCTCCTTTATTCCCAATCGAACATGGTTGAACAAGCGGTCACGTGCTCCTGCGTACACCAGTCACCTGGTCACCGTGCCTGCAGGGTACAACTTACTAGCCTGTTTGACCTTTTTTGGGTGCAGTCCTGTCACTCGAGTTGAACCTTGATGTGAAAGTTGTCGCCTGCTGGCGTGGTGACCAGGTGATTTGGGCACCCAGGAGCACGTGACCGCTTCTTCAACCATGTTCGATTGGGAATAAAGGAGGAACGCTGCATCGCAGCCTTTTCGGACCAAAACCAGTCGACTCAGCGTCCAAAAGACTACAACATATGGGCCAATCGCGGTCACCCGTGCTTTTATAAGAACGAAATGGCGCTTTTAGTGACATTTTGCATACAAATCCCCATCTAGTAGGGCGCAGTCACCCAGTTTCGGTGGAAGTGCGCGAGTTCGATTGGGATTCAAGTAGGAAGGGAGCGTCTCAGCTTCATCGGACCACGACCATTCGACTCAGCACCCCGAAGACTACAACTGGTGAAATTTTAATTTTTGCCTTAACTTCCCCTTTAACACACACCAACACACCCTAACAAACTCCGAAAGACTAAGCCAAGGACGTAGATCTACTAGTACTACGTCTACATGACATAGCTGCAGCGCAGCAAGCCGCAAAACGGCTTTGCTTCGCTTCTGTTGTTGCAACCTCACAGTCACTCAGCACCTTGGTCGTTGCGCCAGTGCAACACGCTAATTCCATTCTATTCAAGTCTGGACCTATCGAGACAATTCTTGTCGAAGGATTTGCATTATCAACTCCTAACTCACAGAGTCATCTACATCTTTGTGGCCGGAATGGCTAAAATCAGAGACTAACGACGCTGCGCTACCATGCCAAGTGAGCCATGGAAGAGCCCCATAACTTCGCAAGCTCGACACGAGGAAAATACGTAAATGCAAAATCACAGTACATGACCGTCGTTGGACTGATTCAGTCACAGTCTAGGTCACGTAGGTGTCTTACTTGTTGGTGCAGGTGGAGAGGATTGTGCTTGCGTCCGTCCGCACAGCACGGATGCCAGGACAATGCAAGCAATGAGAGAAGTCTCCATCGTTCGGCTAATTCTCGGAAAATACCGGTACTGCCGGTAGCTCAATGTATTCCGCCCGGACCGTTTCTTCAGCCTCACAGTCTTCGGCTGGTTAGCCAGTACTGTTCTCGGACGGGACACGAGCGTGCACTGCTCGCTGCTAAAGGCGTTGATATCACCGTTACGCGCAGGACCAGATTGCTTGAGTCTTTCAAAGAACCAACATTTATAATACTTCAAAGGTAGCTCTACACTGCCAAACGACACTAAACAAAAGACGTAAACAAGAACGAGCCCCTGTCCTGAGTGTCCATGATCCAGGCCTCGGCATCGACACGACAGTCCGTTCGGGTGGCCGACTACAAACTGCCGCGACCACTGCCAGTGCCACTGGCCTGGCCCTGCCCAGAACTGGATGTCAAACGTCATGGTGCCGCGCGACTACGCATCGTCCCCATGACGACTGGACCATGCATGCACGTAAGGCCGTTACAGAGTCCTGTACAATCATGTACATGTTTTGCGTAGATCTACCAAGACAAGAGTCAAGAAGAAGAAGAAGCCGTGCATTATTGATAGTAATACTAATACGCAAAATGCATGTACGACCGGCATTATAAAGCTAAAGCCAGCATTACCCAAGCATTAGAATATGGCCTAGGCTAGGGGAACAAACGGCCCAGATTTACCCTGAAACACATCTCACGCACAACCACTGCCCCTGCACACAGTCATCATGATGATATTAGCCAAGCACAAACTCGTCTCAGAAACGTGCTGCAGATGGCAAAATGAACAAATTTAAAGAGCTTCTTAAATCTAAGCGCCATTCGGGCACAGTGAATGAAATGAACAGAAAAAAGGCTCATTGAGAAATACAGTCACTGTAGTTGGTGATATCTTGTGGGACCAAGTGAAACCAGTCTACACCAATCATTCAGGGAACCTTCAAAATGTGGCCTCCTGGAGGATCTACAGGTGGTCTTCATACAGGGTCTTTATGCTGGAAACAACATTCATCGGTCGTAGAGGTCCTCTACATCGGTCGTAGAGGTCCTTTAGGACAGGTGATCGCCTTACCAGAGTGGTCGCCTTGACATGCAATTATTACTGTACATGGAGATGACAAATTACTTCGAAGTATAAGCAGCAGAGGCCAAAACTAACTAGCAGTCAAATGCTGCCATCGCCAAGAGCAAACGGTAACTGAAATTGTCTTGAAGAAGTTGAATACCAGGAAGGTTACAGCATGCTAGAGGAAAAACCGGAAAAGAAAAGGTGCTAGTAATCATCTCAAAATTGCCGAGAGGAAAGTAGGCTAACAGTACCATAGGACAATGTAGTGTTATGCAGTGAAACATGTAACAGTCACTAAAGACCACCGTGACTAGCGACCAGCCTTGTACTAAAGACCACTTCGCCAGGCACGGACGATCTCACATTCACATAATATTATGGTTGTGCGGTGCAAGCCTCTAACTAAGGACCACCTGCCACTAAAGACCGCTTTCTGTGGCCCCAAGGGGTGGTCGTTAGTCACAGGTTTTTGCTGTAGTATGAATTGAGGTGATGATGTCATGACATGATGATGTCACAACATGATGATGTCATGACATGATGAAACCAGGATGAGAACAATGATCATTGATCACGCATGTGACCGTACAAGCCGCTACTCGTGAAGTCGTGGCTCATCTTCAAGCAGCGGCGTACGGAAGCCGGACGCGATGGTCTTGAGCGCTTCCGGCGGTATGCGATCGTCGCCATCTTCCTGCGGTGATGTTCGTCGGCGCCAGCGCCTCCAGAGCATGACGAAGTTGAGCCCATGCAGCCGTCCCCAACCGCCATCCGGTGAGAAGAGTTGCTTGCACGTACACGCCAGGAGAACAAAACACGTCGGAAGCCAGTACAGCATCATTGCCGCCTTGTCTATGTAAATGGACCAGTTGTCGCTGCTGTGAGCGGCCAGCGCCTTCAGAACGGAGACGGCTTGCAGAATGAACAGAAACAGCAGCTCCTGGGCGTTGTGCGACACATGCAGAGTCTTGCCAGAGCGAAGCGGCCTGAAGTAAATACACGCCAAGGTGCACAAAGACACCGGTAAATTCTCCTCCAGAGAACTCGCATTCTCACACATATCACAGTGCCGCCTCAATGAAATCCGGTCGCTCGAGAGTCAAGTCGGCGCATTGCACCATTTCGTAGCCCAGTGTTCGCTGGTCTAGGGCTGCACAAATACCCCCCCCCCCCCCCCCGCGTACTTGAGTGACGCGACTGGATGTCATTGAGCAGCACCGTACTACACAGAGGCATTGAACAGACTAGCAGTTGGCTGGATCATTTATTATTTACCGCATTCCACATCACTTTATACTATCTATTTTCCAATCAAAACGGGTACGTTTGTATCCCTGGTGATGGTTGTGCCTGGAGAGCACTATGTAAGTGGTGCTCTTCACGCACAATCTTCCTCGGCCTACTCAAGCTCAACAGATGAGGGGTGAATTCCCCGAAACATGTATTGAGCAGGGAGGGGTGCTTTCCTGCAGGTTTGTCGAGCCGAAGGTTCGCTGGACTTCTCGTGTGCTCTGGATGGCAGTCGTGAGTCAGTCAAGTGTCAAGTCAAGTCGGTGGAATAGCGCGAGCTCCAGTGTGGGGAGCAAACCCTTTCTTACAAAGGGGAGAGGGTGAAAATAAACGGCAACTGAAACAGGTGGAGAACAACTGTAAACGTGACACGATTGGATATAGGGACGATGTCGTGTGTGCCAGGCAGTATGCCCTGGGGTGCTTGCGCATTTCATGCACCACTGCTGCACGTCAAAAATAGGCTTCATATTCTTCCACACTACGAAGATTCGCCTAACAATTAAACTTAGCAAGAAACTTGGAGTTGCGAGAAATTCTAGACCTCCATTGTGCCCGTTTTGTGTATTCACTCACACCATAATAATAATGCTGTAATAAACTTCATATTAGAGCCGCTCTCTTACTTTGCTACGGCATGTGCCAGCAACATCAGCCAGAACAGTGCAGTCATCACCAGCAAGCGATGGTACTGACGCGCAAACAGGCTGCACACAACAGCCAACAGGACACGTCTGAGCAGATTGACGGCCGCCCACCAGCGCCGGTCGTCGCGGTAGATGTGGCACGCCTGATCGATGAAGCCCATGAGGCGCGGGTTCTGACGAGCGCTGGGCACGAGCAGCAGAATCGGCGGGGGAGCTATGACGAGTGCGAGTATGCCCAGCGAGATGATGATGTAGGGTCGGTGCTGAGAGCCAAAGCAGCTCACTGATCCGTCCCTGGTGACAACACGGACGCCAGTCCTCAGCTTAACGCAGCTCAGGAAGCTGATGGCCACGAACATGAGCAGCAGATAGCTGTAGACCAGAACTAGCCACATGACGCGGACGAGCAACATGTGCTGCTGTTGCCGCTGCAGAAAACCACCAGTACAGTTGTAGGAGCGGGCAACGCGGATTGCGATGAATATCAGAAGGAATGTCGCCGGCTGCAGCAAGAGCAGTGCGTTCACCTGCAGCGGATGGAGGTCAGGACGGATGCAGACGTGACCCAGGCCAAACGTGAGCACTGTGTAGACAGCGCTATAGACGTAGCTATTCTCATTGCTGAAAATATACCAAAATGCCTGCAACAATGATACGACAATACGAAACACACACACGCACGCGCACATGCACACACACACACGTACGCGCACACACTCACACACACACACATATGCGTGCACAGACGCACACCCACACATGTGTGCACAGATGCACACAAGCGTAAAAGACCTCAGTGGACCTCGACCTTTTACGAGGCCTATATACTATATTATTTCCCATATAGACCTCGTCTTGGTCAATATCGTATACATATTGGTAAAATTGGCATTTTGAAAAATCCACATGACCCCGGTTCATGCTGCCGATGCCTCACATAGAAGTGTTTCACGAAGTTGCACACAAATTGGAGCCTTTCCAAGGTGGTATGAGCATGGAATGGCCACGCTATATTCTAAATTTGACATACCAAGAGTAAAAACGGACAGAGTTTCTTGGTAGGAGTTTTTTTGTTATCAAATGCCCAGAGCGGCAGATCTAAACTTATTTTAGGCGGTAAGAAGCAGGTTGCAAACCTGAATTCGGCCAGAATCAGATGGGAAAAGTACCTTTAGTCTCATGTTCTGTCTGAGTAGTGTGTCCGTGTGTGTGTGTGTGTGTGTGTGTGTGTGTGTGTGTGTGTGTGTGTGTGTGTGTGTGTGCGTGTGTGTGTGTATGTGTATGCATGTGTGTGTGTGTGTGTGTGTGTGTGTGTGTGTGTGTGTGTGTATGCATGTATTTGTGTGTGTGTATGTATGTGGGTGTGGGTGTATGTGTATGTGTGTGTGTGTGTGTGTGTGTGTGTGTGTGTGTGCGTGCGTGTGTGTGCTTAATGAAGTGCATACATTGTACACAACAGTCACAATTTCAATCCACTGTTGCTCATCCGTCAATGCGTATCCCCTGTAGGGTCAAGTCTAGCTTGGAAGAGGAAGAATTTTTCCTGCCGTGCTACGACCCACCGTTAATTAGGAACTCGTGGCATGGCACGATGGAAACATGGATGCAGCGAATGCGTTTTACCGTCTTTGATCACTTTTCTGTCGGGCCTGACCCCCCACCGCTTTAGGATCTGCATCCGCGCCTGTTAATCCTATGAGAGGCATTTCTACAGATGGCGAGAGCTCAGTCTATCAGAGGGCATGCGAACTGTGATTACAGTAAATCAACTAATTTTTGCTGGCGATTTAATTTCGCTGACTTTGCCGCTTGGTACCAGTCGGCCAAAGTAAATCGCAGGCCAAAGTTCTTCATAGAGGTAAATGACGCATGATTTAGCCATGGCTGCATATGTGTGAGCAACAAGTACTGATGGATTTTTTTTGTTGAAAACCCCAATCGGCCAAAAGTTTCATTTCGAGATCGGCCAAAGTTTCTCACCGGCCACAATTTGTTCGTTTACAGGATTTTACGTTTACGGTGTGATAAAGTTGTAACCAGCTACATGCCCCCCCCCCTTACACTTTTTATATTAACCGCCGCACCATAACCGCGCTCTCCAGCCAACCCCGGCCCGACGTTGCCACAGCACAACACCTGCAAAGCAACACATCCGTTGCTGCTGAATTCTATCGTGCAACGGTTTCAAGAGTAAAACTCTCGTTAGTGAAGGTAGAGCTGAGGTAATGTCGTGTCGAGACCGGGTCGGCTGGAGAGCGCAGATATGGTGTGGTGGTTGATGAAAACAATGTATGGCGTGAGCGTTATCAATGCTTATTACCTGTACAAAGAACAGCCAGCTATCCAGCAGAGGACTCATTCCCATGTTGCAGTAGAGCATGATCATGAATGTCAGCACTGTTAGGACTACAACCAGGCTGATGTAGGCACCAAGCGGAATGCGTAGTGCTCCGCTGGAACAGGCAGAACAACCCTGAAGTGGAAAACAATATCGTGATGTAACACAAGAAAAAGAGCGGATCAGCACAGGCCACTGCAGACTGCATAGTTCTGCACAACATATCCGATGTTCTACGTGTACTTCAAAAGTCTTCCATACTGCAATTCCATATTCTGTGAGATCAGTGATGAGAACGAAAACTTAGTTCTAACGACTTGAAGAATTTTTTTAAATTTTGAAATCGTGCAAACCATGTACATACTCAGTCAATCACCTCGCTAACGAACAGAAATCACCTCGCTAACGAACAGAAATCACCTCGCTAAGGAACAGAAATCACCTCGCTAACGAACAGAAATTAAAGAGATCGTTAACTTTGATTGACGACAACAACTTACAACGGTTGCCAGTTTCAGACTGGTCCCTGGCTTGCATTGCCCACACAGAATCCCAGTGGTGTTGTGCGTACACGGCTCATCAACGCCCAGTCGCCAGCTGGTATCGCGACAGCAGCCATTGTAACACTCCCCTATGCCGAGCACGGGGTTGGCATGGGAACTGCCAGACACCACGTCGCCGATTGTCAGATTCCCCTCGTCGTCGTCGTGCGCGAGCGCGAGGTACTCGCTCGTTTCTTGGCCGTGCAGGGTGGCCAAGTCTCCGGCCCAGTATCCCGCCTTGATAATCACATCCTTCCCGGCGGAGCAATGGTCCACACCAGCTAGATCACTTGCGCACTGCATCACCAAGTCCGTAGCTCCAGCTGACACTCCTAGGCTCTCCTACAAGGCAATCACAAGATAGTAAACAACAAAGTTGCTTCAAGACACTAAGATTACTAATTTTACAGACACATCCTCGGTGACACAGGGGCGTCGGACCGTCGGACACGGTACAGTCACTACGGCATTGACCGTACCACTTTTCGCCCCAGATACCCCGTGAATCAACAAAATGCACCGTCATCTGGGCTGTGAATTCCCAAAATTTTCGGCTCAGCCTTCCCTCCCCGACGAGTAAATTGTACTTCAGATGGCTGACCAAACCACGCTAAAATACCTTCCGACGCTCTTGCTCACAGATGCTTAGAGCCTGTGTCCATATACTCCCTATTGGTGCACCCTGCTCCTTGCATCAGCCATGTGACAGTGCCTACAGATGAGATATTGTTGTATTAAGCTGGTTTGTGGGTAGCAGGTGCGATCCATTACAAGACCGACGGTGGGTGATAGTGCAGTTCACGTACCTTGTTTGCAGCGGGGGCTGGCTCATGAAATCCTGCATGGGACTGGCGCAGCTGGAACGGAATTCTCAGCGCAAATGATTCCTGCCCTCGGCCCCAGCCCGTGCCATCGCCTGCTCCGTCACCGTCGCTGTTACTGGCCAGAATCCAGAGGCGTAGGCAGCCACGCGCGCCAACGCGGCCCGCCAACGCAAACCCGTTGATGACGTCGTGGCTGTGGAACAGGAGATGACCGACACGTGTGTATTCGCCAGACAGGCTTCCGGTCTGCATCAGTGCCGTCTCGTTAGACTCAACCTGGCAGCAGAAATAACACAAGATACCATTGTACATGAAGTCCTGCAACCAGGCAAGTTCCTCTGAAAACTGATGCAACACGCAGTATGTCCAGGTCGAGCTCTATCTCCGGACAGCTAGCCGTGTCATTAATTTTGAAAGTCTTTGGGAGCACTCTCTCAAGGATTAAAAATAACTGATGTTAAATGCACCATGTGAAGTTCATCCAGAGGGCTCAATTTGCCGAAAGCAAAGAGCGGAATACACAGACAGAACAACGAGCAGTTGTTTTTCGAAATTCTGAGTTTTATGAACTCAATCGATCATCAGACAAAAATAGAAGTAATATGCAAACTGCTGCTGTCACATGATATGGTGACAGATAGAAAATGGCAATTACAGTGCACAATGCAAGCAACGAACCTTGATTGTGCAGGAGGCAATTTTCGCTATCCGAGAGTTGTCGTTATTCATGAGGGTGAAAGCACATGATTGTATGCAGTCAAATGGCCGCAGGTCTGAAGATAGCGACTATAATCGTGAGTTGTTGTTGTACCGGAGGTCGGTATTCACGAATTTGACAGTTCCCAATATGCGTGTGTGCACTAAGAACCTTAAAAGCCCCAATAATTGTGCGGCCACAGATGGAAATGCCCATTACATAATTTGTAGGGCTCAAACGGTTAGTCCGATTAACCGGTTGCAGACCGCTTACGAATAATTAAAGGTTAACCGATAAAGATAACGGTTACGCAGTAACTTTTCAGTCAAATTTTGAAGTATCAGGTCGTTGCAAAGTATGCACTTTCGCAGGCTGTCGCACGCGTACGCAATTTCCGGGCTGTCAACTCGGTCATATCTGGTCTCTTGCCAGCTAGTCTTGGTGTGAGAGTATGTATGAGTGAGCATGCAAGAGAATGTACATGTGTGCGTTGTACTGAATAGGGTACATTTTTTGAATGAGTACAGTAAAACCTGTAACTACAGACCACCGTAACTAGCGACCAGCCTGGTACTACTGACCACTTGGCCAGGCACGGACGGTCTCACATTGAAAATGCACTGTGACTAGCGACTACCTGCTGAACGCGACCAGCGACCGCCTTTTCTTGTCCCAAAGACAATTTTTGACCCGTAACTAGCGACCGCGATGTAGGAAATTAAATGTTGCTCGAAGCTCCTTCTTGAAATTTGATGATTTCCCGTGGTCCTGAAAGGAATCTTTCGATATTACAGCTGAAGAAACGCAGGTCATTTTAACTGCGGAGTCGGTGTGGACTGCGCTACACCTGTCAGAATTTCAAGCGCTGTCAAGAATAAACATGATAGGAAACGTCTTGGAGAGCGCATCGAATGCGCTCTCTGATAAATGTTACTACTCGGACGAGAAACGAAGACTGAGCGGCTCTGTCACCCCAGTCATACAGACGAATCGACGATGGCATCAAGGAGTCCAGAAACAAAGCATCACCGCAAGGTACTGATGCTGAAGGATCGCGTTCAAGCAATCGAGAAGTCGCAACAAGGACAGTCGGTACGATTGATCGCATGAACAAATTTGAAGCCCAGCGCAAAATGAAACTTCCACGGGAACGTTTGACTCCTGGCTTCGGAAGTAGGAGCTGAATTTGATGTCCGCAAAAAATGTCTTTCTCTCCAAGTGTTGTTTGACCTGAAATAAGAATGGCAATGCGCAAGTCTTGGGGAATTGTTTTAGCTGCATTTTGATATACATAATCATATAATGGGATCCATATATGGTCGTGCGGTGCAAACCTCTAACTAAAGACCACCTGCTACTAGACCGCTTTTGCCGGCACCAAGGGGTGGTTGGTAGTCACAGGTTTTACTGTATAGTCAAATATACGGTTAAAAAAGAGTCCGCAGGATTGCCGTGGCTAATAGGTTATAACCGGTTAACCGACCGTTAGCCTAGCAGTTAACCCTTAGGGGTAAAACCGTGACCATTTGAGCCCTAATAATTTGTGTGCCACCCCATAAAACCATTTCGCGTGCACTCACCTCCAAGCGTACGGGGCCGTGAGCTTTGCCGAAGCCATCATCGGCGACATCCAGCGCTAGCTCCAGGTACTCTCCGGGTGCCGGGAAAATCGCAAAAGTCTCGTCTCCGCTGCAGGGACGTGGAACGTTCACAGCCATGCGCGTCAACAGGCTACCTATGCGCAGTGGTTTCCGTGCCCGCCAATCCACTCCGAGCACGTGACTCCACGGCAAGCGAAGGAACTTCAGAGCGGGTAGCACATTTGTGTAGCCATCTGCTCCGGCTTGAAATGTGCTCGCCAGGTGCTTTAGAGGCTGGATATCGGCTGAAAACTCCGGGGCAAGCCTAGAAAAAGAGGATGATGCACGCATGGTTAGAGGCATACGGTGACTGGTAACAAGGGTTCAGTGTAGGGAAATCCTCGAACTCTTCTACACATTGCCAAGAGTTCTCGTTGCTGTTTTCTGGTGATCGCTTCGTGCATGAAACTCGGAGTATAAACACTTGCTTCATCCGCGTATTCTTGTTATTATCAAGAGTGAACCGAAAGGTTCCAGGCTGTCCAAACCAGTGCCCAATGCGCACGAGCAGAGCTACTCACAATAAGAACATCGCCTAGTGCGTGCAACTCGAAGTCACGAAAAATTGACCATCCTCTCCTTCTTGTTATCAAGTGCACACAAACAAAAGCATGCAACTGTTGTCATGGGCCACTGCCTCTGATCCCTGAACTTGCCTTCATCAAGCCCTGCACCGAAAAAAATATGTGAAGGCGACCACATGGATAAGGCAATGAGGTGTTTCAGAGGACGATTGCAACTAGAGACAATGTATGTTCAAGCTTCAGCTTCTTCGTCCCAAATAATCTCACCGATTTTCGTCATGCCTCTCTTTGCAGCACTCTCTTTTGTTTCTCTCCTTATCATTTAGTTTGCCGTGGTTGGCTACCACCCGACCTCTCATAAATATTGGTAGTCTTACGACGAGCGGGAGATGTTGAATAAATAAATAAATGTGATTTCCAGTCAAATGAATGGCCCTGGATAAGGAGACCACCACCTGTACACTGTGACCACGTTTTTCAGGTCCCTTGAGCGCTGGTTCTCTGAGACAGGTTTCACTGCAAGCCACTGTGGGCGGTATTTTCCACACCTGAAGCTCGTCCGCAAGAAAATAGTAAAAGATTCCCAAAATGCAATTTGATATGAATTAAACTCGGATAGAGAGCCGAGGATAAAACTTAAGAAGAAAGGACCAAAGTCGTGACGTCATGACCCATCAATATCATGACGTCATGACTCATCAATATCATGACGTCATGACTCATCAATATCATGATGTCATGACTCATCAATATCATGCTTATAGTTGCCAGTGTTGGACAACTGAGGGTAGCTTGTAAACCTTTGGTCCTTTCTTCGTAGCTTTGATATGATCTTATACTTTACTAACGTTTCAACTGTCGTATTGAAGAGGGCTTGCATCATTGATGAGCAGTTGCCTGCTGACACGTAGATCCAATCAAGTCCGGCTTTGGCACACATCGCCGATATACCACGCAACATGACCCAACTGGGCGCGGAGCGGAGGATTGGCCGCAGCAGATCGAATTCGCTCACGACAAGAGCTTCGTAGCCGCTGATATTACATACAGCGTACGACGCTGGTGCGTGCATTGGTGGGGGTGTTGATCTTGATGGTGCTGGTGTTGTTGGTCCCAATTGCGGGGGTAATTGTGGCTGTGCTGTGTGCATGTTCTTAGTGTCAGTACCAACGCTTGCATTGCCTGCTGATGAATCACCGGAATAGGAGGATTGGCCAGGCAACATACTGCAAGAGCCGCACAGCGTGACATCACCAGAAGACTGTTCAGTAACTCCTCGTGTGAATATCCATGCCGGGCCAGCCGGAACGGAACATGCAACGCGCAAATACAGGAAAGGAATGTGCCTTCGAAGTCTTTTCTAGAAAAACGAGGAAATTGAAAATACAAACACACCCAGCAGTGGAAATAGTCAGGGCAAATGTCAGTAGAGATGGAGAGAGAGAGAGAGAGAGAGAGAGAGAGAGAGAGAGAGAGAGAGAGAGAGAGAGAGAGAGAGAGAGAGAAAGAGAAAGAAAGAGAAAGAGAGAGAGAGAGAGAGAGAGAGAGAAAGAAAAAAAAGAGAGAGAGATCCCGAGGATTAGTTCTGGTTGTACACTTTCTCCCTTGCACATGCTCTGAGCACATTGACTTACATACAGTCTATTCCTGACATAACAAACACTATTTTGCAGGAGAAGTAGTTATTCATAGCCAGAGATGATCAGAAATGCACTCACACTGCGCAAGTAGCAGGTCATGACTGGCACGTGCTTCATTACAGGATGGGTGGGAACTTGGCTTACATTCGGCCCTTCAAGATGGTTCGTTATAAACGAAAAGGGTTCTCTACAAAGAGTTATTTTTACATGGGTTTAAGGTAGCAGCCTGGTCGTAAATTTCATATGGCATTCGATTGACCGTAACTTTGGTGTCTCGCAATGGATTTGAGTGAAATTTTCACCACACACTCCTGCCACTATGCTGGCCCTCTGGACATGATTTCAAAGTTCTTGCGCCTCACTGACAGGCTTTCCAGGCCGGAAGAACTCAAAATTCCGGCATAGTGCCACGGCGTGCGAGCCACCCAGGAGCCAAAAATGCATTTACAATTTTTTCACATTTTCTTGCCCATTCTGTCCGTGCGCGGGATCCAAACCTAAAAAAAGTCCAGAAGCAGCCATGGGTGGTGGGATAGTGCCCTTCAACGTGGCCCTGGAATCTGTCACAACAGAACGAGCGGGCGTTCTCTCACACACTCCCACAGACCCAAGTCAATTTTTGAATATTGTTTAGGTTTAGGGGTCGTCCGCAATTATCGAAAGTTTTTTCCAATCCGTAGTAGCTTCAAATTTTTCCTCACCCACCCACCCACCCCCCCCCCCCCCAGTCCGTAATAAAATATTATTGATGGACACACAACCCAACACATATGGAACAAACTCAATCAGTGCTGGTCCATGAGTCATTGTGACATCAGGTATTGTATTACAACTACCATAATTATTGATGTTTAATTGGTGATCACCGAAAAAGGGCTGCTTCTTCACCGCCTTTCCAAACAACGTCGCCTGTCTGGACATAGTCAATAACAGTCGTCAGCGCCAGCGCTAGACGGAAGGACTTCAAAGGAGTGCATGGGAGACGGTACTCTGGACGAAGGAGACAGTGAAACTCAAAAATAGAAAGTGTCGACTCGCCGTCGAATGCGCCGAACTTTATGATCCCCGGCCCAGGAGCAGCCAAGGAAGCGCGCGCGGGGGCGCAGAAACTGCCAGAACTACAAAAATATTTGTAGTAGACAGTTCGCGCGCAGCCGCGCGTGGAACACAGGGGCTACACGTAGACGTACACGTGGCACGCGCACGTGTCATTTCGGAAGTTTTTCAATCCGTAACTGGCCTTGACCCACCCACCCACTTTCGAAGCTACTACGGATTGGAAAAAACTTTCGATAATTGCGGACGACCCCTTAGGGCGTGCTACGAGGTCGTACCTTTGATACAACATCCAGTGCTGGGACCTCCACAGCAAGCCATTTCCACAGCGCTGCAAACCGAATCCAGGATACCCTCAAAAACCGGCAAAGACTACCACTCACGTTCCACTACTGCCTAGTACTGAATCCTACCTGACTTCTTGACACGACTCAAACTTGCCAAAGTCACTAAATCAACGTCAACTACAATAATCAAGCCATTATCTGCAACGTCACGAGGGTGCTGGCAAAAGTCCTGCTGCACGGCGGCGTGCGAAGCCCTCCGCCGTACAGCCCAATACGTGGCTAAAAACGTGATTTTTTGGACTTGGAGCAAAATTCTGCACACTTTCGCGTGTTTCCATGATATGACAAGTTGCGCATGGTCTGCTCACATTCAAAACAAGTGCTACTAACAAATGACAGCGTGCAATCTTTCCTTGCAAGGGCACGTGTTCGGCCATAACTCTTGAACGGCTGGTCAGATCGAGACAGAGATATTGCAGCTGTTCATGCTCTTTCAACTGATGTAGCACTCGATATGAATTTAAAAATTCGATTTTCAGGGATTTTACGACCAGGCTGCAACCTTAAATATGGACATGGTCAATGGCTCGCTGTATAACGAAGTTCGCTATATGCGAGTTCGTTATAACTGAGTCCAGAGGGTTTTTTCATTTACTAAAAGCCATGTGGTGCACGCAATGGGAACGTGCCGCAGCCATGGCGGTGGGGGCCAGGCTCTCCGTCGACCGACTGGTCTCGTCATCGTCACGCTCTGGACGTATTGTAGTATGGTATCCGTTACACTTTCTCTGAACACATTGACATACATGTGGTCTCACTTGTACAGCTCTCAGCACATTGACTTACATGTGGTTTCACTTCACATGAGTGGCCTGTCCACACTCCATAACGGCTGGTCTCCTCGATCGACACAGCTGCGTCCACTGCTACACGGTTGAAGGGGCAACTGTCATATTCCACCGCACACACTCTACTTGTCACTTGAATATTGCTGGCCTGATAAAGACAATGGGGCGGAAAAAATGGAAGAGCCTTTAACATGTTGCATTGACAAAGTTCTTGCGAAACTCATAGGTAACCAAACTTTGGTGTGCGGTACACGAGAGTTGGGCTAATGCAACACAACCAAACACCAGCACAGGAACGGCGTGAATGCAACAAACTTCAACACACGGCACTGCAGGTCGATGTGGCTCAGTGCATGGCTGTCTCCGCTTTTTAAGGCAGGCTGTGCTCCTACTCCGGAACACCGAAAATCCTACATCATCGCCAAAGCAAATGATCATTGAGGATGATGGATCCTGGTCGAAAATTGAGTTGAGACTACTGACTTTTCAGCAAAGAGACCACTTGCTTTGGTGAGAGTGTAGGGGTCTCCGTGTTTCGAAGTGGCTACAGTGCAGCTTGCGCACAATTTTTCCAACTCCAGGTTGGTAAATCATATCCGCTCTTTATGCGAACAGTTTCCTCGGAGACAAGAATGCCATAACACTGAGAAAAAGGACCCACTTCAGGCACTTGAACATCATCTTGAACATCATCTTGAACATCATCTTGAAAGTCTTCACTAGTACTCTCTCACCTATTCCCCATTTTTTGTCTATGCGTGTGGGTCACGTTTTCTTCGCTGCTATTTTAGCTCTTCTACCGTGCGCCGTTTCTATCAAATCTCTACAGTACTGAATCCATTATCCATGTTCAGTTGATTTTGCCTGTATTTCACCTGATGATACGGCATGAAGGTATACAAGTAAAAACTTTCAAGATGCTGTTAATTTAAGAGCCTGAAGTGTGTCCCTATTTCTCAGTGCTATCGCTCTGTATGGAGAATTGATTACACCGAGAAGCAGCATACTAGTTTTAGGCTGTCGAGTGGCGCTTCTTGCATGCAAATGTGAATGATACTAAGAAAATTGAAGTTGATTTTTGGGAGAACTATGAAACTGCACCGTACCTTTGTGGCGTAGCTGCCGTGCAAGGCTTCACTCTGACCTCCTGGAAACGGAACAAAGCTGCTTCTTCCCGGTGTTATGATCAACAGGGTGCCAGTGATCGTCCACTGACCATCGGCAATATCAATGACGGATCCTCTCCTGGGTGCTGCACCACTGCAAGGGTGAGGGGGTGAGGAAGGAGTTGATGATAGGAAAATCAGAGAAGGACACGAAGGAAAGAGACGGAGAGAGAGAAAGTAAGTTACATTTATAAAGACAGGTAAGTCTAACAAATGGGACTGAGACCTCTACAACAGGGTTTTTACGCCTGAAAGCAGGTGCATGATTTAACAAGCAGGTTGTCAGTCTAGATGTTGTGCTCAGATGGAGAAAAATGAGCAGAATTTTTGTAATGAGATGAAAAGCAGAAATAATAAGAAATAATAAGAAAAGATGAAATGAAAGCCTGCTCACAACCCCCCCCCCCAGCCTTGCGAACTGGGAATGGTGGATTAAGAATAGGGGTGAAACGGTTCCAGGTTTTTCATGTTCGGGTACCCGAATGCCAGCATTGTTTCCCACGGTTCGGGTATCGGTTCCATGCACTCTTTTCTCCAGACCGACAAAATGGGTTCGCGACAATTATTTTTTAGAAAAAGCATTTTTACGAGCAAGAATGAGACATCGGAGAGTCCAAGTGCGAAGAAGATAATGACCAGATAACTCTTTGGAAGAGTGGGGATCGCAAGGTAAGACGTTTAAAATCTTGAGTAGACTTGGCGTGTACATGTATTTGTAGAAGAACGAGATTTTTCGAGTTTCGGTTCGAAACTTGACGGAACCGGTACCCGATTCTTTTCAGCTGGCGGTTCCAAAACCGGTTCCTTACCCGAACCGTTTCACCCCTAATTAAGAACCCGGGTTCAATGCTCAAGCAAGCGCTCTCCACTCAAGGCGTTCACAGCAACTGATAGGAACTCAGAGGGCGAAATGATAGAAAAGAAATAATAAGATGAGAAAGAGAGAGAGAGAGAGAGAGAGAGAGAGAGAGAGAGAGAGAGAGAGAGAGAGAGAGAGAGAGAGAGAGAGAGAGAGAGAGAGAGAGAAAGAGAGAGAGAGAGAGAGAGAGAGAGGGAGAGAGGGGGGGGGGGGAGAGAGAGAGAGAGAGAGAGAGAGAGAGAGAGAGAGAGAGAGAGAGAGAGAGAGAGAGAGAGAGAGAGAGAGAGAGAGAGAGAGAGAAAGAGAGAGAGAGAGAGAGAGAGAGAGAGAGAGAGAGAGAGAGAGAGAGAGAGAGAGAGAGAAAGAGAGAAAGAGAGAGAGAGAGGGGGGAGGGAGACAGAGAGAGAGAGAGAGAGAGGTAGAGAGATAGATAGAGAGAGATAGAGAAAGAGAGTGTGAGAGAGAGGGGGTGGGAGAGAGATAGAGAGTGAGAGATAGCAGGCATGTAGCTTGTAGTGTAATGAGTAGCATCATGACAGAACTCTATCCCTAGGCATATCATAGTCTGTCTCCAGGTTTCTCCTTCCTACTCCCTACACTCACTCGCATTGATCTAACGTGTGTACTTGTATAAGAACCGCAGCCTGCCTGCTGTACCATTGACTCATGCATTCATGTACCGCTGCACTTGCTGGCTGCGCATCACTAACCCTTCCCCTTCTATGGCACAGTCCCCGCATGCACTGAATGCAGTACTCGGGTGCGCAGGCGTATTCATGTCTGAGTGCACTGCCCTCGGGCTCCATCTATACATGGCATCCCGTACTGGGCACGCTGCTTCCGGTCGCTGCTGTGTGCACGCAGCACCGTAGTCCATTCCGCTCCCTGTCTTCTTTACACGGTGATTCCCGATTGGAATCACTCTTCGTTTCTGCTCTCCTTGTAGCTGTTGTGCTTTTCCGTGTCCGATAATGTTCCCCCTTTTGCAATAAACAGTCAGGCGAAACTACTCTAATTAGAGACCGCTACATGGCGCAGTGAACAGGATCAGTGATAAAAAATAACATTGATCCGCAACGAACCTGGTCTGCAACTTCAGGATCTAGGATGGCTAGCGTTCGACAACGCCGACGATCGCGATAAATCTCAGGAAGTGGAGACGAAACTCTCGGCGTACTTCACGCCCGTGTCCAACGTCGTCCACGGACGAACGATGTTCGAACGCGACACACAGTCGCCATCCGAGACCGTGGACGAGTCACTTCTGCGTCGTCTCTACGGCGGCGCGGACAACGGCGACTTCAAGGACGCTCGCGATGACCGCATCCGCGATCGCTTCACGACACACCACTGCAAGCCAACAGCTGCTACAACACTGCAACAGCTGCTACAACACTGCAATAGCTCATTGCAACGGCTCACTTCAACCGCTTACTGCAACAGCTACCTGCAACAGCCCCGCAACGGCTCACTGCAACCGCTTACTGCAACAGCTTACTGCAACACGTTAACAGCTCACTGCAACAGCTTACAGCAACAGCTTACTGCAACAGCTCACTGCAACGGCTCACTGCAACCGCTTACTGCAACAGCTTACTGCAACAGCTCACTGCAACAGCTCACTGCAACAGCTCACTGCAACGGCTCACTGCAATGGCTTACTGCAACAGCTTACTGCAACAGCTTACTGCAACGGCTCACTGCAACGGCTTACTGCAACAGCTCACTGCAACGGCCCACTGCAACGGCTCACTGCAACGGCTCACTGCAACGGCTCACTGCAACGGCTCACTGCAACGCTCACTGCAACGGCTTACTGCAACGGCTTACTGCAACAGCTCACTGCAACAGCTCACCGTAACAGCTCACAGCAACAGCTCACTGCAACAGCTCACGGCTACTCCCGCCGCAGCCGAAAGCCACCAAACGGTGGAGAAACTCCTGTGGCGAGCAAAAACGGCATGCCTGTTGCCGCCGAGCCCAACACAAGTGCCACCTCCACTACCTGTTCAGGTCGCACAGCCATTGCACCGGAGCAGCTCATCTCGACAATGTGAACATGGACCTGCAACTCTTTCCGTTAGGGGAGATGTGGTGTAATAAGTAACATCATGACAGAACTCTATCCCTGGGCATAGCATTGTCTGGGCCTGCAACTCTTTCTGTTAGGGGAGATGTAGTGTAATGAGTAGCATCATGACAGAACTCTATCCCTAGGCATATCATTGTCTGTCTCCAGGTTTCTCCTTCCTACTCCCTACACTCACTCGCATTGATCTAACGTGTGTACTTGTATAAGAACCGCAGCCTGCCTGCTGTACCATTGACTCATGCATTCATGTACCGCTGCACATGCTGGCTGCGCATCACTAACCCTTCCCCTTCTATGGCACAGTCCCCGCATGCACTGAATGCAGTACTCGGGTGCGCAGGCGTATTCATGTCTGAGTGCACTGCCCTCGGGCTCCATCTATACATGGCATCCCGTACTGGGCACGCTGCTTCCGGTCGCTGCTGTGTGCACGCAGCATCGCCGTCCATTCCGCTCTCTGTCTTCTTTACACGGTGATTCCCGATTGGAATCACTCTTCATTTCTGCTCTCCTTGTAGCTGTTGTGCTTTTCCGTGTCCGATAATGTTCCCCCTTTTGCAATAAACAGTCAGGCGAAACTACTCTAAGTAGAGACCGCTACATAGCTCGTGGGGTGCAGGGGACATGTGCACCCCTAACTCTTTGGATGTTGGTTCCAGAAATGTGGTAGTTTTTTTGTAAAAAAATATCGCCTAATCCGCTTCTCGCGATTGGAAATCAATTTTGTCAATCAGCGAAAATCCATCGGATTCTAACTCGGTCAATTCTAAATCGAATTCAGCAATGAAATAATTGAAAATATCTAAGCGAAAACAGAGATGGGAGTTTTTGGTCTTTGACCACTTTGCTGGTGGGCTCATCTAGAAAGAGATAGCTAGACAGCTAGCTAGCTAGATAGATAGATAGATAGATAGATAGAGAGAGAGAGAGATAGAGAGATAGAGATAGAGAGAGAGAGAGTTATGAAGAGAAAGAGAAATAGCTAGGCAGCTAGATAGATAGATAGATACACACACTTGAGAGGAATCAAAAGCGTTTCTGCTGTAAATCTGAGTTTCACGGTTTTAACCGATCATCAGACAGCAACTTGACTACAATTTTCAGAAGCCATGACTGATATAAGCTGCAAGCTTGGATCATAGCGCGAAAGAATGATCCGGGCTGATAGTGTAATTATGAAAATGTAATTATGAAAAATAATGGCATTAGTTGGGCGATAGGGTGGAAAAATAGGCGCACAAATATCTCTCTCTCTCTTCTATCTCTCTATCTCTCTATCTCTCTCTCTAAATCCAAACCTATTCCTACAGGCATACTGCTTCCAAACGTCGCCAGCTTGGAGAACCGCTGTTGTCCCACTTCAGCTCTTCCTAATACAGACTGTGAATTCTGCTGAGGATGGGGCAAGGTCTGCTGTACCCCTGGGGACCTCATGCATCATGCACCATTCTACATGGCTGCAAGATAGTCCATTTGCTCTCAATTTAGCCTTCCCCTTACTGTACCACTGTTCTTGTTCCTTTCCCTTTGCCTGTATTTCACCTGATGAGAAGGCTTGAAAGTATACTCTTGTGAAACCAAACACTTTCAAGATGTGCGTAAAGAGGCCGAAGTGTGTCCTTTTTCTGAGTATTATCGCTATCATTTACGTTGGCAATGGACATGTTCAGGGTTCAAGGTGTTTGTGTTGCGTGCACGTGTGCGTGTGAGAGAGAGAGAAAGGGAAAGAGAGATAGAGATGGAGGGATAGAAAGATACCGTAAAAGCCAGTGTATAGGCCACGGGCGTACAGAATAGCAGCCTCGATTTTCTGGGCGTATACAAGGGCATGGGCGTTATTTTGGAACCAGGGGTATGCTTGGAATAGGGATAGCAGTAAGTATTGGGTATCAGTACCTGTACATGTACTGGTGTTTCCGGCATACCTGGGCGTATACATGGGCATGGGCGCTATTTTGAAACAAAAGTGTTGACTTCCCCTGACTGGGCGTGTACACGGAGGGTGGGCGTAATTTCGAGTGGGCGTATAAAGGGGCTTTTACGGTACATAGATAGAGAGATGGATAGATAGAGAGATAGATAGAGAGATAGATACAGTCAACTTCGCTAATAACGACTGCGGATATAACGGCAATTCGCGAATAACGACCGAATTTCCATGCCCGGAGCAAAGTCCCATCTAACTGTATACATTTAACTTTGGATATAACGACTATCCGAATAACGACAATTCGTGAATAGCGACATGCTTTTAGTGCCCTGAGGTCATATTCACTGCTTGAATAACGACTTTCTGGGCTTTTAACAGCTATTTCAAGTACCTGTCAGTCAAGTACATGTACCTGTTATGCAGAAGTACCAGAACCTATGGAGTATGGGGATGGATAAAGAAAAGAAAATGCAGCCAAGGGGGGGGGGGGGCTTTTTCTTCCTTTTTATTTTGCTTCAAAAGTGTTGGATTTACCAGCACACCTACATGCATGTAGTTCAGTGTACATGATTGTACAGTAATTATCATACATGTACATGTCCCTAGCCCTGTAGATGGTTCAAAAAGGCATATTTTTCAATTATTTATTTCCCTTGCATATTGAATTTTTAGTTCCTTTCAACTGCAATATGAAAATAAAGTACACATTGACATAGAGCAAGAAAAGAGCTTGATTTTGATATGCATGTCATACTATACAAAATATGGGTTCACATACATTCAAATGGGACTTTGGTTATAAGGACACTTCGCGAATAAGGACACTTTTCTGATGCCCCCGCCGAATGTCGTTATTCGCGAAGTTGACTGTACTTCCTCCGTTAAGCAAAACTTCGTTGCCTTTTTTGTGTTCTTGTCATGATCTTTCTGTTGGCATTAGACACACATGTCAGTGATCTACCCCCTACATAGGGTACTGTAAAAGCCATAATTATAATGAAGTGCTAACTCTAACAAATTAACGAGGAGAAATCGGTCGTTATAATAGAAATCGTTATACAGAAATCGATACATATACTGTCCTATTGAGCGTTGAAAATGAGTGAGAATCGTTACCTTTGGTACACGTCAACTAGTCAATTTTGGGAAATCGTTATAATATATGTGCCTCGCTTGAATAATGGCTTGTACAGTAGCCACAGTGTCGTCCATTGTTCTGACAGGCTTTTGGACCACCGAAAAGCGTGGATCCCTTGAAACAATCGGCGAAGCATAACCGTTTCTTGACAGGATGTCACCAGAACACAACCCAGGCGCATGACACCGAAGTGCGAAAATGAGAAACAGTTTGAAAGACCGCGTGGCTCGAAGAAGTGTCCAGAATTCATGCAGAAGCCGGCCAGCCAATGCTGTACCAGCACGATGGCATGCGTCCGCACACAGCCAAAATAAATCAACGCACGTGTGTTTGTGGCGCAGGGGAAAACAAGAGGGTTCGTCATTCAGGTTGTTGTTCAGCCTGCGCAAAGTCCCGATCTCAACATCGACGACTTGGCGTTCTTCTACATCCTGTAGACAGACGTGTCACTCGTGGCGAAGGAAAACAGAAAGGAGCTTCTGCAGGCTGTGGAAACGTGCTGGCATGAGTACCCCTCTGCCAAGATGAGGAGAGTTTGGTTGTGTCCGTATGGCTCTTTCCATGGCATGGCATTCTGGAGAGTCTGAGCGGCAGACACAACAATTACCAGCACAGCCGAGGAGTTCATCAAGCTCACTGTTCAAGCGAAGAACTTGGCGATCTCCACGATCAAATCGTGTCCCAGAAACTTGTAAAGGATGCAGGACAAAAGCTGGCAGCGCTGGAGGCGAAAGTCAGCGAGAATGCCGACTCGATGTCATCAAGGAGTGAGTCGTCATCAAATTCGGACAAAGAATGAAGCTGGACTGCTTTCAAACGAGCTGTGTGACATCTGTAAATAACTATCTCTCATATGCTGGGTTTTTTCCACTTTGCAAAGCGTTTTGGTAGCCATAGAATGCTTTGGACTAAACTGTAAAAATGCAACGAAGATTTGCTTAGCGGAGGAAGTAGATAGAGAGATAGATAGAGAGAGAAAGAGAGAGAGAGAGAGAGAGAGAGAGAGAGAGAGAGAGAGAGAGAGAGAGAGAGAAGAGAGAGAGAGAGAGAGAGAGAGAGAGAGAGGAGAGGAAGACAGGTAGAGCAAGAGAATCATATGGACAGAAAGAAAACCCTCGAGCATGTATCTAGTCAGCAGCCGATACAGTATTATCCCCAATAAATGTACAGTACTTTTATTTTTTCAAAGGTGGCCAGACCTGTACTACTAAAGGAGACTGCACTAGTATTGGAGACTGTTCTTTTATCGTTTCTGGCAAGATAGATCGCATGCCATGTGTGTCATACCACTCATAATAGTGATACTTTTCGACAGTAGGTGCCTGTAATAACACTCCAGCTAGGGTGCCAAGCAGTGTGGAAAGGCACAAAGATGTTCAACAGGCAAGAAAAACGAAATTAGGTGGACCCACGTACATGTACCCCGACAATGCCCATCACATCATTCTGGCATGTACTACTATTAGAGACGCGTTCTTTTATATTTCCGATCCACACTCAATATGTACTACTATTGGGGACGTGTACGTCTTATAGGAAAAATACGGTAAGAAGTTGATGAACCTGTTACTGTGCATTAACTTACGCTGACTCAATAAGAACTCGTCCCGCCATAGACACGTCAACGTTCTTGCTCTCCACTGCAGATGCGCCGGTTACAAGATGAAAGGTGCTATTCGCAAGTGTCACCGGTTTATCGGGTAATGCTATGTGCTGGGTGGCGTATAGGCGGAGTGGTGTTGCGTATTTCCCACTTAGATCGGCCGGGTTTTGTCCGTGGATAAACTTGATGCCTCGGAATGAATCAAATATGCAGTTCAGGATCGACACTGAAGTCGACGCGGCATGTCCGATCACCCGCATGAGCACCCCATACTTGTAATCGATGTCATGACGCCCAGGTGGTGTCGTTGCCAAGGTGAACGTGCATCTGTCCACCGTGACCAGTGTGGGAGTGCGACCGGATAGCGAGAGAGCAACATGAGCAGAACCCACTCCGCCAACGTGCCCGTTCTTGTACAACAGGACCTGGGTCATGGCCCGTGAGCTTACGGGACATGGAATCATGCGGTATATTTCTGGCATGGACACGTTGATTGAGTATTCGCCGCCATTCCGATAGAAATGGTTGTATGCTGCAACGATGGTCCTATTAGCATTGCAGAGGGTGTTTTGACTCTTCGAGCCACCGAAGGTGCTAATCGGGGTGTCCATGAGGTCAAGAAATGTTGAGTTCACCACCACCAGCGTACCTTCTCTGGGAATGGCCACCGATATGATGGCAAAGCCGTCATCGACTGTACGCCGTACGCGCTGTAATCTGTCCATGTCGGGGCCCTGGAACGTGCAGCTGTGTATGTGCACGTGAAACCCGTCGCTCCACGTCGCACCAGACTGATTGAGGAACTTGGCCCGGACAGCGTCTAACTGCACCAAGCTGTGCGCCAAGTGGAACGGCTTGGCGTGGCTGAGCATTACGAATGGTATACCGTCGGACCAGATATTGAAGTTCACCTTCTGGATGTAAATGGCTACATACAGGATGAAGATTTCTGGATGCTTTCTCGACCTCCGTCCTGTGTACATGCGTTCCTTGATGATGGCTCGTTCACAGCCGTACCTCGTCGATAGGGAGTACGGACTGAGTGAGAAAGACTTGAAAAACGGCACACGTACGACAACAGGCCAGTCTCCGACAGACACCTCACAGAGCGACCGCTTGTCGGCCAGTAGCCGAATGCACAGGTGTCCCATTGTGAACGCTCCAAGGCCTCTGGCCGCTTCTAAGGCAGATGAAATGTTGGCACACGGTTCGAGTGCATTCTGGCCGCAGTATACAGACGAGTTCTCATTGGACTGTGAAGTGTGGTTGTATTTTGGTGCTACATACAAGGAAACTGCACATGACGGTTCAGTCCACTGGCCTGTAGTTGTGGTGTAACGACTAGCCCACGGGTAAGGAAATGGTTGAGCTGAGGAACTTGCGCTGCTGGTGTTCCCCGGTTGCCGCTGTGTCCGTTGTTCGTCTTGTGGTTGCTGACCTTGCTGCTGTTGCTGCTGTTGTTGTTGCTTCTGCTGCTGTTGCTGCTGCTGCTGCTTCTGCTGCTGCTGGTGCTGCAGCGTCTGTGCTGTTGGAGGCTCAGAGGATGGCTGCAGGGTTCCCTTCGACTGAGAAGAGCCGCGGACACGACTCAGACTCGTGATTGAAACGATCAGCACGATGAGCACGATGGTCTGACAGGTCCTCCTTGGCCAGTGTGCTGTGCTCGACAGGCACAAGGCTGGCAGCGCTACCATCTTGTTGGCATAGGTAGTGCACCACACACAGACCTGTGCAGAACAGAATGCAACGCATGACAGTTCTGCTCTAGTTCTGACGTTTGCAAGAAAATTGGCTAAACACATTATTAAGCTGACAATGCTTTTATTACCTTACTTTTAAAATACAGTCGACTCCACTTATACCGAGCTCGTATATAGCGAATTTCGTGATATAGTGAACCATTGTCCGTGTCCGTGTTTGAATCCATACAAATGCACCCTTTTTATTGAACTGCTTTTGTCTATAACGAACTATTCCTTGTAGGGCCGCATCATAACCAGGTGCCGTGGAGTGATCTACAAGGGCTTTGTCCGCCCTGTTTTGGAGTACGGCATGCTCGTGTGAATGAGCGCTGCACCCACCACTCTGGCTCGCCTCACTGCCATCCAACGCCGTGGCCTTCACCTAATCGGTGATGGAGCCTACCTCCCTAGCTTGGACATCCGCAGAATGGTCGGAGCACTCTGCTTTCTGTACAAGCTCCACTTTTCAACTGGCCCAGACATGCTTCTCACCCTTCTTCCACCCCGAGCGACCAACACATCACGCCATAGCCGACGCACACAAAAGCATCCCTCACACCAGTTTCAGCTCACTTCCACTCTTCCGCCCAGAGCACGGAATAATGTCCTTCGGTCCTTCCCTGACGCTGTTGTGGAGGTCTGGAACCAGCTTCCGCAGTGCGTTCTGCTGAACCAGCCAACAAGGAAAGGACTGCAGACGTTCAAAGAAAAGGTCAACGCCCACCTGCGCCTTACCCGCTGGGAGTGGGCAACGGACAGGCTATGAACCAAAGAAAAAAGACAAAAAAAGCTCTAACTCTGTTCCCTCCTCCATTCACTTCGTTGACTCTCTGATAACTTTCTATTGTGCATACTTTTCCCCGTAATCCGCAGTTATCTACCCCCCCCCCCCCTGCGTATTTTCTGTAATCTTTTGTTTTTGTGGAGCGCTTGGGTTGCAATGAAGCCGAGACCCTATGGTCGGTCAAGCTGCCCCTGCCTCTCCCCCACTCCTGCCATTCCATATGTCTCATCGCTGCCTTGCTGCTTTGTGCCATCAAATGGTGTGTGGTTTTTTGTAAAGAAAAAAAATAAATAACCAAGTGCAGTCATACGGTCATGGGCCATATGCCGGTCATGACGTGTAATTATTGTATGGTGTGAGTGCATTTCTGTTATAACAAACTTCGTCAACAAAGTACTGATCCTCCTGCACAATGGTGTTCGGTATAATCGTCAGGAGACGACTGTAGATTGAACATGGGGTTGAACAGCAACCAACCTTCCATTTTCTTTTCTTTTTCTCTTATATCTACTTTTCCACAATATCCTTTAACATTTTATTCACAGTGGGTCCAATGTTATTAGGCATTTTGCCTGTTTTGATTTCCACTATAAATAAAGTATACAACAACAAACATGGGTTGTGGTTGGCCCTGTACTGCTCTAGTCCACCTGATGGCCTAGCACTGTCGCACTGGCTCCGGACAGGCTTGATAGTCACACGATATTCGATCAGATGTCAAGGTTGTCAAATGATTCAGCCTATAATAATAATTCCTACCTTTTAGTGCCGGACAAATCCTTGACCGTGAAGACGGTCACACCACGCTGGCAGCCGCCAAGTCAGATCTTGCGAGCCCGAGGAGCTTCTTGTCCGACAATTACTGAGCTGTATCCAAACTCATTGCGGATCGCACGATCTTGTATTTCCAAAGGTAGGTACTCAGTCAGTCTTCCGCAAACTGGAAAGTCAGTGTAGCCCACACAGCCAGAGTGAAACAGCTTCTCGAGATGTTGTAGTGATACCACCTGTAGAATCTAGCCGCCAAAGCAGCTGCAGAAAGCAAGCACACTGCGAAACTAGTAATCTCAGGGAAGCAGCTGTGTCGAAATTGCACTGTCGCAGCGCTACTGCTAGCGTCATGTTCATGCTACGGCTGCGACGAGTTCTCGACCCCGACCACCAATCCATCCTCGCCGCACAGTCTCCACAGCTGTCGAGATACACGTACATAAGTCATTCTTCTGTGGAGGGGCAGGTCTTGAAACTTCGACAGGGCAGAACATAGGCTCGCTCTGTGCGCAGCATCATTAGTACACATTACGAAACCTCTCGCCCTCCCAAAAAGGCTAAATCCGTTATCTATTATTCTTGCGAACAACTAACTTCAACTTCAAGGGAAGAACGAGGCTGAAAACAGGCTAAAAGTACTAGAGGCAGCTTGTTTCGAATCTCGCTTTGTGGCGTGAAGTGGCCGGACGTACGGAATCGAGCGTGACGCTGTTGTTCGCACCTTCCGATCGTGCGAGGGCGCAGACTACAAAAATAGTAGGTGGACCTATCGCAACTAGCGCGCCTGGGCATGAGCTGGGCGGAAGAGGCGGCCACAGCTAGCTCAGCTGTCGAAGTGTAGATTCTGGGGTGCTCATGTAAAATAATGTGATCACATGCAGGAAATATCTGCAATGATTATGTGCGATAGTGCCCTGAAATAATGCTCAGCCCGGTGACCTGGTGACAGTGTTCGCAGGTCGGGAGCTGACAAGCGCCCAACGATTTATACAATCATAGGGACTTGAAAGATGGACGTTTTAAAAGATGCACGTTATTTCTGACGTGACGCGAAAGTTCAGCTCGCGTTATTTGGCTCGCACGTCGAAAATGTTGTTGTTTTGTTGTTTTCTTTATTTGAATTCGCTAAAACCAAACGGACAGAACTTTCCAGTGACAAGGGAGCGAATGATGCTGCTCACGTCGAAATTTGGAGTTTTACGCCAAATTTGACGTGAAATTGCGCATCACGTCGGAAATAACGTGCATCTTAACCTCTATCAATATATTGCAGTAGTTTTACCTTCAACCTTGTCCTAGCGAATGTCGCATGGCATACCTTGTGCCGGGACCAGGACGAACTCGTAAATGTGCGTTTTGTCGATTTGCTTCAATGGCACAAGTGAACCATGTCTCAGATCCGGCCTAACAACCATCACTTCACGGATTGATAAGCAGCTACTGAGCTAGCATGCACAACAGATGTTTCGAATTTTGAAGTCTCTCCAGCAGCTACAAGTACAAGTGTGCTACAACAGTGGGTGAAAATGTAGTTCCGGGCCGGGCGGGGCTATTTTTTTCAATTATTCACAAGCCCAGCTCGTAAAATAAATAATTACCGTATTTTCCGGAGTATAGTGCGCACTTTAGATGTGCTATTTTTAGACCCTAAATCGAAGGTGCGCACTATGCCCCGAATATAAAATGCATGCACGTCAATGAAGATTGAAGTACGCACCCCCAATACAGATTGGGGGTGCGCGTTATACAAAGGTGCGCACTATACTCCGAAAAATACGGTATGTGGACAAAAACGAACAGGTACTGAGTAGGGGCTGCACTGGGCAGCTGTGATGGTGACGTACCAGGGGCTCCACCCACCAAAGGTCTCGGCTTCCATGCCCCAAGCACGCTGATTGCGAGGCTTTGGATGTGCGCAGTGCGACTCCTGCAGGAAGACAAGCAGCGTCTGGAAGGCAGATGAATATCGAATGCCTGTCCCTCTGCCTTGCAGTGCAGTGCAGTGCAGTCTTGTTCCTTCTTCCTCTCTTTCGCTTCGATTATTCTGTCACAGATATACAGTGTTATGCTTGGCTGCATCCCGCGAGCGGAGCCCACTGTCGAGCACTGACTGTCGGGCACGGTCGTTGTGGGGTTCACATGCATGTCAGTCGTGAGTTCCTTCCTCGCTTGGCAGTCAAGTAAGTTGGCAAGAAGCCGAACTAGCCTTAAGTTCTGCGTTAGAGTTTAGTTCGCAGATTCTCGACAAGCCTCGAAGGTACAAGACAGTCGGAGGAGCGTTTGATCGGTCCGGCCATACATGATACATGTAGTCATGCATGTTACTACACATGTTCTTGGTTTAGTTGTTGGCCGTTTTTTTTCGTGCTTTGCAGTTACTTGTTGTTTTCCCTCCTCTCCATCTAATTAGTTTTGCGCAAAAAATACATCATAGTCTGTCAAGGCGTTGTGCATAATATGGCTGGCACACATGACCCCCTCAGCAGCAAGCGTTGGTGGCCAAAAAATATTTAAATTTAAAAATTTTGTCCGGCCATGGCCCTACCAACCGGACTGGTTCTGCCGCCCCTTGAAGTAGGAGAACCAAGCATAGCTTATGGCGGAGAGTTCGGTAAGCATGTGCATGTATTCGGCTCGGCTCATACATGTAGTCCTTATCTGTAGTCCATTATACTTGAACTACTAGTACTAAACGTGGGACGAAACGTACATGTAACCGAAACGTACCGACGTCTGCTGGTCTGCTGGTTTCCCTGCCCGCATTAGCCACCAAGGGGTAGAATCAATGTCGTCGAATATGAATATTCTCTCGTGGTCTACACGAAGTCACGAACTGTAGTGAAAATTTAGTAGAACTTGCCTCCAATGGCTTTAGCTGCACTCTATATCTGCGGTGCAATGACTTGTGCATGGTATAGTCCATATTAATATAAAAAACATTGCAGACAAGACACAATGCTAATATTATTATTATGACCTGGGGGCTCCTATCCTGTATGTGAGTGAATGGTCAGATATTATGGTATGCCTTGGAAACGGGAATAAGCCATAAAGTGCCAGCCAGGTATGAATACAGGCACGAGGATAATATTTTCAGTTCCATCCCCACACCCATCATGCCCTATGCAGCCCATCAACAGACCCTTCAATTGCAGAAAGCACTGCCCAGCTTTTTCGCGGCTTGGTTGAATGTGTAGGTCAAGAACATGGAGGATACCTGAACTGGCTGAAGGCTGTATCGTGGTCTACACGCAAGACATGAGCAGACTTTACAATAACTTAAAACTAAAAGCTCAGATAAAATCATAGCATTATGACATTGTAAGTGTGGATGTAGCAATTGTTGGTAAATAGTGAAAAGTAAAAGTAAATTATCGTGTCCATTCCTGAGGGAATCCACGACGGGCCGTCGTCGACGGCCGCTAATACCTCAGTCCCGGTAAATTGTTGTAAGTAACCCTGGGCACAATTCTGCTGGTCAGAGCTAGAACATTATTCTAAGATTAGGCCACTCTGCACTGTCAGAAGTGGCAGCACGGGAGAATTGGGGATGGGAGGTGTGCATGACGTCAAGGAAGCAAGCCAGCGTGTTCATGACGTCATGGAAGCAAGCCAGAGTGTGCATGACGTCATGGAAGCAAGCCAGAGTGTGCATGACGTCATGGAAGCAAGCCAGAGTGTGCATGACGTCATGGAAGCAAGCCAGAGTGTGCATGGCGTCATGGAAGCAAGCCAGAGTGTGTATGACGTCATGGAAGCAAGCCAGAGTGTGCATGACGTCATGGAAGCAAGCCAGCGTGTGCATGACGTCATGGAAGCGAGCCAGATTGCGTGATCTACGGGTCAAAATACCAGTACAGTAGGTTATCGTGTCCGTTCCCGAAGGGAACTCACGGCGGCCACTAACACCCTGTTAACCTGTTAAAACCTGGTACAGGCCACATGCATGGTAGTACTGTACAGCGGGGGGGGGGGGGGGGGGGGTACACATGTGGTAGCAAAATCAAGATGCCTTATTGGGTACAGTATGCTGGTTGTGCAATGCCATTGAAGTGATTTATGCATTAACGCGACATAACGTTACATTATATTCACAAACAATAAACTGATTAAACTCATGCAATTATTGGCCTCAGTAAACCCTTCTTGATCTGAAAACGTGCATATGCTGTGGGGTTCAGGAAAAAATCAGTGATGTCATCATCAATACACGCTACGCTATTTCAGTGTGTGTCCAGGGGGGGGGGGGGGGGTACTGATGTATATGTACATAGAATTTTGCCAAACGAGTTGCTGAACAGCAGCCAAAGACGTTTAAGTTATTGACCGGTGCAAGCATTTGTGGAAACATGGCCACAGCCGCGCTGACTAGTTTATATTTACTAAGTCTACTTGTCCAGAGCTGCACTGGACACAGTCTTGGACCGCTTCCTCTGTGCCTGACCGGCTGCCTTGGCTACAGCTGCTCGCCGGATTTGCTGGCATTCCTCTGCAGCGGAGACAGAGAACGCGTGCTTTCTCTGTCGTGAGGTAGGAGGGGAAGACGGAGCGGAGTGAGGCCTTCATAACGAGAGAGAGAGAGAGAGAGAGAGAGAGAGAGAGAAGGGAGAAAAAGAGAAAGAGAAAGAGAGAGAGAGAGAGGGAGAGAGAGAGAGAGAGAGAGAGATAGAGATAGAGAGAGAGAGAGAGAGAGAGAGAGAGAGAGAGAGAGAGAGAGAGAGAGAGAAGGGAGAAAAGGGAAAGAGAGAGAGAGATAGAGAGAGAGAGAGAGAGAGAGGGAGAGAGAGAGAAACAGAGAGGGAGAGAGACAGAGAGAAAAGAAGAAGAAAGAGACGGAGAGAGAGAGAGAGAGAAAGATAGAGAGAAAGATAGTGAAATACATGGTGTTAGAGAGATAGAGGGAGAGGGAGATAGAGCCTGACGTTAATCTTCGTTGTATAGTCTGCAGGCATCAGTAATTAAAATATTTAATTTTGTTACCTGGGATAGTTATGTGTATCAGAGAGTATGTTTGTATAACGAAGGCAAACATACCGTGCTTAGAAGTTAGAGTGGAAGGGTGACGCAGCATAATATTTACCTCATCATGTTAATAGATGACGAGACGGCGTTGCGTCTCAGGTGGCCAACGCGACTACTGTCCTTGGTGAATGTCTTGGTGTACATGACGTGTGGCTTCACGCGATGTCTGGACACCAGAGCAGCGTGTTGCGGGTCGCACGGCAGACACTCTAATCACAAAGGCAAGGACACAGACAACAGGCGGTGTGCATACACGTAAGAAATGATGTCACGCAACAATCGGGTCGGACATGTATAGTCATTCTGTGAGAGCTTGCACAATCCACTTGCCCAGGCAAGAGGGCTGCACGGCCTGTTCATTCTAGCCAAGTAAAAATAGAATATACCAACTATGAACAACATGCGCAGACTTACAAATGTGCAGTACCAATTCGGCATAGAAAAGCCAATATTTCTCACCACACCTTCAAGCTGTAACAAGAACGTTTCTCGGCTACACCGCGTATAGCGATCATGTCCAAATTTCCACCCAGGACGGTATCACCAGGTCTCACAAAAGGTCAAAGTGAAGAAAATATACGGTAAAAAAAGGAGAAGGACAACTGTTACGAGTTATGACTGACTGTCCACCAACGTAATCAGATCATATACAGTCAGCGAGTGCAACAAAAATGGCGCAAAACTGATAAGGAGTACTTTTTTTTTTTTTTTTTTTTTTTTTTACTATTATTCACAAACCCAACTCGTAAAATAAATAATGATGTGGACAAAAACAAACAGCTACTGAGCAGGGGCTACACTGGGCAGCAGTGATGGTGAGGTACCAGGGGCTCCACCGACCAAAGGTCTCGGCTTCAATGCCACAAGCACGCACCAGGAAAAAGAAACAGAAATGTAAAGGAAAGCTAGATCTAGCTATGGGGAAGTAGAATAGAAGGTAAAAGTACCGGTAGGTGTTTAGAAAAATAAAAACAAGATGAAAAGAGATTGTTTATTATCAGTGTTTGGACTAATGTACAATGTACATGTCAACTTCATCAACCAAAACTTATGAACTTTTTTAATAGATCTGAAACGAAACTCCCACAAAGAAGTGTAAAGAAAACAAGCTAAAAAACAGAAAAATAATAAGGCACCCATTTTGATAATCCAGGGGATGGCCCACGCCTGGTAAAAGAATAAGCAGAGAAAAGAAAAGAATCATAACAAGTTTTTCCATGTATGCAAAACACAGCTGAGCACTCTGAGCAAGGCCAGGTACGCGGATTAGCGGGTCCAGCAAGCGACGAGCTCGAAAAATTACAGGGAATCTGTTGCCCAGTACCAGTTGCTGTCTCTCAGGTGTCGGTAGACCTTTGTCTTGAATGACTGAAAACGTGTTTTGTGTGGGCGCTGCGACAGCAGCCTGTCAGGAAGGGAGTTCCATGCGCCAATACAGCAGTACGGGAACGACCGCTTCACGACGGATGGAGCTGAGACAGGGAATGTGTCTGACAGTTGATAGGCGTGGCTGGTGGCATTATTGTGCTGGTTCCTACTGAGACATTCACGGTTTACGGTTCCCTTAATACCAAGTAAGACTGAGTTTTCCGCATCCGCAGGAATGCCGTCACCCACCATCTGGGATCCAAGTGCAGATGCAGCTCACAAAGCGGTGCGAAAGTCAAAATCAAGCTGAAACTAAATAGCCTGTGTGTAAACCTTGCATAACATCCATTTCCCCGGGTACTACAGGACTATGTGAGTGTCCGGTTTTGAATAGGCGACCCTTTTGACATGCACGTGTAACAGCATCTCTCAGAACACATTCGTAGAGAATGATAGGGCAAAATGTGCTTTGTAGAAGAGATGTGACCTGGGCAACCATTTTGGCACCCTGTCAGCCATTCAGAGTCGGTTGTGTGGCCAAGTGAAATAAAATATCAACAAACAATAGTACTACTGTACAAAGTAGGTTAAGTCCTCTCTGGGCACAAACAATAATTATTCCTGATCACGAGGTAATGCTTACTCTCTGCCACATTGCGCAACATTGCGCAATCAATGACCTCCGCCAGTGATAGCTTGGCACAGAGTGCTAGCGCGAGTGGGTAGGTGACTTGCTCGAGGATGCGGGCACGATCGTCCTCGTCGAGATCCGGGAATCTCCCCACTAGGCTGGCGGTTCTCAACCTCTCCGAATGCATGTCCGTGGGAGCTGAGTAAACAACCAACACAAGGCTGTGATGTGCATGTAAATGGAACATCACAGAAGCGGAACTCCTAGATTGCTAGAGCGATTCAGGTCATGAGTATGGAGAAGTGCCATAAAGGCGGATGAGAAGAGTGACAACTAGCACCTAACCAGAGGAGTGTTAGGTACCTCCTCCCGTACAATCTTACCTACAACTTTTCCTAAGCTGGCCGGCCTGCATGCACCCGTACTACGTCATACTCACCTTTCGTTCCGTTGGCCTGGGTAGCTACTTGGGCACCCATGTTTGCAATAGCTGCCTTGGCCCTTTATATGGCGTTGTTTCTCAGTCGAGCTCTCTCTCTTCAATAATCTCGCTCTCGTCAATAATCATAATGTAGTTGCAGTAGTTCGTCTTTGTCTCCGTCTCTTCGTCTACCCTAATAAATGTCGTTCCACCTACCTGTCCCGTTGTGAATTGTGTCTGGAGAATATTGGGTCTAATTCATACTCAACAAGAGTAATTGGATTATTATCCCTTCTGTATTACATGTGCAGGTAGGTGAGGCGTGCTGGAAATAGTAGAATCCTTTTGCAATTTTCTAGTCCATTGACAGCTTCAGACAGACACACAACCATACACAAATATGTGCTGGACCTTCAACCCCCCCCCCCCCCAAACCCTCCCTCATACACACACCGGAGTGCTTACAAAGAGCCGGCGATGAGGTTGGCCAGTGGAATCGAATCACAGTCGACCGCCCCAGTCCCACCATCTCTGAGAAGCCGATCCCGATCAACAGTGCCGGCACCGTCAAAGCCAGCCGGTATAGATCACACAGTGCCGTGGCGCACATTTCCAGCAGCAACACAGTGCTGCCCCGAACAGCAGAGCGTACGTACACGTGCTGTGTGTTAAGATAGCTCTTCAGGCACCGTACGATGGCGTTTTGTGCCACACGGTAGTAGTGGTCGTCCATGTTCGCCTCCACAGTCACTTGAACTAGCATAGTGCACTCATCTGCATTGTGCCAAACAAAGGATAATAAAAATCTGTGTAAAGTCTCACACCCACATATACACACATGCATGCACACATGTCCCCCCACACACATACGCACAAACACACACGCACACACACACACACACACACACACACACACACACACACACACACACACATACACACACATACACACACACACACATACACACACTACTATGTACAGCTACCCTATCGGGCCACGCCGCTCCCAGAAACGGGAGACAACGACAAGAAGAGAGAAGAGAAGAGAGAGAAATCGCAAAGTCAACAATATTTGGCATGGCGTTGCAAGTCCTGTGGCCTTGAGAACCGTCTTTCGCAATGCTCGCATTCATGACGGCAGTTGTTCCTGGCTGCACGTGACATCCGTTTCGCACGGTCACAGTGATGACGGCTCAAACCAGAACTACACACATACACACAGACACACACACACACACACACACACACACACACACACACAGACGTGCTCGGAGAGATTGGGATGCTAGGACAAGCATCATCAACTAGTACACTACACGGACAATCTCACCTGTTGTGCCGGGCTTGGGAAAGGGTTGATCAGAAAGCGTCATTGTCAGCGTGGATGCCGTGTCAGGCAAACACTTCACATTGGACTGGGCGTCGATGATACCGCGCTCACGCAAATAGCCGGCCACCAAAGAGGAGGCGTCACCTTCTGCATCCTTCTGAAAGTCCTCATCTATGGCCACAATACACGTGGCTTCTAGCATGACCCGCTTGAGTGGTTCCTCTTGCATGCCTGGCAACAGAATAAAATACGGAGCATCACTGATGAATAACGGCTTGAATCACCAGTAAAGTCACACCGGAGTTTCACTGTAGCAGAGCTGACTAACTTGTCAGGTTGAGCACTCTGCCAAGGTCGTTCGGGCCTGGTTTAAATCTGGCTTTGGGAAATTCATTTTTCATTGCTATCAGGTTCTGCCTCATTTCCTCTGTGCAGCGCAGATGAGTGCACAAAGGACGAAGCAGTTCTGTCCGCAGATTAAGTTTCACTGTACATGGGTAGGAGGCCCGTAGAAAAGAATTATCCCTAGTACACTCAAACCTCTTCAGGACGAACATTGACAAGGCAAACCTTCCATTAGTACGAACCATTCATACGGCCTGGCAAAGAAATGTGGAGCAGAGCAGCCTCAGCACTTGCAATCCCTAGAAGCTGATGAACGCACCTTTGAGAAGCAATATGTGTGTGTGTGTGAGAGAGAGAGATAGAGATAGATAGATAGAGATAGAGATAGAGAGGGATGTGTGTGTGTGTGTATGTGTGTGTGTGTGTATATGTGTGTGTGTGTGTGTGTGTGTGTGTGTGTGTGTGTGTGTGTGTGCGCGTATTTGTATGTGCATGTGTGTATGTGTGTGTGTGTGTGTGTGTGTGTCTGTTGTCGGCCCGTTATCCGAGATCCACTCACCCCTATCCTTGCTGCTGCCAATACCAACTGTCCTAACCGTCTTGTTCTGAGCATTTGCCTGATTGTCCAGGATAGACACAATGTCATCAATCTCTTTTTGCAGTGAAGGGCATGGATCCCTGAACACTGCAAGGAAAGAAACAAGAATCCATGTGGACGTGGAATTATTCGCCTGCTCAGCAGGGTTCAGAATGTGACCTATGCATCTTTCCATCTCGTGCTCCCTTCTCTATCATACACATGCACATCTGAACACACATGAACACGCAGGCACGTACGCACGCACGCACACACATACACACACTTGTACTTGTTGCTCACTGCCAAAACTGGTCACATGGGTCTCCCCAGGAGAGGGGAGAGAGACTCAAAAGGAATCCTGAAAAGATGACTCAATTGGCTATTGAACCGCCCAACGGCAGACACGCCCTGAAATCCCCAACACTCTGGGTGGACTTGAAAATGATCCCACTTATGGGCTCACCACACCTCAGTAAGTGGGTGAGGACAAGGTGCAGAAAAGGGATTGACAGCATCAGGGTATCCGTCCCGGGATCCAACTGCAGTTACCCCTGCCCTCAGTGAAGGTAATACTTGCTACTAGTGTGGGTGGCTAAATCAGAGTGGATCTGATAAAAGCTTCACTAGCACCATGATTACACAAGAGTTAATCTAGCCAGAAGTAGTCCATGGTTAACAGGTATGTATACTTCAAATAGAAAGTATATGAACCCTGAAACCAACAAAGGTGGTAGGTACAACATTACACCTTCAAGCAGCCGAGCCCGTTGGCAACAGACCCAACACTATCCGGCATAAGTGTACCCACCAACCGAACTAGCTGGCACACACACACACACACACACACACACACACACACACACACACACACACACACACACACACACACACACACACACGTACGAGCATGCACACAAAAGTAAGAACTGTAAAGAGTGCAGTTTGAATGGAGGGCTTTACTTAATGAGACACAGAAGTAGGCTTCTTTTATAAGCTTTAAAGAAAACTAACCGTCACCATGTCCATGTTGATCCGTGGAAGAATGTTTTAGCTGTGATCCTGACCTCTGGTGTGTAAGACCTCGGCTGATCTTCCTTGCTACAACCTGGTCGTTGCTTGTTGTTGGTATGGGCCGAGCCGCTGAGCCGTGTTTGTCCACGCCATGCAGCTGGCTCTGTGGCTCGCTGTAGCGACGCGTCTGCGCGCCGGGGTTGCTGGCTTTGCGTTCGCGCCGCCGCACTGGAACGTCGAAGCTGCGTGCATCGGTCGTCGCCTCACTCTCGACGTCGCTGGCACCGCGAGCGGCGGACATCTGCCGGCCGATCTGCAGCAGCTGAACACGTTCTGGAGCGCTGAGCCCCTGCATGATAGAAGTCATGTGGTCCAGTTGCTCGTCGAAAGTTCGATCGTTGGGTGGCCAGGGTGACTTGCGCCCAGGGGAAGTGCACTGATTCGGTCGATGGGGCATGCCGAGGGAATCCGTAGAGCCGGAGAATGGGTACGCCGATGAAGGAGGCGTACAGGTGGGCGATCTGGACAGTTGCCTGTACCGATAGTGGGCGTCAATGCCTTCACTTGATTCCGCTATACCCCGACCCGAGTCGGCGGAGCGCGACAGGCGACGCGATGCGTTACGCCTGCTACTGAATGAGCTGGTTGGATTGGATATAGAGCTATGGAGCGGAGGAATAGCGGCAATGCCTGTACAGATAGTGTTAACACTTTTTAGACAAAATAAGCATTATTTTTTTTTAGAAAAAGTGGATCAATGTTCCCGTTGTTATGACCATGTTCAGGAAAATTCTCTTGTATTTGCAACTTTCAAACTCTTCAGAACTCAAGCATGTCACGAGCCTTATTTTTGGGTTAGGTAAGAGCATAAAGTTAGTATGTTTCTTTCAGCCGTGCGCTTTTTTTTGTGTCGACACTTACTTTGCCGCCCCACCAGTCAATGTCTTGTTAGGCCGCACCTTGGCCACTGCCTCCTTTTTATTTAAAGAAATGGGTGCGTGCTTTTCAAGCAAAAAAAGCAAACTGACTGGCACATTACTGCCGTCTGACACATGCAAGAAGCATGTCGAACTCTTCAGGCACTAAACCCGGAAGTTAGCCACCTACTCCACATATTACCACCAAATTCTCAGCATCTTCGTTCGGACTTATGTATTGTTCCCCAAAGTCTGGGAGCCTGGCGGGTCTATCTCCAGAACTGTACACAGAACGAGATGAAGTCTGAATGTACAGTGAGAATGCCAAGAAGCCAGAAATGTTTTGTTTCCTACGGCTTGGGGCATGCTGCTTAGTGATTCTGCAAGTAGCGGCTAGCACATTGTTCTGAATTAGCACATTGTTCTGAATTAGCACATTGTTCTGAATTAGCACATTGTTCTGAATTGGGTTTTAGAAAGCTCTGTCCTCGGGTCCTAAGCACGATGCGAGGAGTGGAAGGCCAGGTATTGGAGAGGCAGTTTGACACGACACGAAAGTTCCTCTCGCGTTTTACGGCTCCCGCGTTGGTAAACAACTCCAGAGAGCTGCATCTCAAGTTGGATTTTGCCACATTACACCAAGTTTCAACCCGTTTGACATGAAACTGTGTGTCACGTCGAAAATTATGCGCGCAGCTTAACCTCTCTATTCAGTAAAGCGAGAGCAGTGGAAATAAGGGTTTCGAGCGCTGTGTGAGCATTGGAAATCAGGGCATTGAGAACTGATTGATGAGGGGAAATCCCCACACTGTGGTCACAGTCTTTCTACCCTTTCCTTCTGATGCAGAGTTTTTGCACTCCATTTTTTCCATCTTCTCGGAAACGTTGCGGCCCACACTATTTACGAGTGAGAATGAACTGATTTTACAATAATTAATATTTGATTAAATCCTCCCTTTCCCTTTCGTTGTGTGCCTTGCGATCATCGTATAACATTTTAGTATGATTTTACGCTTAAACGTCGCCATAGTCAAAAGAAATGCTTACAGTGCAATTAGTCGTCCTTGTAGCTACATTAAATCTTGATTTGTATCACAATATTGGGAGACGTCATAACTTGCAGTAATTCAGCACCAGGCTGACCGATGGAGAGTCGAGCCACTCAGCGGGCCGGCACAAATCTCAAGTACAGGGCGATGAAGCAGGAAGCCAAGGCTGTCATCGTGAGCCCATGTGGCACGGACCACGGAATATTACATAGAACTTCTTAACCTGGGCAAGCAGAAGCTGTTTTCAAATACCGTAAAGTCCGCTGCAAACGCCCACTTCGCAGCAAACGCCCACCCCAGCGGGTCCATACTATTTTCGTCTTTTTTAGGTCAATATAGTTGTAGAAAGCTGGCATGAAGGTCGAATGCGTACGAAAACGACTGTAATGCCTACAAACTGCCTATGTCTTACTAGGAGGCTCTGCAAAAGCGATTGTCATTATCTTGCTGCAAAGAAAAACTTCTGTCAAGATTTCCTTTTATTCGGTAAATGAGTCGTCTTTGTGGTAGTTCGCTCTCCATGTGGTAATGCTGTAGAATCTGAATCCATCTGGTTTTCATGAAATTTCTGCAGCGCCACATCGTGGCGCTTTCAGAACGGAACAGTGATTGTTCTGACGAAGCGTCTTTCAACGACTTGACCAGTCGCTGTATTGCAATTGCAAGTCGACCAGGGTATGTCACAGAAGCTACACCTACAAATATTAAAAGTTGCTGCTAACTTGTTGAAAACTCTGAAGTGCTCGAGAAAAACCTTTGAGCCTTTGAGCGCTGCGTGATTTGTAACTGATGGCTTGAAACACCGTCAGAAGTGTATATGGTTCCTGCAATACTCTGTTCTTCGCTACCTTGCTATTCGGAAAAACTCCCATGTGGATTTGCGAAATAAAACAACCATCATCATAAAATCGCTACGAGCTAGCTCGTAGATCTACCTAGTGCCCAAAGAGATTTCGAAACCAGGAAAGACTAAGTGGACATAGTTTACCGTAGCAAAGCGCTCATCGCGCTCCGGTGTGAGATGCACTTTCGTACAGTAGGGATGACAGTGCATGGGGTCAGTGTGTACAGGCCAGCAGATCTTGCAAAAAAGGGGTGGGCGTTTGCTCCGGACTTTACGGTACTATGGTTTCGTGACATCCAGGACCCTAAATTCCACGAAACAAATCTAGGATGCAGGTTACAAGAAATCGCGGCATTGCTTCTTTCACACTGGTAGGCCCAGAGTGCTCATTCACGCTCAGTGGTTCAAAGTCAGGCACCAGCTTGACACACGGAGTGATCTGGTGACTGTGCAGAATAGCGTCATCCAGTTAGTACTGAGGTGCATAGTACTGTGCAACAGAGCATGGGGGTGGCCAGTCCCACCACCATTACAGAGAGGAGTGCCTGCAAGCATGGGGAACTGCCTGCAAGCATGGAGGAGTGCCTGCGAGCCTGGAGGAGTGCCTGCGAGCATGGAAGAGTGTCGCTGCGCTTTGCTGCCACTGTCCATTGTTACCACACTGGTGCTTTTGTGCTGGTCATGTACAGCTCCGACGAGGAAATCTAGTCGAGTGCAAAGCTAAAGCCGATTTGCAAAGAGAGACGCTGCAAGTCCTGCCTCCCAGTCAGTGAGAACATTCCAGCCCGTTCTCTCGCGTAAAGAGGAATGAAAAACCAAGTTGTGTTCGACTTGAAAAGTAGTACGAAAGGCCTGGTCGAAACTATCATGGCTTCTGTGCTTCGCGTGCTGATAGGTTTCCTTCCAACCAAGAGCATGTTGAGAAGTGTAACCCCGGGAACTTGAGACTCTCCCGGGGAGCCTGGTAAACCCATTGTAACTTTCCACAGGCTGATGCATGCCAATTTCCATGAGACGTTTTATGTGGATAGCAGACAACATGCTATCTACCTTGGCCACCAGCCTGGACGTCACCAATCACCTATCAACTTAGGGTATTCTTGGCCACAAAACGATTGTATCAGCTGAAGATGAGTATCGTCAAGGCGAGAACATTGTGTGTTGCTCGCATACCCACGGGATGTCGCTTGATGACCATGAGTTGAGTGTATGTTGCTTTGTGGGACACTGTGGCTCATTTATTTCCTAATTTCATGGCTAAATTTAACATTGGCTTCCCACTCAGGATTTACAGTGCGGTACTAAAGTGGAACTCACCTAGGCCGTCATCACACTACGTTCACTGACACCCGTTTACGACTAAATCTAGGATGAAATGCCCAAAACGGGTGATCGTGTCATTACGCTCCAGCCCCAGCCCGGGCCCGCACCCGAGCCAGCGTGCGCACAATTGCGAGCCACCATCCGTTCCAGCTGACCAAGACTGTCCCACCTCAGTCTCGAAACAATGTCCTTAGGTCCTTCCCCCACTGTATGATTGACACCTGGAATTGCCTCGAAGCCTCTATCTTCAGTGCTCGCCCCTCCCAGAAGTCGATGCAGACCTTCAAGAAGAACGTCTATGACCACCTGAGGCAGTCTGACAGGGACTGGGCAACCGACCGCCTCTAGCCGCCTCCGGGATTATGCCCCTGCTTCTCCCACCCCAAGCCTAATTGTCACCAATCCTGAGTAGCCAATCTCCACTGCTAACCGATTGCACCTTTCATTTGACACTCTCCTTTCACTCCTATTATCTGTTTGATTATTTGCTATTTTCTGCTGTGTTCCAAAATTAGGTCCTCTCCTTTGTTCTAAATTTTCCATTTTCTCCCGTGCTTTTTCCCCTCATGCTTATGCTTCCCTCCTAAATTTGGTGCGCCTGCCATGTGAAGATGCCGAGACCTCTGGTCGGTTGAGCATGGCAAGCCCCACCAGCACCATCTCACCCCATGCTAGCCCCATGTGCCTGCCGGTGAGTTGTGTATTTTGTAAAAAAAAAACAAAAAATTAATAAAACACAGGCACGCTGCCTGCCCCGCATACGTGATCACATTTTTGGAGAAATTTGGAAATTAAAATGCACCAACAAGACTGCTTTGGAAAAGACTGGGATATGCGCAAGTTCACTCGTTCCAATTGTATACCCCCACCCCTCTCTCCCTGCCATGTCTGCGTTTCTCGTTTCCTCTGCTCCCATTTTCACACCGTAGATGGATCGTCATGGCAACCGACCAAAACACCTTATACGGACGTAGACACCGGGTTTTGTACCATAGTGTGATGACAGCCTTAGTACGTACCCGGGTAAGACGTACACCTGCTTAGTACAGTCCTTTTGGTCGCAATGACTTTCCTACCATCGGCGCAAATACAACTCTGTTCGCGTAGGAGGTATTCTGATGAGACGTACAACTCGTGCATCCTGCAGGTCCCGACGTGACATGAGCTGGCCACTTGCACTACGTACTATTTTTTCTGGTGTTTCTGTACATGATACAGTATTCTTGATATTCGTCATTTACGACGCATCCTTCATCTCCAGATGCAGTTTTCGGACACCTGATGCTTAACCTCCCCCCCCCCCACAATCCACCTAGAAATGACAATTTTGTAATGGAACGTTCCGAACGGTGAGAGGGGAACGAAAATGTTCGGTTACACAGCAGGCTATGAGCTTCACTGTGTGGATTGCGTCGGTGCTGACACTCCTCTCTAAGTAAGTATTCACCATTGTGACAGCATCGTTGCTGGTAAGAGACTTATGTATGTAAACACTGGTACAGGAAATCTCCCCAGATCCGGACGCCCCTAGTCCGGGCACATTCGCCTACCTGGCGCCTTTCAAGACCCATCCACGGTCACAAAATTGCCTTCTCAACGAAACACGGCCCCAAAAACATGTGATTGTCATAACAAGATATTTGATTACATACAGTGACAGGTTACAGTAAGTATGCATGTTCTGAGTTAGGGGAATTTCCCTAGTTACGGGAATTTCCCTAGTTACGGGAATTTCCCTAGTTAGGGGAATTTACCTAGTTACGGGAATTTCCCTAGTTAGGGGAATTTGCCTAGTTACGGGAATTTTCCTAGTTACGGGCAGTGCTCGGGTCCAAATTGCTCGGATCTGCCGGGAGAGTTAAAAAATTTTTTTCCAAAGATCACTCAAGCGCCAAGCATGATATGCAGCTAGGGGGAAGCACGAACAATCTGAATCGTGACAGTGGTGGTGAGGTTTAGAGAGCTCCGCTGACCTAGGGTCTCGACTTGAGGTTTTGGGAGGTACTGTACCTTCTTTAGATTTGTCCAGCTTGTCTGCCAGTTCCTGATTGCATCTGACATGTGACTCGGCCAATGATAGATAGAACACATCAAATGCTGTACTGCCACAGCAGGGCAGTAGGCGAAGCAGTTCTTCGGCCTGATATTCAAGGATAACAACAACAACAACAACAACAACAGCAGCAGCAGCAGCAGCAGCAGCAGCAGCAGCAGCAGCAGCAGCAGCAACAACAACAACAACAACAACAACAACAACAACAACAACAACAACAACAACAACAACAACAAGTCTAACCCCCAATCTCACCTTCTCATAAATTTATCTCTTATTGGCGATGGTGCCATCATGAGAATAAAGAATTCAAAAACAACAACAACAACAACAACAACAACAACAACAACAACAACAACAACAACAACAATAACGACAACAACAACAACAACAACAACAACAACAGCAACAGCAGCAGCAGCAGCAGCAGCAACAACAACAGCAACAGCAACAACAACAACAACAACTTTAGCAGGTGCCATATTCTTCTTGCACATAGCCTGCACCAAAGATATGCACCACCGCGTGTATGCCCGTGTAACAGGAAAGGATGTCTCACCTTGCCTCGTCTATCTCGCTCCTGCCCGGCTTCGGTGCGCTGAATTCTCTTCTTGTCTTCCTCATCGATGATTTCCTCGCTAATCAGCCTCGCCAGCAGATCTGTGTCCACGGATAGGCTAACTAACAGGGAGCTGTGCAGTTTCTTCAGTACTTTGGTGTGTAGCAGATCCATTATCTCGCAGACCACCCTGACCAGCAAGACGTACACAATAGCAATGCACAAGGCAACAAAAAAAGGGTGAAGGTACAAGGTAAAGATGTTTATCATGGTTCACGTGAGACATGGCTAGAGACTGAGTTTTCCGCAATGAACTGTCGCTGAAGCCGAGACCTCAGGTCGCCGGAGATGCTCCAGTTTCCCCACTACAGCTGTGAGTGTGAACACCTCTATCATAATTATAGTAGTCTGTTCTCGAGGGTCGTGATTTCTCCTAAAAATAAAGTCCCTTTCGGATCAAAGCGCAGATGCAGCTCCAAAAGCGGTGGCAGGTGAGAAGGTTATGGTTTGCCTCTAGTCAATTCTAACCAGTGAGGAAAAGAGTTCCTAAGTACCACATCAGGGGCGGGGGGGGGGGGGGGCAAGATGATGACGAAAACGAGAACGGCAACGTTATCATACACAACACGAAATGGTCACTATGGAGCAACAAAAGTACAATGTAAAGAACGGTGCTGATGGCAACAACAACATCTTAGCGAAATTCAGAATCATTCCCGAAATACAGAAGTGAATTACATGTACCTTCATTCTCCGCGATAGAGAAAGGGCTGGGCGACATGAATGTGACGAAAAGGAACAAAGCCGCACTAGTATCTGCTCATTACGGGTAGCTCACCGGTCCTCATCAGTTTAGCGGGACGAGTCTACTGAAATATGTTCTCCAACAACACTACATCGTGTCGTGCTCTCCTAGTCTCAGCCTCAACATCACTAGGAATGTCACCAGTGGTTTCAATTTGCAATGACGCTCCGTTTCCAGCGCGACAAACGGCTCGTGAGCGCCAGGCAGGCAGCGGCGTGAGTTCTAGAAAGATTCACAACACGATCTCTTCACCAGCCCTTCGCTCCACCAGCTCAACTACAGTATCTCTTTCAAATTGTCATGCATGCATGAGGGCTTATAGTATGGCGCTTTGGATAGGCATTAGGAATGGGAAGAAGGACGTAGATGCACAGTCTAGCGATGTCGTACAAACAAGGGTTCAGTGTAGGACCATTGTACACAACCTGGAAATGGCAACAATTTGATACAGTGCTAGCTACTGACTGTATCAGAGCAGAGTGTCATGCAAAGAATACAGTCATGTTGTCAAATGTACAGCTGTACCACTCCCTGGCATCATGTTGCACTACGTAGAAATCCATGTTACCAAGCTCAGTTGTAGCAAACATGACAAAGTCAATTATTATTTGTATGTTTTGTGACGGATTACAGGTGACACATAATGTGAGTATGATTGTGTGTGTGTGTGCGTGTGTGTGCGTGTGTGTGCGTGTGTGTGCGTGTGAGTGCGTGTGTGTGTGTGTGTGTGTGTTTATCAGCAAGCAAGCCTCTTTTACCGGCAAAAATTCGCACAATGGATTAAAATGCAATAAACATACACTGGTGAGGAAGAGTGTGTTGCTCCCTGCATGGCAGCTCGCGGTTTTCCTGCCGACTTGAATTCTCACTTGACTTGAGTGGTGCGTTCTTGCAGGTTTGCCAAATGTGATGTGAAATTGCGCATCACGTGGGAAATAACGTGAATCTTAACCTCTCTATTGTAGGAGCGTCTAGGCAATGTCAGTGTTAACGTGTTGTGCTCGCTGACCAATCTAGCTGTGGCAAGCACAGCCAAAACCCGTGCAGACTGGTGTGTCTGCTAGACAGGAACCCCGGGTACACCATTGCCAGCCATTTTGACCTGTATTCCAGGCTAGTATCGTCTACAGCGATCTGGGGAGCAAGACATGGCGAACTTCACCGGTGTCTGCTCGCAGTATGGTGAAAACAGCTGCTGCACGCCGAGCACAACGCAGGCCATAAGCAGATCTGATAAGGAACTCTCTCTCTCTCTCTCTCTCTCTCTCTCTCTCTCTCTCTCTCTCTCTCTCTCTCTCTCTCTCTCTCTCTCTCTCTCTCTCTCTCTCTCTCTCTCTCTCTCTCTCTCGCTCTCTCTCTCCCTCCCTCCCTCCCTCCCTCCCTCCCTCCCTCCCTCCCTCCCTCCCTCCCTCCCTCCCTCCCTCCCTCCCTCCCTCCCTCCCTCCCTCCCTCCCTCCCTCCCTCCCTCCCTCCCTCCCTCCCTCCCTCCCTCCCTCCCTCTCTCTCTCTCTCTCTCTCTCTCTCTCTCTCTCTCTCTCTCTCTCTCTCTCTCTCTCTCTCTCTCCTCTCTCTCTCTCTCTCTCTCTCTCTCTCTTCGTGCTGTTGTTCGTGCTTGTTCGTGCTGTTGTCTGCAAGCGTCGTATGGTCTCGTCGGGTCAAATGAAAAACCTATTATGGTCCACCATTGCGGTCCAACTCATGTCCGAGTCAAAATGCAGGCCAAGGTATTCGGCAGATGTGACTACTGGTAGGACGTGTGAATTGCATACCACATTGATGTCGTGGGTTGTAGCTCTATGGTGTGAAATGCTGGCGTCTGTAACCAAACTGACTTTTAGGCAAGAAATTGTTAGTTTTAGAACGTCAGTACTGTCGGTCAGGTTTGTGCAATTTTATCGCATGAGCTGATTGTCAAGTATTTATTCATATTTCTCTAGGGCAGTCCCCACAGACCTATGGTCTCCTTACGGGGTACCCTAGCCAATCTAGGATTGCGATACAAAATTGACTTGGTGAAGCAGCAAGGCGGGCCGATGCTGGAACTGAGTTCCAGCGGTCAGCGGCTAAATAAGAAAGAGAGGACTACCAAATCGAGAGGAGGCTCGTGGCAGTACAAGTCCAAGCGAGACTTGAGACCTTGTGCAGGTGCGGCTACGTGCCTCAGAATTGGCACGAAGTCAGAAAAGGCGGCATAGAAGTGAGCTGGCAGAAGAATGAACGCATCTGAATACAAGAAGATACAGTTTATGGGAGAAACGGATAGTGATGGGCGTGAGGTTGTTTCGAGACAGAACACATTGGACATCTGCGGTGGTTGGGTAGCCAAATACAGTACGCAATGAACGGCGAGAGATGCGGGTGAGAGAATCATATTCATGTTGTCGCAGACTGTGTACATAAGCATTGCTTGCATATTCCAGTGTAGACTGGACAAAGGAGAGATAAAATATGCGTCTGGCTGCATTGGTCAACATGGTGCGGCAGCGCCGAAATGCATTCACTTTTGCACTGACCTTCTTTCGGAGTGCATCAACTTGCTGAGAATGTCAAGTGCTCATCAATAATGATGCCAAGGTACTCAGCACAAGATGATTGTTCGACCACAGTGCCACAGAACCGCAACTGACGGGATGCCTGCTCGGTGGGCTTCCGCAGAAAAAGAAACTGAGTCTTTGCCGGGTTTAATTTGAGTTCCCTGGAGTGCAGAAACTCGCTGACTGAGTGCAAGTCTTTCTCAAGCTTTTCAATTGCTGCATCGGCAGTCTTGTCTGCAACATAGACATTTGTATCATCGGCATAGAGTTGGCTGGTGGAGAAAGCCAAGCATGTTTGAAGAGAGCGTGTGTACAGGGTGAACAGAAGCGGACCAAGTACAGAACCCTGAGGGACACCACGGTTGGCAGGATACTGTTCTCCCGGGGGTTGCGGCGACATACAACTTGCTGTTGACGACTAGACAGGTAGCTGCAGAGCCAGGCCAGGGCTTAACCACCTATACCACACGCATGGAGCTCCAGGAGAAGTAATAAGTTTGTCATGCTGAACACAGTCAAAAGCTTTACTGAGGTCCAGCATCGCCACCGCCACAACATTTCCATTGTCTAGAGAATGTTGCCAACTGTCAATGCAAACAGCCAGTGCGTCTTCACATAAGTGGGATTGACGGTACGCGAATTGCTCATTGGGAATGAGTGGAGTAGTCTCCTGTCCTAAGTACAGGGCAGATGTTAGCAAGTTTGTATGGGCTGGGAAATACTCCGGTAGTTAGCGACTCGTTAAAGATATCTCTCAGGGTTGCTGTGAGGTAGTGGTGATTGGCTTTCAGGATAGCAGCTGGTACACCATCTGAGCCAGTTGCCTTCCAAACATTAACTCCTTAAAGGAGCTTCTCCACTTCAACCACTGTGACGGGTCGGAATGTGACAACTGCCGACTCACTACATGGTCCACTCGGGATCTGGTATGTTGGAGCAAGGGCAGACGATGTTTCACAGACTTGGCCTTTAAAATTGTTAACGTCAGAGCAGGTACGTCCACTGGCAGGGTTCCAGATGGCTTCTGGCGTCCAAGAAGACGGTTGATGATCTTCCACTGAGCACGTCCATCATGTCGACTTGCAGCAAACTGCTGAACAAAGTGGGTTTCCTTCAGCCGACGATTCAGAAGGGAATACTCGCGGCGGGCTGCGCGGAAGGCTTGATGCGCAGACTCATTTTGTACGGTCTTTGAGCCAGTTTCTGTGCAAATGGGCTTTCCTTCTAATCAGCTGTGTCAGAGCTGGCGTAAACCATGGTAGAGGCGGAGGGTTAGAAGTAGCTAGGACAGAGCGCACAGGACAGAATTTGTTGATGGCGTGCTCAACTGTGTTTGTCCAGCGACACGTGCGTGCAATTGACAGAGGTTAGGGAGTGTTCAACGGCAGGGCCGAACATACTTGCTGAGACACTTGGGATACTTGGTTTACGAGTAGTGGTATATCCAAGCAGGGTGCGATAAGGATTGCAGTGTGCAAACTCTAACTCAATGCCGACTAGGAAGTGATCTGTGACTCCATCAAGAGATTTCACAGTTACGGTCTTCAGTGCAGTATCCTTGTGCAAATCACAGGGAACGAGGATGAGATCAATACAGGTGTTGCTGGGTACTCTTGTTGGTTCAACAATGAAATTACGAATGCAGAGACTGTCGCATAGACGTTGAAGATGAGGATAGTGAGGCTGCTGCGATGGATGGAGAACATCGATTATTGAAGTCGCCTAGAAGCAATAGTTGTGCACTCATTCCATGAATTGCTACATCAACTGTATGTTCCAGGCCCTCCCAGAAGGCAACTGGTGCTGTTGGTGGTCGGTACACACATCCAATACAGAATTCTTCAGGCCCAGATTTGCACTTGGTGGAGATTCTGAGGAATAGGGCTTCTACACTGGAACTCGGAATGCAGCTCAGTACTCTTACTGCTTCACGCACCTCCACCTTTGTTGAGTTTTCTACCATGTCGATATAACGTGTAGCCTGGTACATGGATGAGGGCGTCAGCCACACTGGTATCTAACCAGGTTTCTGTAACTGCAAGAATGTCAATCAGATTGGGCGAGTTGAGTGGATAGAGGATGAGGGTGATATCAGTTATCTTATTTCTTATGCTACATATGTTAATGTGGGCTATGCTAAGTGCCACTGGCTGCTTACTTGTTTTAGGTGTTCTGGTTTGTTTCACGAAAGTCCAAGTAACTGGTGGTATTAGTGGACATTACGGCTAACTTGTAATTCCTTGATATTTTTCTTTACTATGAAGAACAATACAATTAAGTATGACGGGCGCGGGTTAGAGTTCTGGTGGTGACTGTCAAATCTTCACACTTTCCCCGTTTTCAACTCCCTTAGATCAGGCGTGTTATTGATAAGACTTAGTAATAATTTGCCATGACGTACACATTTGAAAATTCATCATTTCTCTCAGACTCACCACGCTATCCGTACGGGCTCTACAGTGCTGGAATGTGAGTCCGGTTGGTTAGCTTACACCACACCGACCAATCCTCCTGGGTCCGTATTTGCCGTTCCTAGCGCACACTGCCGCTGATATCATCGGCAATGGTCCAACAGCTCGAACGTGACCGACCTCATGCTCTTGTCTAGCGGACGAGTAGTACACGGGAAAGACGCAGCATGGATCATCAGTACAAGTCGTCTTTGGGGTAATAATCACCCAGCTAGGGAATAACCAGGCACGCTCAAGACAATCCTGTTTGACGATCAGCTCTACGGCGTGCCTGTGCGCGTGCCTGCGTGCAGAGAGCGATGGGTAAGGTCAGCCGTCGCTAGCACAACTAGGCAATAGTGATAGAGATAACAGGAATGTGCAACGGGAATGGCAAGCGGGCGCCTGGTGAATTATGATCCCGAGCTCCCACTGTACTGCCTCCAGTAAAGAATCAGGCGAGTAGCACCAGCATCCTGATCTGCATGTTCACGACCTGCTAGTGTTCACGTATGCGTCACTGTTCATGCGTGCGTCCATCTGAACGTTCGAAATGGAGAGCAGACATGCGCTACTCTATCAGCGGGTATGGTAGTGTAGCACTTTCTCCCCGATCCCTGGCTGCTGTGCGCCGCTGCGGTCGTGCAGCGGACAGTGAATGCCTGCTGCACATCTGTTCGTGTTCTGCGTGTTGCATCTGGGAAACCGGTAAGCACCTGTCTCTGCACCGCACTCTCCGGATGTACATGCACGCCATGATACAGTCAACTTCGCTATTAGCGACTGCGGATATAACGACAATTTGCGAATAACGAAAAAATGTCCATGCCCAGAGCAAAGTTCATTATACCGTACCTGTATACATATAGTGAGACTTCGGGTATAACGACACTTCGCGAATAAGGACACTTTTCTGATGGCCGGCCGAGTGTCGTTATACGCAAAGTTAGTTGACTGACAAGTAATAGTTGCTAGTCTTGAACACACACTCATATTCTTAACACATACATGCAATCATTCAACTACGTCACCACACTCACGATATTTTTGTCACATCTGCACATACCGGGATGTACAGCAGCAGCAGGACAGCAGTGCTACTCTGGTGCGCAGGCCACTTCATAACATACATAGATGTGCTGCTCTACGCCAACACGAAGCGCAAGTGATCTCCGCAGTAACTGTCCACCACTGTACGGTAACTACATGTACATACTTTATGCAGTCGGTAAGTGGAACAACTACGAACATGCACTATGGTATTTTTTATTTCCTCTAGGTTGTACTTTGAAGTATTTTTATTTACCGGTATTCATTTTTTTTTATGGAGAAGGCGGACAGCCCGCACGTACGTGCCGGTTGTCAATGAATTGTTTTGAGTTTTGCCCGTACCTAAAAAAAGTGCATAACAACTACAGGCACAAAACTCAAAAGGCGATCACAGGACATCATCATTGAGTGATACTTCTAATTTGTATCACACACTCTGGCACTTACATGTACGTGTACCTACAGACATCCTTGAGTACATGAATATGCATCACTCAACATCACACTACATTCCTCCTCTTCGTCTGTTTCATATTCCCTTCGCTGACAATGTAAGTACAGTCTCCTCCATGGCTCTCCATGATTTCTAAAAAAGAACTCGTAAATCATCGTCGCGGAGTTTGTGTAACAACCTCACTCAGTTGCAACGTTGGGCATGCCACATCACCTGTACATTAGTAGTAGTAGTAGTAGTAGTAGTAGTAGTAGTAGTAGTAGTAGTAGTAGTAGTTTTTTATTATTTTACTAGGGGAGTCCCAACAGGCTACTGCCTTTTTACTGGGAACCCTAGGTGAAGTTTAACCATATTAATGAACAGAGCAAGAGTGTGGGCCTGTCGACAGTCAGCTGGAAGAGAGTTCCACCTGCCTGCCGCCAGAAAAGAAATAGAGCGCATGCCATACTGCGTATAAACGAGTGGGAGAACTAAGGCTCTTTGTGCCTTGCCCCAGGTGCATGCCTGGTGACCAGGCGCAGTTGCCCGAAGCTGGTACAAAGACTGAAGAAGAGGACTAGCAAGATGCTGGGCCAAGCAGCGGTACACAAAAACATAGAGCTTGAGGCTAATACGCTGTTCCAAAGAATAGAGGTGATATAAGCGAAGAACTAGTTCAGTGGGCGTGGTACGATCGAGTCCAAACACTCTCTTCATTGCTATGTGACTAACGGTCACAATCCTATTGTACAGAGTTGTGCTTAAACAATGTAGGTAAGCATTACTGGCATAGTCTAGGGTAGACTGAATAATAGACAAGTAGAATGTTCGCTTTGCATCATTTGTTAAATTTCTACGGCCATGTCGGAAAGCAGCAACTTAAGCAAAAACCGAGTTACACAATTTATGGACCTGTGGCTGGAAGGCGAGATGCTCGTCTATCAATAAACTAAGGTATTTGGCAGTGCTCGTAGGGGTAATAGCCTTTCCTTTACAGGTCAAGGGCTGTGGCAACTGCGCTGCTGGCAGGCGTGAGCGCTGCAGGATTAGAAATTGCGTCTTGTCGGGGTTCATGATGAGCCCCTTCAGATCTAAATGGACCTCCAGGGCAGTTAGATCGTCCTGGAGATCCTGTAACATAGCAGGAAGATCCAGTCCGATGATGAAGAAGGCAATGTCATCAGCATAGAGTTGTGACATGCTGTGCTTGAGAATTTCCGGCACCTTGCGAATATAAATGCAAAAGAGCAGGGGACCCAGGACCGACCCTTGCGGGACGCCCCTGGTACAAGGCACAGTCTCACCATGCTCGCCATTGACTATTACTTGTTGACTGCGGCGTGACAGATAATCTGCAAACCACTGCAATACAGTGCCCCGTAACCCAACATCAGCCAGCTCATGGACTAACTGCTGATGTTGAACGCGGTCAAATGCCTTACTCATGTCTGCAAACACTATTGCGCATCGTTGACCATCGTCCAATGCTCGGTTCCATCTATCAATGCAGAGAGCGAGGGCATCCTCACAGCTATGGTTGGAGCGATATGCAAACTGTTCCGGTGGAAGGGCAGAATGCTCATTGTGATCACTAAAGAACTCCACAACCTGTCGATAAACGATTTTCTCCAATACCTTGGAGGCAAGTGGCAACAGAGATATAGGACGGTAGTTTGTAGCTGACAGTTTGTCTCCGGATTTGAATAGCGGACAGACATGTGCGTGCTTGTACGCTGTAGGAAACACACCCGAGAGGAGAGACTGGTTGATAATTGACGCTAACGGGGCGGCAATGGACGCCTTACATGACTTAAACATGCATGGAGGAATGCCATCCGAACCAGCAGACTTGTAGGAGTTAAGATTGGTCAGATTTACCTGACTACATTGCTACATAAATACGGTATAATTATGTAGCATTACATGTACATAGTACATGTATGTAGTCAGGTAAATGTAGCATTAGTGCTAAAGGTGTTACGTGTCTACAAAATCACAAAGTCATGTGCCGGTACAATACACGGCGTTGCACCTCATGGCTTTAGCGGATTGTTGCCAAAAACCTTAGATTTTCCGACATTTTTCACTATGAAACTCGTTATGCCGCTCGAACCTCACATTATTGCTCGTCTTGTTCCTATCTAATGCTTCATAATGCTCTGATGCTGGGATCAGGGAGTCGTAAAATACCGGGAGGCGACACGAGATGCACAACCGCGTCGGATGATTGCCTCAGCTCGGGCACGAGTGCTGAGACCTCACGCGCTGCATGGCGAGGGACTTCCCATGAGGTCAAAGCGGCGCAGGTCATGCAAAAGGACGCGTTCGCTGTTTGGTCCAACAAATTTGAAAACTCAATAAAATTATCCTGCACACAACGAATCCAGTGTCAGCAGTTCGTTTTGTTTTTCTAAGTAATAATACTTTGTGCCTTGGCCTTCGAAGTAAAGGATGATGGAGCTTGACAGAGATGACTGCCAAAGTGATGAGTCCACCGTGGAAGATGTAGATGACGCCACGTATTCACTTGGTCACCTGAGTTGTGGGGATGTTCAGCTGTGGGCTACAGGTGAGATTCTTTCGTTTGCATGTTTTTGTCTCTTCCTTGTGGACACGAATGTATAATCTGTAGCATACCTAAGTGCCCGAACTGACCCGATAAATTAGATGGTCGACACCAATGACCATCCTTTTCATCCTAGTCTGCCTACGATGCATTGTCTGTTCACTGTGACAGGATATTTATTGAAGTCCTGAAAATTTACGTGTATACCTAGTATGTATCATCACCGTAGATGATGTAAACCTCCATCCTCAAACCATACTTTGTCTATGTGCAGATCGATGTAAGAGTGGTAGTGCCATCATGGTGTACAGGCCTATGGAAGGTGCAGTGATCCATGGTATTTGCAAACTGCTGACAATGAGACAGGCGAGTGTTACTGAGGCGACGGAGTCATTCCTGCATGTTATTACGACACGGTTACACAAGGCATCAGGTACTGCAAATCTGCTACGCCAGGAAGTGTGCCAGCTGAAGGCATGCAAGGGTGCTGATATTTCGCAAGCATGGCAACAAATGCTATCCGTCATCGCAACAGCTATTCCCGAAGTGAAAATCAATTGTGAAGGTCAGTGCGTTTTGCATGAACGTTGGAAAAAAATTGGCTTCTGACTAGGTATGCAGACTAGGTATGCAAACGCTGGCTTTTGAATACTAGTACAGTCTCTGCAACCACCAGTCCTTATATGTTGTCTTTTTCTTTTCTCTTCTTCAGATTTGGAAGTTACATCTGCAGTGCTAGCGAATCTGATAAGCTACCTGCATGCCACGGCTGCCGCTGCTATCAGGAAAGCGTCAATAGCACCATCCAAAGCTGCTGAAGCCATCCCCGAACCGGTGATTGACAATTTGTCTCACCTTGCTGAAAAGTACCATGGTGGTTGGTGCTTGGTGGCCGTGCGGCGTGAGCTGGAAGGAGCAAGGTGTCGCAACGAAAACTTGCTGCAGCTTATACCTTTATTTGGCAAGGATGCCGTGACAAGCCTTCAGCCTTGTTTGGAGAATTTTGGAGCCATTCTCCAAACATCTGAGCATCAAGCGTTGCCCAGAAATGACCAACCGCTCCGTGACCATGGCTATGCAGCACCCATAGCTGCAACACAGCATGAAGAGCAGAAGCATACGTTTGTACTTGTGCCTGCTGCATGCTCCTTGTTTCACCAGCTTAATTTAATAACCCATTCCCAGTTCCCCAGCATGCTCAACACACACAAGCAACACGCTCTGTATAAGACAAAATACGACACAGATAAAAACAACTGAACCAGTGATATGTGAATTTTGCGCTTGTGTGTGCACGAGCATGCATGTGTGTGTGTGTGTGTGTGTGTGTGTGTGTGTGTGTGTGTGTGTGTGTGTGTGTATGTCTTCGTG